AGATATAACATGAAATATATTCTAATCGTAGCATTCATTGTTTAAACTAGTTACTTAACACTCACAAAGAAATATACTAGTCAAAACACAGTTACGTGCTTTGTATTTTTTCAAATTTTTAAATATTTTTTCTCGATGTCATCACAGAATTTTTTTGCTGCAGCAGTTTTTCCATCAACGATGAGATGAAAAGTAGATTAAGAGAAGAAAAGAAGAAAAGAGTACTTGTAGTAATTATCTTTAAATAGTGATGTTGGAACTTTCATTAGATAGAAAACAAGATTTCAATATGCAGTGGTATATTTTATTTCTAACATGAATTGGTATATATTCATAGTGTGATAATATATGTTGTGTTTTTAAAATATCAATATACCTTCTTAGATATTATCATAGTTCAACTATTAAATAAAGTACATTAGCATTTCAAGTTCTCTGGATAGAAGTCTGTTTAAAGTGTTCTTTGCTATGCTAGTTTATTAAACTTTCATTATGTTAGTATATATGGATTATTTATTAATGTTCAGTTAAATTATTGTGGTTTTATAACTCCATTATTTGTTGTTGAATGTTAACAATTTCTGTGTTATACTGTTACTTTTATTATGTCGTCGAAATAGAATATTTGAGAATGAAACAAATGGAACAATGAGATTCCAACATATGACACCACTGGAATGCTGAGGAACTGTTGCTTACATGTCACAAAATGTTAATAATACTGCTTGCTTGATTTTTGCCATTCATAGAAGAGAAGTAACAAAATTTAACATACACAAAGACAACATTTTTTCAAATCGTGTTTCTTTTCCCGCATACTTTTCACATATTATCATTTCTGTGTTATACATACAGAAGAAGATGGAAGAACTTTAATACAATTTTGTAATATATATTTATCCAATTACAGTATTGAGAACGTTCACTATTTATCCAATGACTATGAGCACCAATTCTTAACAACTTTAATATACTATAATAAAATATATATTGTTAATGTGAGGTGTGGGAGAGGCAACTATGAATTTACAGAATGATTATTCATATGCTATGACTATTACTATTATTCAAAGAAATCACAATCCACAAAACTATTTCTGAAAGTATTTCCTTCTCTCTTATTTTTGAGTTTGGAAAGATCATTGCATTCTGACAGTTAATTTTCTAGAACAGTAGTTGTCATAACTTTTTCAAATGAACTATACCATAGTACTCTTGAGAATAAAAATATGAATTGTATATGGGTAATTGTCAAAGAATTCATTTTCTGTAATTGATATAATTTCTGTATTAGTTATACAAACACTCTTACTTATACTCAGATATAGTTTTTAACTTGTTGTTGCTGGCCTTATTCTATAGTAAGAATTACCTTCGGATATCATCCCCAACATGAATGTATAAAGATATCTGTGAATGTATTTCATTATCACGACAATACATCATCTTATAAATTTCTTATATCCCTATGGATCTTATTAACAATAAAATTATTACGTTAACATTAGGATAAGTTCTATTACATGAAAGTATTTACAGACACGTAACACTCGATAATATATTTTGTAAAATCTTGTATTAAACATCAATAAACAAAATAGCAACCATTAGATAATTATTTTATCAATCTTTTTTTTCTACAAGGATAAGACAAAACAGAAAGAACCTATTCGTTTTTATGAATCTATGATTATATTACTGTTGTATTTATTTGTTTTTTGAATTGTTTTGAAGAACACTTTTAAAGTGGTATGATGGGGAATATTTGATTTTTCTTTTATGTTTTTTTGACAATACTTTCTTAATAATATTCTTGCATTTGGTTTAATCATCATGAAAGTTTGGGAAATGTCATATCAATTCTTCGTAGATTTATAGTTCTTGAGGTCTTGAATATGTTAATTTATGCTGTTTTGGCTGTATTGTTGTTAAAACACAAGTTTTTTGAGAATCAAAAGTATTAGGGTGTTGTTTATATTCTGTTTATATCTATTTAGCTAGTATTAATTCCTCACGTTTTGTAAATAGTATTGAAGCAAGATATCCGATTTCATGAATACCTTAATATACAATCTTGTGATGAGAAGATCGACCCAAAACATTACAAAAACTTATAAATATCTACAGTTGTAATTATATATAAATAAAGAGTTGTTACAAGTTCTCCAGAGAAGTGATCTTTATTTATATTTCAAACCACAGTGCTAAGAGACCTGTTTTAATAAATAAACAACAATAATAATATTTGTTGATTGTCTAACTTACAAATATGGAAAAATTATGCTAGGCTCTAAAGGTTCATTATGAGTACTTATTTATTAAGTTGTAACTATTTAATCCTCGCGTGTGATGTTCTGAAACATGATGAGATAAGAGAAATGATGTTGTCAATAATACAAATTAGAATGTGTGAGTTTTTGTAGTCGATTATCAAATAATCCACGTAGGAAATTTTATATCAAAGCTCACTTAAAGAGGTCTTTGATCCAGTTTGATAGATTGTAGGGATAATTATCAACATTGGATTATGATATAGTTGAGTCCAATATAATATAATTAGACAATATATCGTATGTTCACAAGATCTTTTTTGTTAAAAACTGATTTTGGTAGATCGTTGGTAATTTTTTTGAAAGAAGTAAAGTTGTGAAAGATCAATATGTATTTAATAATAAATACAATATATACTATTTGCATGGGTTTTCAATAAACGAGAAATCCAATTTACTAAATACTTAAAACATAACAACGTTAGACTTTAAGTCTACTATATTCTAAGAAATGCCATATTAGCATCCCTGAAACTCTAATTTCAAATGTTAAATCTACAAAATTATACTTCCATAAACAATTAAGATTATTTAAATTAAATATCATTTTAAATATTTTCATAGAATAAATGCTTGATCATAAACAGTAGAAAGATGGTATAGTGTTTAACATAAATCTATTTATCAAAGTCTTCTTTGAAATGAAAAACGTAAGCAGATTTTTCAAATTTGTGGCTTTCACTGCATATAGAACATGTAGATTGTTTTTGGATCGATCTTGTTTTCTGGAAGATAATTCTGTATTATTAGGCACAGAATATTTATCATAATTCTCTAAAAACTGTCTAAGATATCTTTTCTCATGAGTAGAGTAAAGACTATTTTCCATGTCAAATGATTATATGAACAATTTATACTTAATCCACCAACTATACCAAGGTAAGCAAAACAATGAGCTCTTTCTAAAAAGTTTCTGAAACATATATATCACTATCTCTTTCTTTAAATCACAAAATATGAGTGAACCACAATTTTCGAAACAATAAAAATAACAACGATAGAGTCATTTGTTTTCTGATAAATAGATCAATAAATTTAGACCATTCTCTTTTCATGTGTAAGATATAGAAACAATGTAAACAACGTAAACTTAATACACTGGATTAATATGATCCATCAATGGTTATTTTATCACATCTTATATTTGCAGCTACATTTCTAGGTTTATTATGGTAATATTATCTAGTAAATTTTATCGCTCTTTTAAACCTATAACATACAATGTTATTCACAGTGTCTGTCATCATGATATTAATGTGTATCTTTACTATGGATTTATACATAGTAGACTAAGTTCATATCAACCACTATTTCTTTCAATTATGTCTTTACTCTTGAACTGCTTACTTCATTTGGACATTAATAACTGGTAGATTGTATGGTATCACTCTTAAACTATGAACTCTTTGTTAATATACAACTTCTTTTGATATTATGTCTTAGACAAGAACGATACTACACAAACACATCACACTTAATTATTCTTAGCATCAGCTATCATGATCTCTTCACAATCCACCAATCTCATTTCATTCAAATTTCAATTGTCAATTTTCCTTGTGTCAAAATTTGAAAAAATAGTTCGAAAAAAAAAATTAATTACAATAATAACCACTCTCATCGACAACCAAGTATATAAGTAACCAACTTCACTTATAAATAGCCAGTTATTATCTGCCTTCTTTACATATTCATATGATATAATATTGAATATTATCAAACAGTTATTTGACATGACATAGTTACACCACTGTATGTCTAATAATCATTTATATTTGACTATCAGAAATAACCTCATAACGACTTACTCCATGCATAGACTGTGACTATGGAAGATATTTATTGACAAACTATGACCATTTTTTGTGTCACTACCACTTTTATTATGAATATAACTATTAAAGTATACTCCAATAACACATGAACACCATCCCTTACTAATATTTTCAATATGAAAAATATAATTATACCTTCTATATCACTTCATTATCCATCGAATGATACTGTTATAATAATTTATGATCATATGCAATACTCTTTTGAAATTAACACATAATGATAACTGTTATAAACATAAATACAATTATGCTATATCCATAAACAAATTTACTATATCATCTTTTTACTCATATCTTCCAGGATATTTATCCTTACTAATTCCAATCTATTATACATGGATTTGATTTATGTTTGATGTTCAATGTTTATGGTAATGATGATAAAAGACAAATTGATTTGATATAATGAACAATATTTTGATTATATCTTTATTCCATTCTACTCTACTACTTTCCCTGTTCAATAATTTTTGTTGTGTCTTTTACTCAGATGATCTTATTTTAATGTTTGAAAAGATAATATAGTAGAGAGAAATTTTATCTCGATCTTTGAACATTGAACAACATTTAAAAATATACTATGGTGGAGTATTAACATGAAAATTTATCAATTTACTATTCAGGAAATCTACTTTCTTTAAGAATTAGTCTGACATTATTATGACTAGATGTTTAATATTGTGTATGAATCTCTAACTGCAACAAAGAATTATGAGAAGTTATTGATATTCAAAAAAAAATAAAAATAATAAGACTTTGATTCCATTATAACATTAAAATAACAAGACATAATATATCTATGAATTAACATTTGCAAAAATACGACTGTGTTATGATAGTTTTACATGTTCCTTATTTAAAAAGAAAATTTTCACATTATCGGAATCCTTGGATAATTATTATTATTATTATTATTATTATTATTATTATTATTATTATTATTATTATTATTATTATTATTATTATTATTATTATTATTATTATTATTATTATTATTATTATTATTATTATTATTATTACAATATTTTTCACATATAGAGGGGACATTTTCCTGTATCTTGTAAATCTTGAAAGTTCTACACCCAGTAAAAGACAAGAAGAGATATCATATGTTTTCAAAATAAGGTACATTACGAAATTCTGTGTATCTACATTTTTGAGTATTATATTCTTAATATGTAGAATAAGTATAATATATCATCAGTGTGCAATTCTCTGCATTTGGGAAATAGCATGTTATTTCTCTTTCTTTCCCCTTTTTCCTTTGCTACCTAAAAGGAGTTTCCATTTCTTCAAATATTTTTAGAGTAATTCTATAGTATGTCTCTACTGTTCATGTGAATATAATAGTTATTGGATATGTTAGCTTACGTACAATTGAATATTATATTACAAAAAAGAAGAAATAGAAGTATAACCATAAGTTTAAGCGAGTTAATAACAGTGACCATATTAACACAAATATACCTATATACAGTTATTTGACTTAGCAATATATAACGATGTTTAATTAGTGTACATCCATGTATATATTCATGTATTATGCACTTCCTATGTATGTATTTGTATATACAAAGGACAGAAAGAAAATAATTAAGGAACATGGGAATAAACACATTTGTCTAGTTAACTTTTGGATACAAATGCAGGAAAAGAAAGATTGTAACTATTCTTAAGATTATTATAAGCCCTTTATTATGATCTTTGAATTAAACTAGCATTAAAGTTTTATAATTACAATTTTTCTTAATTAGAAAGGGTTTAAGAATCTTATAACCTTTAAACTATGATCAATTGATTCATATAGAAGTAAATTTCCTAATCACAATCTCTTTATTAAAAATTGCCAAAACATGTAGCAAAAATATACATGTATTAAAATGTTTATGTAGCAGCTATTAGATGGTACAATTGTGTTGAATATTCTAAATTATTTGAAATCAAGGGACAGCATTGTTGGTTTATCAGGTACGATCACATCTATCTTTGGTGTACAAGATACTTGGAAATCAAATAAATAATAAAAAAACACAGTATGAAAAATATTAGAATGTTATATATGCTTATATAGAAACATTTAATTATTTAATTATCTAATATTCTTGATCTTAAAATTATTCATATGTGTGTAACTTAAAAATTCATAAATAATAATAGACCAATAAAATGTACGACACTCCACTTCATATATATGTTACTACCTTTACCTTCATATGATACAAGAGAAGGTGTATCACCATGAGGTACCGCAATAGCAATTGGTGATGGGGATAGTTGTTCAGAAATATATTGGGAGACTTGTGGTACCATTGTGGTTGGTGATGTTTTTGGTCCCCTAGACTCATTATTACCGATTACAGTGGTAGATGTTCTAGAGTTTCTAGATGTTGGGTGATTTTTACCATTGGTAAATGCTGGACCAGGGGTGGTAGAAGTAACAGAAATAACTGGAGTCACATTTGTAGCAGTAGTAAATGAGTTAGTCTCTTCTTGTGGGTTCTTTGAATAAACTGATTCAATAGAACTATGTCCAATGATAGCAATCATACTTGTTTCAGAAGTTGCAGATGGTTCTGGACAATAAGTTGTAGTCATAGTAACTCCATTAACAACCGTAGTCAAAACAACTAGAGTGCCACTCAAAGTAGTTTCAGTTTTTCCATTATGAATAGTGGAATTTTCATATAGTGGAGAAGATATAGAAATTGATGAGGTCATAAAGTCATTATATGGAGGAGGTGTAATCACAACAACCACAACTGCAGCAGATGAAGAGCCGTTGTTGTCAGTAACTGTGGTTGTGTAGGTGTTTGTGGTTGGAGCAGAAACTGGACCTGTGGTAGTAGTATAGGTGGTAGATGGAGCAGGTGTGACCACAACAACAACAACTTTGGTGGAGGATGAGCCGTTGCCATCAGTAACAATGGTGGTGTAGGTGGATGTTGTTGGAGCAGAAACATCTGCAGTAGTAGTTGTGTAGGCAGTTGGACCAGTTGGAGATGGGGTGACCACTACAACAACAACTTCTGGAGACAAAGAGCCATTGCTATCAACAACTGTAGTAGTGTAAGTAGTTGTGGTTGGGGCGGAAACTGGACCTGTGGTAGTGATGTAGGAAGTAGATGGAGATGGGGTGACCACAACAACAACAACTTCAGCAGATGAAGAGCCATTGCCTCCTGTGATGGTAGTAGTGTAAGTAGTTGTGATTGGAGCAGAAACATCTGCAGTAGTAGTAGTGTAGGAAGTAGATGGAGATGGGGTGACCACAACAACAACAACTTCAGCAGATGAAGAGCCGTTACTGTCAGTGACGGTGGTTGTGTAAGTAGTTGTGGTTGGAACAGAAACATCTGCAGTAGTAGTAGTGTAGGAAGTAGATGCAGATGGGGTGGCCACTACCACAACAACTTCTGTGGAAGAGGAACCGTTACTGCCAGTGACGATAGTGGTGTAAGTGGTTGTAATTGGAGCAGAAATATCTGCAGTAGTAGTAGTGTAGGTGGTAGATGGAGATGGGGTGACCACAACAACAACAACTTCAGCAGATGAAGAGCCATTGCTGTCAGTTACGCTAGTTGTGTAGGTAGAGATAACAGATGGTGAATCTACTGTACCTGGAATGTAGGAAGTAACCTGACTTGGCATTGGGGTCTCAACAATCACAACATCAATTGGAGTGTTGCTGCCATTGGAGTCAGTGGTGTAGGAGATGGAGGTGGAGATAGTAGATGTTGAATTTACTGTACCGGGAATGTAGGAAGTAACCTGACTTGGCATTGGGGTCTCAACAATCACAACATCAATTGGAGTGCTACTGCCTTTGGAGTCAGTGGTGTAGGAGGTGGAGGTGGAGATAGTAGATGTTGAATTTACTGTACCGGGAATGTAGGAAGTAACCTGACTTGGCATTGGGGTCTCAACAATCACAACATCAATTGGAGTGCTACTGCCTTTGGAGTCAGTGGTGTAGGAGGTGGATGTGGTGATAACAGATATTGAGTTAACTGTACCTGGAACGTAGGATGTGGTTAACATAGGGGCAGGAATTCCCTCATAGTAAACAACTACAACTTCTTCATTATAAGAATTAAGCATAGTTGTAATCGTGGTTGTTTGAGTAGTTGTGGTTGCACTTAAACCATGAACTGTGCTTGTGATTATAGAGGTTACTGTTGTGCATGCTTTGGATGCACTGTATGTGAAAGATATATCTGAAGTATTAGTGAAACTTTCATCTGGGAAACTGTATAAACTATTACCTATACCATTATCTACAGTACCATTTGGCAAATTTATTGATATATTTAACAGACCATGGTTAATCAGATTAACATATAGAAACTTAAGAGGATAATAATTACCTTCTTTCATATATATTGTCTTTACTTCTGTATCCATACCATATATAACACTACCAGTGACCGTAAAAACATATTCTGGGGATGAAAAATCTTCATGTTGACCTCCGCAGTTAAAAGCTTCGCCAGCACCCAAGAAAAACGTGAGGGAATCATCTACATTAGCCCTTAGGGTATAAATACCTGTTAGTGGAGCTTTATAATAACCGGTAATTTCCATCATGAAATGACTGATGGAAACACCTCTATAATCATACGGAGGAATGGTCCAATGATCTCCAGAATACCATGTTAAATTTGTAACACCAGAAATTGTACCCACATATGTATTCCTTAAATAACCACCTAGTAAAAATGATGATTCTTCATAACTCCTAGAATCACCAGCAGTGTATTGAAAAAACCTGACGGTGGCCCCAATAGTACCGTCATGTGGAACTGTACATGCAGCTGGGGCGTAGGCTGCTGTAGCAAATTGTAAGTGTATATGTAACCATAACAGTGTGGTAACAAGGTTCTTATAACACAATAACATATTGTATTATTAAGATTGAAAACGACAGAAATATTGTAAACTTTAAATGAGGGGATACTTTGATATTAGAAATAACCTATGGATGTATTATGATTTATATAGCGAGTCGTTCTTGTTTTACTTGATGTGTGCGTTTCAAACTTATAAGAAAAGTTAGTTTTGGCAAACCTCAGTAAAGGAAGATAGGATCATATCTAAAAATTAGATGTGTGAATATGATACCCTTTTATATTTGAAGAATCGCATAGAAAATTGCAGTTCATAATATAATAAAGCTTTTTGAAATTTTTTTCTGCTTGAAGGTATTTTGTTTAGTAATAGAAATGTTAAATATTTTAACAATTGGATTAATTAAACGTTTTAATGCAAGAAACAATTGCAAATGTAATAGATTTGTATATATTGTAATGTATCATGCAGGACTGATTATGTCATACATTATGAAATTTGTAAGATGTGTTGATGGAATGTATGTTTTTCCCGATTTTGAAGAAATAAAAGTTTTTTCCCGAAAAGATCACTGGCAAAATTATTTGGTATTTTTGAAAGGTTAAAATTTTTTTTTTTTTTATTTTTTCTCCATTATAAGATTGATGTTATTTTTTTTATTTTTTTTTTCAAATTCCGAAGAACAAAAGGAAGTTATCCAGTGTCAGGGATTGTTCGGTTTTCTGTTTTTCTTTTTCTAAAAAGGGCAATACAAGAAAACAATTAGGAATACAATAGAAACGTTTGTATTATTATGTATCATACAGAATTTATTGTGTCATACATTATGAAATTCATGAAATCGATTGATAAAATGTATTTTTTTTGTATTGAATAACTAGGAATTTCTTTTTGTCCAAAAAAATATTACTTGAAAAATTTTGATACTTTTGAAAGGTCAAAGTTTTTTCCTACTTTTTTCCCCATTAGAAGGTCCATATTGTACTATATTTTTTCTATTTTTGCTATCAAGGTCAGAAGAGTAGTTTACACTAGAATATTTTAGTATTCCAACCTCACAGAAAAGATTATTGAAAAAATGAAGACTATCTGAAAAAATTTTAACGATAAGAATTTTACAGAATAAAACAGAACACATGTATAACACAGATACAACATAGATAGGGTATAAAGTGGTTTTCTGTATTTTCCTAATTGGTCATAGTTATTGGAAATTCGGGTTTGCAGAAGATATGTTAGAAACTACTCAGATTACCTTGATTTTGGAAAAAACTTAGATTAAATAAATTATCTCCAGATAAATTTCTATGTACGTACGCAAGTATAGTTTGTAATTACTTTACAGTTGTCTTCTCTTTGTATATTCGATATTATTTAAACTAGTATTTTCAGGGTTTATTTTAAAAAAAGTTAGTCATAGGTTAATTTGCAGAAAAGGTTGCGGTAAATTTTCAAAAACTTCTCTATAAGGATATATTTTTATAACGACCTATAAAATCGTGTCGGAATCTTTGCTTTAAGAGTTTTACATCCTTTTAGGTTGCAAAAAAGATTTACGATGAATTCTAAACACATAATTTTCTGTGCACTTTTTCAAATTATTTTCTTTTTTCTTTTGCAAGATTCTACTAAATCTTTTTTTGAATATTAATATCACTTTTTTAAGCTATTTTGATTTTCAAAAAAAAATTATTAAGGATATTTCTAAATTGCACCCTTATCGTTAAATATAGAAGAGATTGAGATATTTTAAATGTAGTAAATACATTGATAGTATTATCTTTTTAACTAAGAACAGTAATGTTGGTTTAATTACATATTTTTTAAAACTACTTTGTAGCAAATATGAAGAAAAATTGTGTAAAAAGTTTTAAAAAGGAAAATCTCCTCTGGATGAATAATATTAGTGTACATGTTTTTAGCATCAGTGATCATATTATATGTTATTATTGTGTATTATTATTATGTTGATATGTAGAGTAATTTTCCCTCGATTTCTCAATTGGGAATTAATAATTATATAAATACAAAAGAAACAAATGATAGAATATATATAAATTATTCATCCAGATTGGAAATTAATAAGTAAAGTCGTTTACTTATATATGTTTACCTTTTGGTAATTTTTCATAATGCATTGATTTATTTTAATTTTATTTGATCTTACCCTCGTAATATTGAATATGTATAACAAACATTTTCCTTCTTTGATACATCCACTTGTTTTTTAAACAGGTAATATATTATCCTAGCTCAAAGAAAAAAGCACATAAAATAGTGCTACTTTCTAAGAACATTTGAACTTTCATTTTAGCACACAGTTAATGACTTAATAAAAAGTTTTAAAGAGGTAGGAAATCTTTATTTTTGTATTTTTAATTTTTTTCCTATTATTTTTTTGCATAATCTGTATTATTTCCAAAATAACATGATCACTCTCCTCAATTTTCTTGTTTTAGGTAGAGTTTAGAATTTTCTCTGAATTATATTAGGTAGACGCAAGTTCCATCGGGCATATCCGATAATAAACGCATTATTATTTTAAACTAGAAATTTTGATCTTTCTTTGAAAGTAATTTATAGAATTTTCAAATGTGGAAGTGTTATTTTGGCGAGAGTATAATGGAATTGAGATATTTTTTACTAAAAACTTACATCTATAACTAATTAGTATTGTACATGTTGGTATAGGAATATCTATCTAATCAGAACTAAAAGGAAAAAAAAATAAAAATAAAACGAATTTTATACGATAAAAAAATGCTACTATGGGAGTATTGTTTTATGCAGGAAATAAAAATAAGTGTAGCAAAAAAGCACCGGAAATTGGAAAATCATCAAATCATCACGAAATTTACAAAAAAGGAAATGTTCAAATGGGCAAAAAAAAATAAATAGGCTTTATTTTGCTATACTACAACCAATACATAAACGCGTATACAATAGTTTGCATAACAATGGTTATGTCCCAAAAGAATTCACAATTGCATGTTTGTTTGTTTTTTTTAGTATTTTCCTTTCTTATTGTCAATATCGGTACCAGTTAGAGTAGATTAATCAGGAATTCAGTATATCGACTGTTTCTATTAAATGAAACTATTGTTCCATTCTTACATAGTGTACCCATTATTAATATTTTATATAGTATTGCGGCATTTTTAGTAACTTCACTGGATTTGGAAACTACTATTTGTTGGTTTTAATAGATTACTAAGCTTATCACCAAAATTCCTAGTTTCTTTAGAAATGGTTTGTTTTCAATTGACTTAATATTTGTGAATCAATAATAGAGTAATAGCCATAATATCATAAACCATATTTTTTTGCTGTTCCTTCCTGTGATTTTCTTTCTCTATCCTTCAGTGTCTGGCATTTCCTTTAAGATTTTGAACGTAACTGGCTTTTTTGTTACTATATAGTAATTCAGTGAAAAGTATCCACTTTGTAGTAAAATGTTTCTGTCAAAATTTGGAGCCCTCGGCGTTCATGGTAATAACAGGCATCGTTAAGTTATAGATGCTTGTTGTGTTTTGTACTAAATGCATGTATATACTTATTATATAGTGGATACAGTATGCATTCTTATATTTACTTTAAGTCTTTTTTTAGAGTTTGCATTTCTTTTCAAATCTGTGAAAAACATATTTGGTGACAATTAAAATGTTTTCCTGATATTATGTACATCCGTGCACCACATAATATACAGAAAAACTAATTAAAAATAATTCTTATGGAAATAACAGTAATAAGCTCTCATTTTCCAACAGTTTTATATTTAAAAGGTCTCGTTTATTGTCTTAAAAACTAAGAGATATGATGCATATTAACTTGCTTTTTTTGACACACAGTGCGGTAAGTATTAGTTATTTTTTTATAGAAATGTGTTTACTACAGAAGTAGGTATTGAATAGAAAAAGATGTTAAGAAAAGTTTTGAAAGTTAGTTGTTTTTTCTGAATAAATTTTAGTTGTTTATAGATCGATTTTGGAAATATGATTATTTTATAATAAAAGCTTAGTTGTCTCTGAGTTTTAGATATATTACAAAAAGAATGAAAATGAAATTCTTTGTTTTTGGGTTTTAACAAAAAACAAAGGCACTGAAACTATATTAACGAAGATATTAATTTTTGACACTTTTTAATGTTTTCTTTTTGCGCAAAATACAGTTCTGATGTTGAAAAGTAACAACTGTTTGCATTTGGTAAATCGGGTGCATTCTCAATCATAAATATTATACAAAATTACAATAGAGTTTTCCATTTTCTTTTGTAGGCACAATACAAAAGTAATTATATACAAAAAGGATAAGCAAAATAAGGATGATATAGGAATATTCTTAAATTTGGCATCTGTGGTTATTAAGTAATGTTTTTTGACAAACAACTAAAAAGATTAGTCAAATATTTCCAACAAAGCTTAGTCATGTCTAAATCATAAACACTCATTTTTCCATTGATTAGTATCTGTTAGGATCTGATCGGTCTATTATTTTATTCTATAACATTCTTTTTTAGCAAGCCTCATTAAGGAATCATATTATTGGAATTTTACATGACCTATGATAATTTTTCATTTTATTTTTTTTGGCTTTAATATAAATATATATTTGCATTAAAAAGACACAAATTTAAAACCCTATTTTTAATGTTAAAAGTTCTACGTGGAAAACCTGAAGCATATAATCTATGGGTAATGATATATAGCCACAATAAAAGATTTAGAACAGCCACAACTCTCAATAAAAACTATAAATGTATATTAGAAGTTATTGAATTAGTGTTGGTACAAAGTTATGGAGAAACTTATTCAAGAAATCACCAGTTATTGTACAAAAGCAACAAAGGTAATTTTTGGTAAAATTATTTTCATTGTAATATTTCTTAGATGTTACTAAAGAGATATATTAGTATTAATACAAGGAATATACATTACATTATTAATTTATCAGTTAAAATTAATGACTTAATAGTTTTGTGACTGTGTTACTATACATAGTTTAATGTATTATATGAGCTAATGTTGACAAATATTTAGAGATATATTTATTAATGTAAATCCATTATAATAAATAACTGAAAAATATAAAATTTTTATATTAAAGAAGTTCAGGTACGAAATGGGTTGTATTGTATATAATTCTGCTATATGCTTGTGGTTTTAACTGGCGAACGCATTAGATATTTTAGTTTATATGTTGCTTACTTTTCTTTTCTGTTTGTACATAATATGTAAATCTATATATATGTATTCTATAAAAGTACTAAAGTATCTTCTTATATCTTGTTCTTCTTTATTTTTTGAAAATTTTTCTTTCCTTTTATAGATCTAGATATCACATAAAACATTGTTTGCATAATAAAAACTTGTTTAATATTCACTGTTCATGGTACTAATTGCAGCAATTTATATACAGTTGGGAAAGGTAGAATAGTGTTTGTTTTGAGTATTGCGATCAAATGATAAGTTGATTTTTCCTACTTTATACAATGTTATCTGATTTATTCAAACAAACAACCTTAGCTTAGCTTGAATAATCAATTTACAAGATGCTATGAGATATTTAATACAATAAAGCAGGATGTTTTTTTCTATGAAACAGCAGCTTTCAGCAAATGTCTATCTTTTGTGGATAAAGATCAATGTCATATAGCGTATTAATGCTATAAGCTATTTTTTATCGCTATGAGTTATATGTGGGTTAGGTGTAAAGTTTTTTATTGTGCTTTTATATGATTTCACTCTCTAACTTTTGAACATATACTGAATGATATCCAATACAGTTACGTGAATTATCCTCCAGTCATTTTTGGCTTAGTTCTCTAATGAATTGTACAACATCAATACTTTCCCAATTCAAATGTTTTTAGTTGTAATTGCTATTTAGTCAATTAGTGGTAGTGCAAAATCATCTGCTGTTAGAATATTGCAATTTACGATGATGATATCATTAGATAAAGAAAAATAAATTTGGAAACATATTAAATTTTTATTAAGGTTTATACCAATACCAGTAGGTGCCATTCTTGTTGGAATAAAATTTACCACATGATTTATGAATAATCAAGTTATTTTATTTGTACATTTGCATGTATTGAAATGATTAAAAAGTGAAATGTTCTTTGATTAATTAAAATTTTGTTGAGATTGAAAAAGATAAAGAATGAGAAAGAGTTAGGGGTATAGTATATAGAGACCTGTTTGAGTTAGTGTATTACATAAGCCAGAAATGTTTAACTTGTTAGATAGTAAGATGTTATTTAAGATAGTTGCAATGATCATTATTGATATGTTACCTGATGATCAAACAAACATATTAATATATAAATTTCTATTAAGAGTATAAAAGCATTCTAAATAATGATAGCTTTCTTGGTTGGAATATGAATAATTAATAATATTAATAACACCAAAAATATATTCAGTAAGTAATAGTAGCGGGTTTAATTATTGTTCATATAGATTGTTATCTTTGTCTATCTCATTGTCATAGTGTTATATTAGTATTGGGATAATCAAAGAGATCATTTTAATATAATGAATTGTAGTATCGCAAATAATTCTGTTAAATTAATACAATTAATAATCTACTAGTGTGATGTTTATAATGTAGAATATAATTATAGATACATTATTGGAAGAGTTGTTAGATCATTTATAACAGATTAGATAGTTTGAAACATGTTAGTTATGTTCTTGTTCTAATACTTATATTCATATTGGTAATATTACAGTTAAGATCCAAGATAGCACACATTTTAGAGTAGATAACAACACAGTCCTAGTATAATAATTAATAAGTTATTATACATATTCAGAGTTTGTTTATATTATTTATTATCCAGAATGTTTAAGGTTGTAATTTATTTCAAGATTTATGCTGCTATGTCTAACAAAGAGTAATAAAATTATCAGATGACTGGGATATAAATAAAATAAATAATGTTCATTTCTAAGCCATAAAATACAATTAATATATCCATGTAAGTTTGAAGATTCATTATTTATTCCTGTTATCATTTCCTAGTCAGTTGATATTTTGTTCATATGATAATCATTAAACATACAATAAAATAATATGCAATCATTTCTTTTAGACTGAAGATATTAATGGGAAGTGTTTGGATATTCTTAGATAATCATATTTATAAAGAAGTTATATCATTGATGGATATCTTCCCTAATGATAGTATATGTATTAAGTAGGTTGTCTATAGCTTAAAATATCCCAGTTGGTTGTATTGAGTATAGGTAAATGTAAGATGGCATAATCACATTATATCAAATAATGGTTTGCTAATGTTCAAAGTTATGTGACATGAAAGTGAGTGGATCATAGTTGATCGCTTACAAACCAGTGTGTCTATCCTGTTTACATATCTGTTGGAGTGGTTGTTATTGTTGTTGATGCTTGCAAAATATTTTTCAGATTAAAAAAAATAGAGTAATTTTGGATGGGATTGATAGTCAGGAGGTGATGGTATGTGATATTGAGAGTAATCGAGTAAAATGTGATGTACCAAATAGCGATGATAGTTATAAAAAAGGAATATGAGATATCAGTATAAGAAGACCTGTTTAGATTAAGTTAAGAGTAAACAATTCATCAGTACAATTTGTTATGTTATTTTCATTTAATGTGAATGTGTTTTATATCGATGGTAAATGCATAGTCTAACAGTGATGTTATAGAGTTATTAAGTGAATAAAAATATAATTAAAGTTAGTTGGTTGTTAAGACCAGTTCAGTTCAAGTAGATGTTAATGTTGTGAATAATATTGTATGTTATGAAATACATTGTTTCAAAAAAAATTGTATTAGAGATCGTTAGTGATATTATCATGGTAAACACGAATATAAGTATTAAACATCATAGTAAATTGCAATCTAGAGTAATTGTGGTATGCTATACTGGAATATGATATATTAATGTAATATTTAATACAGTTATTGAATAGGAATAAAGACAGTTCAGAGAATACAGAAAAGGTTTGTGAAACTGTATTAAAGTAGTTGTATTATCAGCTGAGAATGTATATTCATATCTAGCTTATATTTTATCATGATGCTAAGGTGAATACAAAATAGTTCAATACATCAGATCTCTCTTTTAATTGATGAAAGATACTTCCATGTTATTTGTTTTTTGTTTTCATATTTTCATTCCTTCATGTTTGAAAAAAAGAGAAAGCCATTTGGAAATGCAAATTTGTTCTGCTAAATTTTCACAAAAACATTTCCACGGCCTCGAGGAATTTGTGATTTTCTGCGAAATTCAAAAAGGGGAGTTGGAAAAACAAAAACAAAATGAGTTGTTCCGTGGAAAAATAAAGGTTCCGCGGAAAAAACAACATGGGACAGAGAATTGGTGATTCTACAGAGATACTGATGGTGTCACGAGGAAGAGAACAGAGACGTAAGGAAGGGTAATATAGAGAATACATTTGGTAATGTATATATGTATCGAGAGCTAGAGAGTAGTAGAATCTGGTGGTGGTTATAAAAATGTTGAAATAGAATATTTATAAATTTGGAAAATGGAGAGTGAAATTATTATGTAGTTAAAAAAAGATAGGATTGGTATGGAAACAACTACGCGATTGCACCTTTTTTTGTATTAAATATTTAAGACAGAGTAAGTGTCTATATATATTGCAATTGTTGAGAATGAGCAACAAAACAATTTTTGAAGAAAATGAGTTTTCTTGCTTTATTACTCTTTTTATTTTAATACATAAACATATTTTTTCTCAATTTGTTAAAGGTAGAAGTTACTCGATATTTGAACAATGAAAATTAGTGTGAAGTAAGTCATTTAGATAAATTCAATAACTGTGGCAGAATAGTAAAAAAATGATATTAAATCATTATATTATGTATATGAAGTCTTTATATAAATGCAATACTGCCTTGGTACAAATTATAATTGTATATGCAATGGGATTAATTCATATTGATGAATGTGATGAAACCTGATATTGATCAGTATAAAAATTTAAAAAAGAATATAACAGTGCATTACTTTATGATTGTTTTTTTTGTTGAATTGTTACTTTGATTTTGTTGTTGTTTATTTATTTAAGAATTTTAGATAAGAAATATCAGTAACTTAGAATTCCATTCAATTTAATATTAAATAGTTTGCTTCTATAACAGTCTATTTTTTTTTTGTTTTATGCATTCTAGTATTTGAGGATGAGTTATTTTCTTATATCTCAAACATTTAAACCAAACTTGGATTTTCTTCTAATACGAGAGCCATATTTCAAGAAAATGAATGGAACAGGAATTAAGGCAGCAGCGAATAAACCTAAAAGCAAACCGGCCCAACCAGTACCCATGCCACGGAACATGTATCCAGCAAATAGTGGGAATGCAGCACCAAACGACGATCTTAAGAAAGTGTTGGCAGCTACAGCAGAGGCAGCGACAAGTAAGTATGATTCAATAATATAATTTAAGCACGGTAAGAAAATTCCCATCAAACCAAACCCAATAAAAGAGCCAGCAATAGTTGGACAAATCCAATGGATTTTGTCTGGATAGTTACCGGTCCAGCAGAACCATAGAATACCGATTGGGAAAACAATACTAGCAAAAACCATTGGATATAATCTTGCTTCAGGAACTAAATGACCTGCTTTTCTAACTCTTTTTAAATAATCACCTTCCCAATACCAGATAAATGCTGCGCAGAAAATCATACCAATAATTAATGCAATATATGGTAGTTCACCATTTTCCTTATAACCGTAACCAGCAACAAATACGATTGGATATGCTTCCAACATAAGATATAAAATACCATAAACAAAGGAGTTATAGATTGAAATGATAAGTAAAGATGGTTCAGTGGCTAACATGATTAATGGCCTGGTGATAGTTTTTTGAGCAATTTCTTTAATTGATAATTCGACATTTTCATGAGCGGCATGAATCCCCCAATTATTTGTATCTTTTCTTAATTTTTTAGCTTTCTGAACTAAGATTGATGGGTGATGAGTCTCTGGGAAAAATAGAAATATGAAAGCAAAAACAGCACTAGAGAAACAACCAACTACATATTCTAACCATCTCCAGGTAGTTCTTTGAGCAATATATGACCCCATGACGGGAGATAAAATTGGACCGACAAACACACCAAGGGAAAATAAACAGATAGCTTTACCTCTCATATCAGTATCGAATATATCTGCAAAGGCAGCTGGAACGACAGCCATTGGCGCAGCACCAATCAAACCACCGAAAAATCTGCAGATAAAAATAGTTTGTAAATCCTTAGCAGTGGCAACAGCAAATTGAAAACAAGCAAAACCAAATGCAGATATCACTAGAACACCTCTTCTCCCATATATTTCAGATATTGGTGCATATATAATAGGAGATGCGGCAAAACCTAACACGAAAAGGGTGATACCTAAGATAGCTACAACTTCAATGATACCATAAATTTCACAGATTTGTGGAACACCAGAAGCAAATATACTACTTGCCATAGTGATACAAATACAGTTCAAGCATAACATAACACAGATCATGACTTTCTTTTTCATTGGCCAATTAAAAGGATGTAGAGGATCATTTGGACCGTCAAAAGTAACTTCATATAATTCCCTTGGTGGCAGTGCAGGTGGATAGTCTCTATCACCTCCCATAGGGAGAGTATTAGAATAATCTACTGCAATTCTTTCTGGTTCATTTACTGTACCAGTAAGAATTTTAGATAATCTTCTTGTATTTTCCACATTAGACTCAGCCAAGGATGTCATGGTGGTAGTTCTTTGTATTTTTAGATTTACCTTTTGGTCTTCATCAAGTATATCCATATCACCATCATATTCTATAGGATTGGAAACAGTAGATGCAGAAGAAGCCTGACTTGGAGAAAGATCAGTCTCCTTTTGAGAGTCTGATGTCTCTGACATATTGTATTGAATTGTTATATTTCTTTGTTTTTTTAGTATGTTTACGCAAAAAAATTGTTATAATAAATATCCCGATGTTTTTTTAAATAAATGGACTGAAACAAATTCAGATAAGGAACAAAGTATATTTTAATGTTCATTAGAATAAAAAATTAAATACTGGCAGAACACAACGTTCTTATATAAATGTTAAACATCTTCTCTAGTGATTGGAAAAGTGGGGACCCTTGAAAAAAAAATTAGGGAAAAATTTTGAAAATTTGAAAAAGAACATATATATAACACCGACATAAAAAAGATCGGGTTAGATAACATTTTTGGTTGTTTTCCTAAACATAATATTGGTGGAGACTTAGGGTTCATTGGAAAAAACTTATTTTGAAACAATCTGTTTGTTTCCATTTCTCATTATTAATATTCATACAAAACGAGCAATCACAGGACAACTAAATAATAATTTGCTTTATTTTTATATCTGTTTTTCTTTTTTAGTACAATTACATTTATCATTCAAAATAATGGTAAGGTTGTGTAATATAGTAAGGTTGTAAAGGTGCCTTCAACGGGACAATCAGTGGTGGATTTGTATAATTATTTTACAGTTTAGATTTATTTTTTAAATCAAATAAATGTTTTTAGGGCCCAGTTAAAAAAATCTGTACTAATGTTAATTTTCAATAGGGTTACAACATATTTTTTAAGAAATGTTTTTAGGTGTATGCTTTTTTAAAAAGAAAAAAAATTTTTTTTCTTTTGTTTCGGTTTGTTCTCGTATTGTCTTGCTGTCTTCTCTATCGGTCCATTGAAAGATACAAAATTCCGTTTTTAATAAGAAAATAGAAAAAAAAAGAAAAGAAAAGAAAAAAGAAAAAAACACGGCTCGTTGCTTCCGCCCTGCTTCCGTCCTTCCGTTATTGTGTTTTCGTTCCATTTTTACATAACAATATAAAAGAAATCTCTTCCTTTGATCTGTTCTCTTTTTTCTTTTTTTTTAAGAAAATTTAATAGAAAATTTCCATATCGGGTAGTAGTATTTTTTAGGAAGTATTAGTGTCTATGTTTAGGGTTACAAAAAAATGTATATTTTTTGTTCATGTAGGAAGGATGTACTACTTAGTAGACAATGGAGTATTACACAAGGAACCTATCTTGAAATTTTATGTACAGATAAAAATTAATAGCAGGACAAAAATAGCCCTTCTTTATCATAAGCATGAAAAAAGAGAGAAGTAACTTGGAACTTTGACAAATTAAGAAAAGTTTTGTTTTAGAGTAAAAATTATCACATGCATACTTATTATATTCTGGTTGGGGTTTTTCACCTGAAGAATTTTACTGTGATTATTATTTTATCATATTTTCTATTGTACTCTTCAAACACAAAAAAAGAAAGGAAAAGGAAAAAGAAATGGAAAATAACACGATTGCACTGATAAAAATCAGATATACAAACCGTAATATTAGCAGGATAGCCTTGTTCTTTTATCCGCATAAGGAAATTTATAAACTTTTTAAAAATTCTTAGTAATCCGTGGAGTAGTTTTTGTCTATTTTTTTTTTATTTCCGTTCCGCGGAAATGAATCAAATCTTTTTTTCTTTGTTTGTTTATTTGTTAATGCACTCGGTCATGTATTTAGACATAGTCATCATTTTTCTTAATATTACTAAGTTTGATTTTTATTAGTGTGCTTTGTGAATTTCGATTAGCAAGACTCATAAACGATGTACTAGTAAGTGTGAATCAGTAAAAGTATAGTCTAGATCAATTCTCCGAAAAGAATTGTTAGAGTAATTGATATATTCTTTATACTCAATTATATCGTTTAAACAGAGTGGGGTTACCAATAGAAGAGTCACTATTTTTTTGGTTTCTGTTAACCATTTGTTAATTTATATTATTATATAAGTTCTATCATTATTTTTATTAGGTTATTTTATTTTATTTGCCAAGAAATAGTGTAGGTAACGTTTGGTACGTTGCAAAATGATGTTTTTCATAAATTAACTAATTTATTATGCGTTTTATTAAAGAAATCTTTTTTTTTAAGTAACTCTATTAATATGCATGTAAGTGAATTGATATAAAATAACATCATTACTTCAATTTTTTTATTTGTTTTTCACTTTTTGGTGTTAAGTATGTGAAGCAAGCTATTTGGTAAAATGTTTATTATTGAAACTGTATTAGAAAATGTTGAAATTTAAAAGGTGTGGAGTAATAACCTATAAGTTATAACGGAACTTTATGAACCGTATTTTTATAAGTAATCACTCACAGTATTGAATAATACATATATTATATACAAAACTATGTATTACGTATATAAAGTTGTGAGTAAAAGAAATTATTTCTAATTTCTATATCTTGACTATTTATACTTTTCAGAAAGTTAATTTTGAGAAAAAAAATTTTCACAAAAATTTTTATTGAGTCTGGGTAATATCTCAACAGAAAAGATATATTTTATGTTCAGAAAGAACAGTGTATTTACTTTCGTATTCTGGAATTGATTCCAATCAATAATAATCAAAAATAGTAACAAACTACACTGTCACAAATTCATTCACAATTTTGTTTAATAATACTATTTAAAACAAAAATGTGGAATGGAAGTGTAAGTAATATTTTTGTAGGGAGTAATTATAATATTATGTTTTAATATATCATTCTTTTAACTTATTAATTCAATATCTTTACTTTTTTGGTAACATTTGTCAAATATTACAAATATTTTTCTTAATACCTGAACAACTTTATTATTATTGTACATGTTTCGTTTCTTCCTCAAAATCTCTGTAAAGTGAAAGAAGTGAAATTGAGCTGCACTTCAATAGTATGCTAGATATATCACAATGATTTTATGTTGGTGGTCTACTATTACTCTATTTGATATTAAAACTTGTTTTTTTTCTGTCTTGGTTAATAATTTTTTGTATTCAACCTCTTTTTATGATATTTATAGTTTATTAAGTAGTATATTTTATTCTTATGTTTAGATAATACATGTTTTAAAAATATAGACAGATAAATAAATAGATGGAAAAGCCTGCATAATAAAAGATATTTGTACCTAAACCCGTTTGATTAAAATTAAAAACATGATAAATCTGGAGTATTTTGAAGTGAATTAATACTTAATTTACAAGACATTATTAATGAAATTTACTTCTTCTTTTTGGTTTTGTAAATTATAGGTATCTTTAATACTAAATTGAGTAAGGATAAATTGAATACTATATTGGGTACTATCTTTAGATATAGAGGAAAGGCTCATTAGACTATGATATTATATGCATTGTCATTTATTTTTTTTCTTTAGAATATGTGTAAATAAAATCTAAGGTTTTAAAGTATGTTCAAAATTTTAATTTATAGAACTATTATTAATAGAAACAAGAGTTCATCTAGTTATATATTTAATATTATTTGTTTTAGAAACATATTTAGTAAATAGTATATTTATTAAATAATATATTAAAATACTATTTATCAATTATTGTAAGGTTGTTGGCAATTTTACTTTTTTGTACGTATTTTGTATTTATTTAAATAACTATTCTTCTCAAGAAATTTTCTAATATTCAACTTTTTTCCACCAGAAAAGGTCGTTGATTCGGGATAAATATATACAAAACAATACCATTTCAAGTGATATGCTATAAAATGAATATCAAATATAAATAAATACTTACAAATTATACAAATATCAATTCTGTTGACGCAAGGCTTCAGAGTCAAAAATTCTAGTAAAATTCATTTTAGATTAATATAATAAGATAATGCAACTTACAATAGGATATTGGTGGTATTATAAGTTTTATTGTTATTTATAGTAGGAAGTTAGTGGTACTATAAATTGTTATTGTATTGCTTGGTCTTCTTCTTTTTACATAACTAATATACGAAATACAATATTATACAGTATACTCATTTTATCTTCGAATCTTTAATATGAATTTTCATAACTTTTAATCACTTACTACAGTGAATTTAGATTATCAAACATAACTCTAATCATATTTCAACAAATTCTAACTCACAAAATAAATATATAATTTTTGTTCTTCTTATATTATTATTTAGTAGTTAGAACCTAATACATTCAATAAGAATTTTAATGCTGTTTGTAACCTCTGACATACACTTCAATAATCAGAGAACTCATAAATAAAGTTTTCTGTTATTTACCACCAAACCTTATTCCAAGCTTTATTTGAATATACTAACAACCGGGGTTCAAACTTTTGGTTGTCCTAAACCCTTTACCACAGTATTGAACAAAGATTTTATTTCTCAGGAATTCCAAAAGAGGCTTTTTACAACATACTTACAAATTCATACATTCGCAAATCAATATTTCACATTCCCAACTCCTACGAAATTGCATGAGATGATATTTCCCTTGTTACTATTAACACATCAAATTCAAATTTCAAGTTATTTTTGAGAATCAACAAGTATATTTAAGATATCTTTCTCTTAGGAAGTACTAAAAATATGCATTTATGAAGCATACATCTATCTTAAAAATCCGTGACTATCTTTCTTCTCTCCATAGAAAACATATACTAAAAAATGTAATGTAAATTTTTAATAAAATTTAAGGAAGAATGAGAGCAGAGCAACTTCCTCCTTAATGCAATCCTGTGCTATGAGAAATTTACATAATCATTGACGCTATTGGACCTTGATTTTGTCACATAAGGTTATCTTCCATATACCCATGACTTACTGACACCTTACCAATTACATTTTTTTAATGTATCAGTACCAACGTGCTTGATAATAGATAATTTTTCTATTGTTGCTATATTCTTTTGCTTGTCAGTAATTGTTACAATTAAGGGCTCAACAATTGATATTGTGAGCTAGATATCTACATCAAACTATTGCAAGTATTTTATACCGAATATCAAATAAAAATATTCAAAAATATTCAAATAATAATCAAGCTATAGAATCTACAAATGTGCAATATACATATTACAAATATATATCAAGCACAATATATATCTGTTCCTACCTGATATTGACCCATTTTATTTTATTTTCTACTGTTATTTACTAAAATATCAAATCCAAATCTACTTTCAAACCAGTTATAAAATAAAGATATACCGATGCATAAAAGTATATATATGTATATGCATATACAATAACGTAAAATATGTGTTTACTACGCATACCACTATTTCATTTCATTAAAAAACTGCTGTTTCCCTCTTCAACCATTTATAAGTAATTGATTGTGGTTGCATATATTGAACTAAATTGTTCCATATCTTTCTATTATAGTTATTAATTTGTTCCCTTTCTTCAGTAGTTAGCATATCGACATTAATTAATTTTCTACAATATGGAACCATAGTGATATTTTCAAATTCTAGGAATGGAATATCACCAAATTTCAATTCTGGCTCGCATTCCTTGACTAATAAGTCATTTTCAATTCTAATACCATATTCACCATCTTTGTAATAACCAGGTTCATTACTAATGATATTCCCTGCCTCTAATGGGTATTTAACTAAATGTGGTTTGAAACCAATCCCTATAGGACCCTCGTGAACGTTTAAGAAAGATCCAATACCATGCCCTGTACCATGTCTGTAGTCAAGCCCATGTGACCATAAAAATTGTCTTGCAATGGCATCTAAATTGTAACCAGTAGTACCTCTAGGAAATTTAGTTCTCTCCAAGGCTAAGTTACCCTTTAAGACTAAGGTATAGTTGTCAATTTGTTCTTGAGTTGGTTTTGTAAAGTGTAACGTTCTTGTAATATCTGTTGTACCTTCCAAAAACTGAGAACCTGTGTCACACAAATATATTTTTGATGGATCAATCATTGAAGAACCTTCAATTGGTGGAGCATAATGAATAATAGCAGAATTGGCACCGGTAGAAGAGATTGTTTCGAAAGAGTTTCCTTGGAAATTTTTTTGTGTTTTTCTAATTTCAACTAATTTAACAGCAGCTTTGTGTTCATCAATTAATGCTTCCTTAAAAACTAACTGATGTTCTAACCATGCAAAATATTGAATAATACAAAGTGCATCTTTCACCTGGGCCTTATGCGCATTGTTTATTTCATTTGAATTCTTAACAGATTTGAAATAATCAATTGGTGAATGAATAACTTTGTAATCAGTGTTTATAACATGACGTAAGATTTGCCATGAGGAAGTATCTGGTATTAAGAAATTATGTGTATTCGTGGAATTATCATTATCATTTTCATTTTTAATGGACAATACAGTAGTTTTTAAATGGTCCCAGAATGATTCATATGCTTTTACCTGGATATCGTTTTCATCAAAATATTTTTGGATGTCTTCATTAAATTTATTATTAGTAAATAAGATTGTTTCTTTATCATTAATTAAACAATATGAAAAGAATACTGGGTTGTACTCAATATCTGATCCTCTTAAATTTAACAACCAACATATTTCATCTAATGCAACAACTACAAAAGTCCTCCCATGTTTTGAATCTTTCGTTTTACTATTTTTTTGACCATCCTTATCACCAGCATCCAATTTAGATAATTCTTCTATTAGTCTTTTCCTTTTAGATTGGAAACTTTCACCAGAATACTGGTCTGATAAGAAAATTATGTCACTACATGGTCTCTCTGGGACGACTTCAAAATCACCCCACATCAAATCAATCAAATTTTCTTCAATTGGACATAACTCTATTTTATTTCCGCTCGATGAAATCCTTTTATTTTCGCTATCAATCATTTTATGTAAATTCAAAACAGCTTCAAAACAGATCAATTTAGGGTCAATACCAATCTTCACTACAGCACCAGAGGACAACCCTAATGCCATTTCTGAACATTCTTTTATGCACCATTCTGGCCAAGTAATTTTATCAACACCTTGCCTAATTAGAGACCAATTGAAATCCAACTCTTGAGAGGCTTGATTAAAGTACCTGCCGTCTGTGGACAAAACTGATTTCCCTTCATATCTATCTGGATTAAAATTTAGAAGATCTCTTGTAATACAGGCAACACCAGCAGATCCAGAAAATCCAGAAATAAAAGCTCTTCTTTGATCAACAAGGGCTACATATTCAGATTGATGTTCATCTTCACTAGGAACAATATAACAGGCCAAATCATGTTTTGCCATTAGTTTTCTCAATTCTAATAATCTCTTAGATGTGTTGATTTCCTTTGTCGTTTGGCACAATGAATCTGAGGAATAAATTGAAACAGTATCAGTAAATCTTTCTCCTGTGGCTGTGATAGTAGATAGCGAAGTTGAAGTTGAAGTGTTACTTCTCTTTGAGGTTGTAGAACTCAAATATCTATTATTTTCCATTCTTTTCATGAAAAGAGAGGATCTTCTATTTTGTCTAGATAAAAGGCCTGGAGAACAAGTACAGTCACCACATGGCCTTAAGGGTCTTCCTAAACGAGATCTTGCAGTAACTGTAGTTCCAGAAAAAGTTGTTGTTGCAGCTGCAGTTGAAGATGCACCCATGATTAATTTACAAATATACCTTTTAATATTGATTTAATCAGAAAAAGTTTCAATATATAAATAAATAATAAAAAAAAAGAAGAAAAAAAACAGTATAAAAGATAATGATCAACTTCTAAACACCTTCTTTTTTCTTTAACTAAAAAAAAACACTCTTATTTGACTAAATTTAAAGTAATAAAAGATAAAATTCTTTTTGTTTGTCTTTTGTCTTTCCTTTACAATGAACAGTACTTTCAATAAAAGAATATCCTTGTATATTTGATTCACCCTTCAGATGATATGAATTATGATAGTAGAAAGGAGTTTACAGGTTTTATAAGAACAGTTGTTAAATAAGGAAATCCAACAATGAAACAACACTCTTGAGAAGAAAAAAAAAATAAAAGTCGTTTATTGTTGGGTTTAAATGGTTTGTTTTTTCTTTTTTTTTTTTTTTTTTTTTTTTTATTTTCTTTTTTGTTGATTCTGTGGTGATTCTTTTTTGCTTCTGCAGGTTATATTAAAAATATAACGATTGTTGAAAGGAGTATCTCTCACTAATGGCACGTGACCTAATTGTTGGTAGTATTTATTTTTTTCAACCCTCTCCTTGACGAGAAAGAAAAGGTGAAAAAAGGTAATTGACGATAGAAAAATAAAATAACCCCTCTACGATAAAATGAACATAAATGAACATGAAGGAAATGGATCAAGATGAAAAGAGCTATGTAATTTACAAGAAAAAAGCAGCTACAATGATAAACCTAGTTGGTATTTTTTTTGTTTTATGAATTATTACTTGTTTAAGAAAAAAAAAATTCTTTTCAAGAGATTGTTGCTCTTATCTGTATATATTGGCTTTTCTTATTTGTGTAATCTTTTGAAAGATCCCATAGGCTTTGAAGAAAATATATTCTCTTTTCCATGCCAATAAAAAAAAAAAGAGGGTAATCGAAGAACCATAAATCAGTAGTAACACACCTTACATAGAATATCTATTAAGAAAGAAAAAAAATATGTATGTATTAACATAAGATTATTCAATGTATCATATTTTACTAGTCTTAACAATACATATATATATACATACATCTATTTGTATATATATAATACCATAACAACCCTGGTCTAGAGCCATAAACCTTCTAGATAATAATTTATTTATACCTCATAACCCTGAAAGTTTGATTGAAAAAAAAAAAACAATTTTCGATGACTTCATAAAAAGACTCTGGTGATCACGAGGTCTTCAGGAAAACACTCATCCCTTGCAATATTATGTAGAGTGAACGCAAAATGTCAACTCTTTCCACACGAAAAAAAAGACAGTTAGCAACAACAAAAACTGCACCCAGAAATAAAAATCGGTTAACCTTCACCGGATGTCCATATTAGGAAACAGTTACCATGCTAACGGGTGAAGGATGTACAGATGTTCAACAGCTCCGAGAGCTAGTCACATGACTGTAAAGGATGTGTGGATGGACAAAATGTCGTCGATAATTATCTTTTTCTTTCTTTATTTGTAGTGTGTTCCTAATGAATTTTATGTAATATGTTGCTCCTCCTTTTAATCTATCCCTGGCTAAAAATAAATGAATAATTATTAATATTAATTAGCAAAATCTATTTGACACAAGTAACTAGTATAGCGAACGAAATAACATAGTTTTTTTCTTACAGTGCATCCGTCTCTACAAAAGTAAGAACAATCCTCTCTACGACAGCCTAATGTTTAAGAATTTCCGTTTTTTTGTTTTTTTTGTAACTAAGATTTATTTAAATTTATTTACTGTACCATTATTCTTCACATCACATTACTTTTTTATCTAGTGTAAGATGTAACTGCATTTTTTGCGGATCACTGCTTATATGTTTACTTGATGATACTCATTTCCTATCTTGTCTTATGTGTAAAATTATTTAATTAGTAATCAACAAATTGACCTTTTCATTTGTTTTTCTCTCTCAAATTCCTTCGGATTCTAATCAGGAATTTCTCCAGTTCAGACTAAAGTACTAATAATTCTATATTTAAACAAAAATTCAAACTTTCATGATCTTTTTCTGCATTTAGTCATACACACATACATAAGTACCTATAGTCACACACATATGCGAGCGTATTTGTATTGATTATTCCCTGTTGTTTAATACTTTACGGATACTTCTTGTGGTTATCTTTTGTTATAAAAATACAAAAATAAACTAGAGAAAAAACAACCAACCAATAGCAACAATAAAAAAGGCACACAAAAAAAACACATTGAAATCCAATAACCCATAATACTATAAATTCAGATAAAATTAAGAAAATAACTAGTGTTATTTTATCATTCTGCCCAAATCAAAAAACATATGAACTCCAAAGAGTAACAACAATAACCTACAATTAAACATGATGAGGCTGCAACACATTCCAAATAAAATTATATTTCCTATATCGAGTAGATTATTAGTGAGGTCTATAGTCACTCCAAGTAGTGATTATAGGACAAGACGATCAACCACAATAACACCAGTCACAAATACTCCATCGACGCAATTTAAATTTAAATTTATTCCAACTGTACATAACAATAACACAAAACCTGTGAATAAAAATGATTCCACATCGCTATCTTCGTCCATTAAACAAAAAAGATTAACAAGTTATAGTTTACCATCTAAAAATATTCTTGATAAACATGAAGAAATAATTGAAACTAAAGGGAACTCTCAACTAGCAACATTAAATAAAGTAGAAGAAGTAATGGAGGACACAAGGGAGAGAAGAGAGATCAAACATTTAATAAATGTTCAGAATAGTATTTCTATATCTGCCAATTCCGGCACAACTGCAACTGCAACTGCAACCTCCACCACTACTGCTATCATACCAAAAAAGAAAAGGAAAAGAACATTACGCGCAAGAAAGGCAGTTATTACTTTAACACCAAGAGCTGTAGAGCATTTGAAAAAGTTACTAGACTTACCTGAGCCTAAGATGATTAGAGTGTCAACAAAAAACCGTGGTTGTTCTGGAACACAATACGATTTATCGTATGTGTCAAAACCAGAAAAATTTGATGAAATCGTCGAACATGATGGAGTTACAATTATTATTGATTCAAAGGCCTTGTTTAGTGTAGTAGGAAGTGAAATGGATTGGATTGATAATCAACTAAATACTAAATTTATTTTTAGGAATCCGAATGCTAAGGGAACCTGTGGATGTGGTGAAAGTTTCATGATATAGATGAAAAAAAAAAAAAAGAAAAAAGAAATAAAAAACGAAAGAACAATTTTTATTGTATCATCGACTTTAGTCCATTTTCCAGAACTGATTAATAATCTATGCATGTATTTGTCTTTATTGTGTATTCATTTATTTATTCAGAAATTGTTATTTATTTATTTATTTATTAATCATATTCCATATCTAATGTTTAAGCAAATTGATCTTGCTTTCATTAAACTATCAACTTTTACTACTAAGAGCTCTTCCATATCCCCTTATCACTTTAAATTAAACAGAAGCATTTTCTTTATTCTAGAAGGTTCGAGAAAAGTTTGTCTTTTTGGTTATGGAAGAATCTTCCGGAATATTTGAGAACCCACAACTTCTTTTCTCCTTCTCCCAATGATACTTTAGACATCGAAATAGAAAAATTATTCGAGAACCTTCAGGAAGTGTCTGCGAGATTTTGCAATGGTGGACAAGAAAAAAAAAAGGTTCCTTTTTGTTTTCTGGAAAATTAAACAATTCTTTCAAAATTTGAAAGATCTCGAGAGAACAAGAAGAGCTTATTTTAGAAAATTGCATCGGCATAGGTAGTTTCCCCTTAAATTTTTTCATGCAGAAAGTCTTGTAAAAAAAAAAAATCCCTAAAGAAAAGTTTTTAAAAATTTAGCATAGCCCTAGTGTAAATTACTGTGGACATAGTTGTTTTTCTAAGCGTACCCTAAAAATATTTATTTGATTTAAAAAATAAATCTAGACTGTAAAATAATTATACAAATCCACCACTGATTGTCCCGTTGAAGGCACCTTTACAACCTTACTATATTACACAACCTTACCATTATTTTGAATGATAAATGTAATTGTACTAAAAAAGAAAAACAGATATAAAAATAAAGCAAATTATTATTTAGTTGTCCTGTGATTGCTTGTTTTGTATGAATATTAATAATGAGAAATGGAAACAAACAAATTGTTTCAAAATAAGTTTTTTCCAATGAACCCTAAGTCTCCACCAATATTATGTTCGGAAAAAACACCAAAAAGGTTGTTTAACCCGATCATTTTTTCCAATGTTTTATATGTTTCTTTTTTCAGATTAATAATTTTTTGGCCTCAAATTTTTTCAAGGGGGATGTCACTTTTCTAATCTTCAGAACAACTAATAACAAGTAATCTCCAGTTAAGGGGGTACGTAAAGGCAATGTGACAGGGATATTACAAGAGAGATTCAAAAGCATATATAAAGATCTGGTTTTAAATCAAATTCAAATATAATAACTCTTTCTAGTTGTGAAACTTCTTCTTTTCTTTTATTCTTACAATAGCTATAATTCTTCCATTGATACAATAAACAACCAGAAACAAATTAAGAAAACCTAATATATAAATTATAGATTTCCAAATGAATGACGAATCGCAATTCACAGAAAAGGCACTTACTATCTTGACCATTGCACAAAAGTTGGCTCAAGATCATCAACATCCTCAATTGCAACCAATACATATACTGGGTGCATTTGTGGAGACCCCTGAGGACGGTACCATATCATATCTACAGAATTTATTTGATAAAGCTCGTTATGATTATGACAGTTTCAAGAGAATAGTTAACAAGAACTTGGTCAGGATTCCACAACAACATCCAGCTCCACAACAAATTACTCCAAGTTATGCTCTAGGTCAGGTGTTGGAGAATGCTGCTAAGATTCAACAACAACAAAAGGATTCATTTATTGCTCAAGATCATTTACTATTTGCTTTATTTAAGGATTCATCTATTCAACAAGTCTTTAAAGAGGCTTCTGTAGACATAGAATCTATTAAGCAACAGGCGTTGCAATTAAGAGGTAATCAGAAGATTGACTCTCGTGGTGCCGATACTAATACTCCACTGGAATATTTGAATAAATATGCTGTTGATATGACTGAGCAAGCTCGTGAAGGTAAGTTAGATCCAGTCATTGGTCGTGAAGAAGAAATTAGGTCTACCATCAGAGTCCTAGCAAGGAGAATTAAATCCAATCCATGTCTTATTGGTGAACCAGGTATCGGTAAGACAAGTATTATCGAAGGTATAGCTGCTAGAATTGTGGACAATGATGTCCCTGAGATTTTGAAGAATTGTAAATTGTTCAGTTTAGATCTTGCTGCTTTAACTGCCGGTGCCAAGTATAAGGGTGATTTTGAAGAAAGATTGAAAGGTGTTTTGAAGGAGATTGAACAATCAAAGACGTTGATCATCCTTTTCATTGATGAAATTCATATGTTGATGGGTAACGGTAAGGATGATGCCGCCAATATATTGAAACCAGCTCTTTCCAGAGGTCACTTAAAAGTTATTGGTGCTACCACAAACAATGAATATAGATCAATTGTCGAAAAAGACGGTGCTTTCGAGAGAAGATTCCAAAAGATTGAAGTCTCTGAACCAACCATTAGACAAACCGTGGCAATTTTAAGAGGTTTGCAACCTAAATATGAAATTCACCATGGTGTTAGGATATTGGATAGCGCATTGGTTACAGCTGCTCAATTAGCCAAACGTTACTTACCATATAGAAGACTACCAGACTCTGCTTTAGATTTAGTGGATATCTCTTGCGCTGGTGTTGCTGTTGCTAGAGATTCCAAACCTGAAGAGTTAGATTCTAAAGAACGTCAATTACAACTATTGAAGGTGGAAATTAAGGCTTTAGAAAGAGACAAGGATGCTGATTCTACTACCAAGGAAAGGTTACAGAAAGTTAGACAAATGGAAGCTTCCTTGGAGGAGGAGTTGCAACCATTAAGACAACGTTACAACGAAGAAAAACATGGTCATGAAGAACTTACAGAAGCCAAGAAGAAGTTAGATGAATTAGAGAACAAGGCAGCAGATGCTGAACGTAGATACGATACTGCTACTGCTGCTGATTTGAGGTATTTTGCTATTCCAGATATTAAGAAGCGTATTGCTGACTTAGAAAACAAGGTTGCAGAGGAGCAAGAACGTGCAGGAGCTAACTCTATGATTTCAAATGTTGTTGACTCTGAAACTATTGCTGAAACAGCAGCTAGATTAACTGGTATTCCTGTAAAGAAGCTATCTGAATCTGAAAATGAAAAATTGATTCATATGGAAAAGGAATTGTCTTCTGAAGTTATTGGTCAAATGGAAGCCATTAAAGCTGTTTCTAATGCAGTTAGATTATCTAGATCTGGTCTTTCTAACCCAAGACAGCCAGCTTCTTTCTTATTTTTGGGTTTATCTGGTAGCGGTAAAACTGAACTGGCTAAAACCATCGCAAGTTTCCTTTTCAATGATAAGGATATGATGATTAGAGTCGATTGTTCTGAGTTAAGTGAGAAATACTCTGTTTCCAAGTTATTGGGTACAACAGCCGGTTATGTTGGTTACGATGAAGGTGGTTTCTTAACCAATCAACTTCAATACAAGCCATATTCTGTGCTTTTATTTGATGAAGTTGAAAAGGCCCATCCCGATGTTTTAACAGTCATGTTACAAATGTTAGATGATGGTAGAATCACATCTGGTCAAGGTAAAACAATTGATTGTTCCAACTGTATTATCATTATGACATCTAATTTAGGTGCTCAATACATTAATGCTCAAGAAGGTTCAAAGATCACAGATGAAACGAAAAACCTGGTCATGGGTGCTGTCAAACAACATTTTAGACCTGAATTTTTAAACAGAATTTCTAGCATTGTTGTTTTCAACAAACTATCAAGAAAGGCTATTCATAAGATTGTTGATATCAGATTGAAAGAAATTGAACAAAGATTTGAGGCCAATGACAAACATTATAAGTTAGATGTCTCTCCAGAAGCCAAAGATTTCTTGACTAAATACGGTTACTCTGATGATATGGGTGCACGTCCATTGAATAGATTGATTCAAAATGAAATTTTGAACAGGTTAGCCATGAGGATCTTGAAGGGTGAAATCCATGACAAGGAAACTGTTAAGGTTAGATTAGTTCATGGAAAGCCTCGTGGCAGTGGTGAAAAGGAGGACCAAGAAGAGAGGTTGGAAGTTGTACCTAACCATGAAGCCAAGACTGGTGGACAAGATCAAAACTATGATTACGATGAAGATATGGATGTTGACGTAGATTAAAGAGAAAGCTGTATATATTAAATATATTTTTTAATTTACTATATATTAGAATATAATTATTTTATGTTTGATTAGGATTTCATAAGTTTGTTAGTAAGTTATTTTGTATTTCTTCTGTACGGAATGCTTTTTGGTTATAGAGTCGAAGTTATAAGATTAGATTTAGTGAATTTTTTATTAAAAAAGTGGTGGCTGTTTTTTCATACTTTCCAGGCTAGCTTTAAAAGAACTGGTAACATTATAAAAAATATGAGTATAACTTCAAATAACAAATGTCACATGCATTTGGTATTCTGTATTAAATGATGGAACATAGTTTAGAAGAAAAGTGTTTTACTCATTGCATAAACTAGAGATGAAATCTGAAACAGTCCTCTATGACTCCTTAAGAAGCTATAATAACGATTTTCTAATATATAAACAGTTAAATACATTAGGATTATATGGATAAAGGTAAAAGTTATTATTTAAACTTTAAAAAGAAGAACAATATGATGGTTTCGGTCAATGTTTTGAAATATGTTTGTGTGTTTATTTTCTTCGTTTGGAGGATACGTATTTGATTGAGAAGTTTATATCCATGAGAATATATATTCAAATTTATAACATAGTTTATGTTTATTTTAAAATGATCTATATTTTATTGATTGTATCGATAACTTTTAGAGCCAAAGATATTTTTTGTTTGTTAGTGTAGATTTACATTCTAATCAATATTGATGACTTTATAAAAGTTGAATCTTTATTTAAAATTTGGAAAATAGGGGAGAAGTAATTACAAAAACTTAGTCATGTTAACAAGCCCACTTACATTTTTTGTAGAGGAAATTTTATTTGAGTGTGTTTTAATAATTAGCTCTTTTCCATTGAATTAGTGCAAGCACGATAGATATTTTTAAGTATTGTTAATCTATATTAGGATAAATAATATTTGCTAAGGGACAAAATGACAGAACAAAGCAATATAACGGATAATAAAGAATTTCTTAAAACCCAAGAATTAAATTCGATTAATCAAAAGCTGGAAAAGAGTCTTATTGTAAATGTTAAACCAGTTTCTCTTTTAGACATTCAAAATAGAGAACAGTGTGCCGCCCTTGTTGAAAAACAAACTGTTTTTACAGAAGACATTACTGAGGTTTTATCAAATAATCAAGAGAAAGATGCTGATGTATTTCAAAATGAAATAGTGAAACTACATTTACAAAATATAAATAAATTAGAAAATTTTAGATATAAGAAAGACCATATAACTATCATATCATTCTTTTCTGATGTTGATTCCGGTCCAAGATCTACTTTGATGGATTCTGTTCTTGTAACTCCATTTCTTACATCTTTTAAAGGCCCCTTTATTGAAAAGCAAATGAAACAGGTTATAAGAGAAACAAAAACGAAACAATCTGATGATGATGATGAACGCTTTTTTTCCAAAGTCGAACATTCCAATAATTTGGGTTCCAATTTTTCAGGTTTTTATATCACTATGTGGATGATATTTGGTTGGACTATACTACATGGTATGATGAACTACCTTTTACTAAATAATTGGCAATATAATGATATTCCATTAGTAAATTTAATGACAGAAAGGTTATATATTGTGCTTATAATAGATCTGTCAATGTGGTTTTCAAGTTATACTGTAGTTCTTATTCAAAGCTTTATCAAATGGAATTTACTCTTATGGGAATCTACTGGTCGATATTTTACCATAACATTTGAAATAGTTTATTTTTATTTCTTCCATTTTCTGGTAATTGATTATTTCAAAATGAATTGGATTTCAAGAATATTTTTCTTTTTACATTGTTTGGTGTATATAATGAAAATGCATTCTTTTTCATTTTATAATGGATACCTCTGGAACATTACACATGAAGCAGCCTTTTCCAAATGGGCATTATCTAAATATAAGAATTCTGTTCCATCACCTGTACTTGCTACCTTGCAAAGAAGTCAAACATTCTGTGAATACGAACTTTCAACACAATCTTCAACAACCGAATTTCCAGCTAATATCTGCTTTAAAAACTATACATTATTTTGTCTTTATCCTACTTTAGTATATCAAATTGATTACCCAAGGTCTAAAAAGATAAGATGGATGTACGTATTTCAAAAATTTTGTGCAGTAATTGGTGTGCTATGTTTGATGGTCATAACTTCACAATTGTATTTATATCCATACATAACAAACACGATAAATATCACTTCTAATGGGGGCTGGCCAGATTTATGGACAAGTACTATCTATTGGTTTTGTCTATTAGTAGATGTTTTGCCTGGGTTTTCGATAATTTTTTTATTAACTTTTTATTTTATATGGGATGCATTATTAAATTTTGTTGCTGAATTAACCCAATTCACTGATAGATACTTTTATGGAGACTGGTGGAATTGTGTTTCTTTTTCTGAATGGTCTCGTATTTGGAATGTTCCAGTCCATAAATTTTTGCTAAGACACATATTCCATAGTTCTATGAAACACTGGAAACTTTCCTCTACTACCGCTACGTGGGTTACATTTGGACTAAGTTCAATGCTACATGAGTTCTCCATGTATGTTATATTTTTAAAAGTAAGACCATATATGTTTTTATTCCAAATGAGCCAAATACCCACCACATATTTAAGTAAAAGGACACCGTTCAAGGAAAACCCAGCTTTGTGTAATGTTTTATTTATATTTGCTATCTATACCGGAATGACAACAATACTTTGTTTATACTTGGTATATTAAACCAGATTAAAATACAAGACACAAGAAAATCTAAGATATTGTAAAAAAGACAAGATTCTCCCTTCTATCAATTTCAATATCTTATTCAGAAATAGTATCAAACTGTTAGTAGTCGTTTGAATATATATCGAATGTATATATTAAAGACCTACCACAATGAACTGGCTCATGTAAGATTTACTTAAGAAATACACACTATTACCAGCTATTACGTTAATTGGTTTTATTTTCTAAGATTTCCTATTTCGGTACGTTTGTCTTTTTTATCTTTATCTGTGTTGTATTTTGCAGGAAGCAAGCAGTATAAAAAAAATGGTTTAGCCGCCCTGTTCTTTTTTCAAGGTGGGCGGTTATAGAAACTCCGATATGACATTCTTCTTTCATTTTTTGTATATAAAGCAACCAGATCTAATGACTTCTGGAACTTAAAATCAATCGGTCGTCTTTTGTTCTTCTCTATATTTTTCTGATATGTTGAGAAGTTGTGGTAATTACAACTAATATTATTATCTTTGTTGCATATGGTTTTCATTTTACCTTTTTTTTTGTATTTAATTCTACTGTTATTATAACATACACAGTTATCTTTTACCAGCTCTATTAGGATAATCAAAAACAGGGTGAACAAAATACAATATACCATAATAAACTTATACTCTCCATTTTTATTTCTATTTTTCTATTAATTTATTACTATATATTATATTAACCCCCCCCTTCCTCAAAGCTATATATATTCCTAGATATTTTGTTGTTGTTGTTGTTGTTGTTGTTGTTGTTGTTTTATTTGGTTCCTACATCCATCTTATTTACATATATAAAAACACTATTTAACTAAACTATTCATTTCTAAAATTGTTATACCGCTTTGCAATATAGTTACAACAAATATATCTTTCATAATATATTGACAGATTTTAATTTTAAATAATCTTCGTTAAAAGTCAAAAGTTGTGTTTTCTAGCATTAATCAAAAAACATCTTTTCTTTACTCCTTCAAATAAAGGAAACAACATCAAAATTAGAAAGTAAGAAAGTATAAATATAAATATAAATATATATATATATATATATTAATTTGCTCTTTGTTACATATCCAATTATGGAACAGGAAAATTTGTGTCAAACATTAGATTTGACATGTTCCGAAAATGAGATTTTTAAAGCTAGTTTTGACCTGCGTAACCTGAAAGAAAGTGCAAAAGATATTGGATGTAATGAATATATCGACTCTCTACTACCAAGTGAAGTTTCTTCTTCCTCAGCTTCGGAGGAAGATTTAAGTTCTATTGAAGCTAATGAAAGTAACAGTGACTCATATGAAACACCCCTAATACAATCCTCTGGATGTGATGTTGATGTATTTTTAAAAGAGACTAATGAAAATAATGTTAAGTTAGAGGATATTCCATACAAGAGACATGATCCTATAACTAAAGGAAGGCCTTCCTCCTGCATATTTGTTGCTTCGTTAGCAGCTATATTAACAGATGATCAACTGTGTCATTCTGTTACTGAAAAATTCCAATGTTTTGGAAAATTAAACGGAGTTAAAGTCTTGCGCGATCCACAGAATAGACCTTATGCTTTTGTCCAATATACAAACGACCATGATGCACAAAGAGCTCTAAATTTATCACAAGGTTCCACTTTAAATGATAGAGTCATTAGATGTGAACAAGCTAGAGTAAATAGAACTTTGTTTGTTTCATGCTCTTCGCCAATTTCTTGTCGAGATATCGAATCATTTTGTGAACAGTTTGGTGAATTAGAGCAATTAATCCCCAGTTTTACTTCAGATCCAAATCAACCTAACACAAAGAAAAAAAATATTCTTCCAAACTTCAGGTTTGTTGAACCGGAATCATATAAAATTGCTTGTTGGTTCGTACAATTTGCATTCAGGGATGATGCTATTAGAGCCTTTGCTAATATAAAAGCAGAACTTTCATGGACTGTCCATTGGGTTCAAAATGTAAAAGTGCCAAAAAAATACAATTTGCTTTCGTCTTTTCAAAGATCTTTATATGAAAAAAATGATAATAAAAAAGATGCTTATCATGAATCTAATGGAAATTGTATAAATAATAGAATTTCCATTGATAGAAAATCTATATTTGTTGGTCAATTACACAAGGACACTACAACAGAATTATTAACTAAACATTTTGAAATATATGGAAAAATATTTAATTTAAAATTAATTCATAAGCCAACTAATATTTTTGCGTTTATTGAGTACGATGACGAATCTTCAGCGGCTATAGCTTTGGAAAAGGAAAATCATTCAACTTTTCTTGGCAAGACTATTCATGTGCAATATAAAGAAATCAATAATTCATTTCCATATACGAAAAGGGAAGTAAGAACAAATCAACAGGAAGTATTCATTGGAAAGTTTAACAGTAACGGCAATCCAATTCAGCACCATAATGGTAATAAGTATTTTGTTAGTCCACAGATAACTTTGGCTCCACCGCCTATTAATATTGCTAGACGAAAAAATCTTGGTAATAGTACCATTGAATTATCAGTAAATAAGTTTGTTCCATCTCCTTTTAGAGGGTACTCTAATTATAGACGCAATTCGTATCCATTTGAATGGCAGTTGCATTCACTTGAAAATGAATTCATAGATTCTCAGACTAAAGCCTTTTCTCCTAAAGATATGTATATGGAAATTAATCATAAAGATAGAGAGAATACAGAAGAAAGAGAAAATGTTAATAAAATTTCATTTGAGGAAAAATCCTCAGATACAGTTAATTCAGAATATGATACTATGGATTTAATTGAAAATCCAACTCATGTTAGCATGACATCCTATAATGAATCGTCAAGAGATAGTTCCAAACCTGGTAAAACAAGCAACAAAAACAATTATAATAATAACAATTATAATTACAATGGTAAATCTAATTTCAACAATTCAAGGAGAAGATACTCTCATCCACCTAGTCCTTATTATCAACCAAATTATTTTATGGCACCTAATCCATACCACAGCACATCTTCTGGTAACACTCCCTCATACATGATGTATTACCCTCCAATGCCAATGCCTCCACCAGACACATTGTCACAGCATCAGTTTTTTCCATTTAATCCTTCAATATCACCATATGGTTCTAATTTAATGCCAATGATGATGCCACAGATGCCTCCACTACCCTTACCTCCTTTATCTGTTATGCCTCGAAATTCGACCCCATCTTCTTCAAGTGAAAATATTTCTCAGGCAAATGCATATATATTTAGTGATGGAAGAGATTGCGAGCATAGAAGTGAGTCACCACATGTATCTTTTAAAGAGGATATTAACTTAATTAGATCATTCAGTAATAGTGTTACAAGTTTAAATGTTTTAGATGGTAGTAAGGATATTAAACACACCGGTAAAAAGAATAATAGATTTCAAAAGATTCTACGTAATCAAGTTCCGAGTTTTAAACCAAGAATGTTTAATCAAAGAGAAAGTACACCTTTTAATGAAGAAATACCTTCAGAGTTTCTTGATTATTGATCTTAATATATAAGATGGCAAAAAAAAAAAATAAGGAGGTGTTGATGTACAGGTTGACAATAAGATCACCTATGGGAAGTAACATTATCATATTTGCTATTGATATCATATATATACAAATATATATATAGTTTAAATAATAAATCTCATCATATTTATAATTTATTACAAAGTGGTATTGATATATATGTAGTAATATCATATAAAGCGAGATGAAATAAAGCAAACAAATAAAACGACATTTAAACAGACAGGCATGTCACAACAATCAACATCTCTTATAAGTATGGAAGAAAAATTAATAGCAATAATAAAAAATCCAATTATCAGATTGCTTTTTTAGAATTAGACGAAGCGGTAGATTGAGCATGTTGTGAATTTCTTGGCGTTATTTGATATTTAGATAATTGAATTAAGTTTAATTTTAGAGTATTATAAAATTTCTTCACAGTAGGTGGAATAGATGGATGACTTATTATACCATCCATTCTTACTCTCCATTGAGAAAATACAGATGTTAGATATTTGGAATTTTCATATCTAATCTTCAAAAAGATAGAATAAATAATCAAACAGATCCATGATCTTTCGTACCACAGCAAGGCTTTGAAAATAACTTGTATTAAAATGACCAATTCAACAGAGGCTACCCAATACAGGCATCTTTCGTTGTAGTTTTTGACAAAACTTTGGATCTTAACAATCCATGGATTAGATTGGTCTAACTGAAAAACTTGTGGTAAAAACACAGTTTGTAAGTATCTTAGTCCATGGAAAAGAGAAAAAATAAAATATGGTAAGATAGACAATTTGTTAGCAGGCATAAATAACCATATTTGGGCTAAAATAAAATAGTAGAAGTTTTCATCATTCAATAAAGATTTTTTAATTGAATCTAAATTAAAAGAGGAATTATTCTTCAAATAATAATGTTGATACAGTATTATACCAAAGGATTCTAGCACAGCCACATAGATTAACCTATAAAGAAAAGTATTACCAGTCAAAAAACAAGCAGGAGATAACAAGGTAACCAAAAAGTGACCGGAAAACCAGAAAAATTCCAAAGTTTTCACAATTTCTAGAAATCTATTTGTTCTACCGCTATGATTGCGATTATTTGAAGTTGATTGTGCCATTTTGCTTGTTGATGATCTCTCGGATGCAGTGAGACTGTGAATAGTTTGGCAAGTATTCATGTATGAAACTTTTTTCTAAAGAACACAGTGCACCTTTTTATTTGTTTGTGTGTGTTTAAGTGTTTTTTTTTCTTTTTCTACTTTTTACCTTATTATTATAGTAAGATTTAGAAAGGAAAAAAAAAGGAAAGGAAAAGAAAGCAATTAAAAAAATAAAGGTTGTTGTTGGCAAAATTAGGTCTAAGCAAAACCCTAACAAAAGAAATGAGGTTCAAAGCCTTTAGACAAAAGATATAAAATGGAAGTAAAATAAAGACTATATATATATATATATATTGAATGTGTGTGTGTGTGTATTTATATGCATGCATTTATTTATTTTTTTTATTATTATATGATGGTAATTTTTAATATATGAAAGACGTTTCATTTTCTTTTTGGTTTCTTTTTTTGAATTAAGTTGGATAAATCATTAACATTGTCTATCTTAATTGTATCTGTGGATATTTGTCCTAATGCTCTTTTCAACACATTATCAAAATCTGGATGTAAGGATCTGATATCATTTGTACGACTTCCCTGTAATTTCAATTCGTGTAATTCTTCTTTTAAACCGGGTAAAATTGGAATATATTCGTCATCTTTAGAGGATTTTATTAATTTTATGGCTTCTATCAAAGATTTCTTGTAAATTTTAAAATAATAATCTGATTTTTCCATAGGTTGATCAGTCCATTTGATTAGTTCTGTGATCTTCAGTAAAATAGATATCTTTAGATTCGTATTATTCATCTGTTCGCAGCTAGCCAATGCTAGATTATAATAATTCAGAGAGTTTTTGATATCATCTAATTCTTTAAAACAATCTGCTAGGATAGTATATAATTTAATCAGACTAGTTTTATCATTAGTATTATTCATCTTTGTATTTATTATAGATAATATGAATTCAATCATTAAACGGAAAACTGCTCTACCTTCTTTCATAAAGTCATTAAAATCTGTAATGCTTATAGAATTGTTATCATCACTATCAATAACCTGATTATTAGATTCCTCATTCGTAAAGTCAATTTCATCATCTTCTTTTAAACCAAATTGGAAAAATTTAGTATTTTTAAGATGTTTCTCGTCATTTTCATTTTCAATATTCTCCTCCTCCTCCTCCTCCTCCTCCTCTTCTTCTGTATCTATTTCATAGTCATCCTCACTGTTACCAGCAAAGATATTATTTTGATTGACTTCCAAAGCATACCCAAATAACGATTGAAGAAATTCTATAACAAGTGGTAAATTCTGATAAAACGTATCATCTATAACTATTGCTTGGTCTACATTATCCTTGTCACTATTTCTAACAAAACATTTGTTCATTAATGGAACCCAATATGACATAGATTTTTTCAGTTCATTATTTTTTGAAGAGAAAACTGCATCTTTGTATAATTGGTCATCGGAATACGATATCATATTACTTTTATTTATTTATTTATTTTTTTAATTGCTCAGCTTTGGCTTGAATAGAGAGTATTGTAAAAGACAAATGACGACCGGACTTCTTACAGTTTTAGACAACAGCTTGTTTCATTTAAAAAAGAAAATTGATGTTAATTTTAAATATAATTTTTGAGAATTGGTAATTTCCTTTTATTTATCTTTTTTTTTTTTTTTTTAATTTTTTCTCTTTTAGATATATCACCACTTTACCGAAGTAATTAATGATGTTACTCCTTTATTTCTTGCTATATTTCTAACTGTTTAAAAGAAAAAAAAACGCGTCAACTTTTTCGCGTTGCAATCTCCTCAAACAAGAAAAAAAAAAAAACCATAGTGGAATATTAGGAAGAAATCCCCGATGGATTTCCTACTTTGGCGGCTAATTACATATCCAATATATATACATATACATATACATATATAATGGTGGATTTGTTTCTTACTGAAATATGTCTTCCTTGAATGAATCCACACGATAATATGTTTAAAATCTCCTGAATGCAAGATCAATACTGTATCGATAAATAAATACAATAATTAAAAAAAGCAAAAGAAAAGATTAGTATGATTATTATACATGTTTTTCTTATTCTTGTATTTTATGAGATGATAGCATAATATATTTTCTTGGTCGAATATTAACATACAAACAAAAGAAAAAAAAAAAAGAAAAAAAATCTTTAGCAAGAATATACTGTGTTTGGGAAATATATATATATATATATTTGACTAGGATATTTCATTAAACACATATTTTTCAATAGGTGGGTTTCTTTTTCCCCCATACTCTTTTTAGTCAACGTTTAGAAGAATTGAAACGACAAATTATGAAACGCACGAAGCAAAAAAATTAACATAAGAAAAAAATAAAACAACTAAATCAATGAGGTGGTTTTATTTAGTAGTTTTATCTATTTTCTTTTTTATTTATTTATTTATTTATTTATTAGAACTTTATATATTGATGAAACCTGTTCAGAACTAATCATGCAGCATTTTCAGACAAGAATAGTGATATTCTTTTAGAAGTAAGGAATGCCGATTGGGAAACCAGACGTTTCTTTTCTTTTGGATCGTTTTTTGAAACGTTTTTTGTTTTTTCTGCCATACCATCAAATTCCGGAATTGTGGACGGTTTTGCCGGAATTCTTTTTTTTTTTTTTTTTTTTTTTTTTTATTTTCTTTTTTAGCCGAGAAGAAATTTTAACAGTTAAACAAAAAAAAAAAAAGAGAATATTGTTTGTGTAATATTCCCTTTGCCAAAATTTCTCGATGAGCATAACAAAAGTAATTTCGACCAAGAACAAAAAACAAAAACAAAAACAAAAAAAAAAATAAAGAAATAAATAGGCACGATTGTTAAGATAAAACAAAAACAAAGTTTAAAAATAATATTAATATACTATCAAGGTTTAATATATTAATGTTAAAGGTTGTTGAAGAAAAAAAAAGTATTCATTATAAAAGAACAAACATCATTCAAAACAAACAAACAAACAAATAAATAATAGAAATTCATTTTCACTGAACTGTCTAACTATCATAACTTCTAATAATCAACCAGATAAAGGACTTCACAATTCCTACAACAACTTAAAAAGAAAAAAGAATAAAAAAAAGGAAAAGATAATAAAAAATATAAATAAAAATAAAAATAATCGAAAAAAAAAAGAGAGAGACATGACTTCCCAGACGGAACAAAAACCTTTACCATACCATGAAGAAATACATCAATATTTTTTAAAGTTATCAAATTTCTTGAATATTGCCACTACAGAAAATTCTAATGCTAATCAAAAAGTTACTAAGGATCGCTCAAACTCTGTAAGAGCTCAGAAAGCTAGAGCTAAATTATTAAAGTTATCACCATTACAATTCTACGAACTTTGTACAGACGTTACTGATGAATTGAACAGAAGAATAAAAGAGAATGTAACTAAAAACGAGAATAATAATAATAATAATAATAATAATAATAATAATAATAATAACACCTCTACTACAAATAATAATCAAGATGATAAAAGTAAAGATTATTTATTACCGAAATTAAATTATCACGTAAAGAGAAACCAAGCAAGACAAAAATTGTCTAACCTCTCACAATTAAGGTTTAATGATTTAATTGATGATATTTTATTCGAAATGCGGAGAAGAGGATATCATATCATTATATTTGGTAATGAAAATGTACCAGACTCTAAAACGTCCTCTCCAGAAATCAACAATTCTCAAAATATCAATACAAATAGACCAGAAAATCAAGAAAATAGTAAATATGACTTATCTAATAATAATAATAATACTGAACGTACAATTGATTCAAATATCACTGTTCCTTTGCCTTCAGTGATTCAATCATCCTTAATAATACCCCAAAAAGCTTCTATTGATTGGTCAGAAGAAGAAGAAGAGGAAGAGGATGAGAAAGAAGAGGAACGCAAAAAAGAACAAGACCACGAGGAGGATAAATCTAAAACTAATAATTCTGAAAATATGATGATAAATAAACCAAAAGAAGAAGCATATACAGATCAAAGGAAGTTGAAACCTAATTATTTTCAAAATGAAGAGTTTGATCCTACCAGTGATAATGAACTCGACAGTGGTAATACAACTGAGGATCTTATTAGATCTAACTCGATGAAAAATCCGTTTAATTCTTCTACTAATGATACAATTAATACTGTTTCAGAAGATGGTGTTATTAATATAGCAAGTCTCAAATCAAATAATCCCTTAACATCACCACCTGATGTGAGAAATACTACAAACAATGAGGAGAGTATTGATGATAAGACTAAAATATCTATTGGTATACCTAAAGTCTATGATACAAACCGTGAAAATGTTGGTGATAACCAATCACTCAATGAAAAGGATAATAAGTTGGGTGTGGCTGATCAGTTATTAGTACAAGAGAAATATGAAGACCTTTCAATGGAACCATCTAAGCAAAGTTCAAATATTTTGTCTCTTTCTGTAGAACAACCTACTGATCCTTCCCTTCTACAGTCGCCAAGTTCTATCTCACACTTACAGAATGAATTAATAGTATTAAATAAACAATTAACATCTCTGTCTATTGAGAATGAAAAACTAAAAACCAAAATCTCTGAACTAGAAGTGATGAATAGTAGTCAACAAAATTTAAATAATGATAATAACACATTTCACTCTCCCAACACTTTAGCTACTACAGATATTGAGAAAAATAACTATATTCTTTCTTCTTTAAAACATGACAATATTTCTCAATTTATCAAAGAATATGGTATCATTCCTGAAACATTAATTGTCAAATTGTACAATGTTGTGAATGAGCTATATACTCACATTGATAGCACCAGAAAAAATAGTACGAATTTAACTAACATGACCAACAGCATTAGTTTCGGTAAAATGCTTTTTCAACTAATTAACCAATTCTATAGTATTATTTTGAAGATCATTGATTTGTTAACTCAATCAGGAGAAAAAGATACAATTGTGCTATTAAAATCAACATTTTCAAATTTAATCACAACATCGAAATATTTTGCTTTATATTATCGTATCCTTCCTAATATTGTTATTATATCGTCTATCAATGAATGTATTTTCATCATTATGGACATCATCAATATCTTAAAGGTTAAGAGAGATACAACAGTAATGGCAGAGAATTCTTCTAAAGAAACGAATATTCTTAGCTTAAAAATAAGTGGAGATCTATCAGAAATGCCATTGACAACATCCTCTGATTTAACCAGAAATAATCATATGGGTGACATAAATAGTTTAGAGAATTCTCCAGTGAAGCCTCTTAGAATAATTGAAAAAGTTGCAAGTAGTCCTTTAATCACAGGGGTTAGTAGTAATGACTCAAAAACTGTAGTTGCTGCAGCAAGGAAACCATCTAATAATGTGTTGTTATCATTAACAAGTATGGTGAAAAAAAATTCAACCGAAAAATTGATTGTTAATAAAGGTAGTAAAAACACAAAAAATAGTGAAATTGTTTCTGACACTTCTGTTAATATGCTAGTTCAAAGAAGTACCCCAAACTTGGTTAAAAAGATGGCATTTGATTCATCCTCGACAAGTTCTTCTTCTGATAGTGAGAGCAATAATAGTAATGATGATGATGATGATACACATGATTTGTTACAGGAGTTGAGGAAGCAGAAAGAGGAAGTAGATTCACAGCTGCAAGAAGCTTCATCTCCTAATGAGGATACAAATAGTTGTTCTGTGAAGACTTTACATAATGATGATAAAGTATGTCATAGCAATTTAAGACCAGCTATAGGATTTGACGACAAAAATACATTAGAAGAAGAACTATCTGATAAGCATGAATTAGCAAAGGAGGAGTCAGTAGAAAGAGAATCAGATATACCTAGAAGAAGTACGTCTAATGAGAGTGATACTATTCCCGATATAAAGATGAACAATGGGTCGGATCTGCAAGTTAGTCAACCAAATATTAAAGCTAACTCTCAACCCAACCTCATATCCTCTCATAACAATGAATCCACCTCTGATGCTGCATCATATGCAACTACAAATAATGAGTTACCTTCTGAGATCAATGTGTATCCTTCTTCACATACACCAAGTGTGAATATGATACCCTCATCATCCTCAAATAATAATATTTTGAAACCTACAAGTATTCAAAAAGTCACAGATATTGACAAGAGGAATAGCAACTTTGAAAGCTCAAACATTCAAAATGAAAATGAAAATATTGCAATTGATAATAGTATTTCTTCTGAAAAGAGAGAGGAGGTTAGAAGTAATAACGATGATGTAGTCTTACAATCTAACAAAAGTGCTGATAAACCAGATGAACCAACTCTTGTTAAAGAGGAAACATATGTTTCTTCAAAGGTTGGCAATTCTTCTTTATCACATAACCCAAATACAAATCCATCATTAGAGTCGAATACTTCACCAATAATTAAACCATTCAAAATTACAAAGCTAGAAGCTCGTTCATTGAAAAAAGTTAATTTATCTTCAAAAGATATCAACAATGAGAGTATACCTGGTCTTGGTATAACACTTGGTGAAAGTACTGATAGTTCTAGTAAAGCTAATAATATGAATAAGGTTGAGACCAATTCAGAATTATCTGATGATAAGGAAATGAAATTGCAAAGTAATGATAAAAAATATGATAATAATAGAAATATACATGACCATGTGTTCTCCAACACTATCTCAACGGATAAAAAGAAAGAGGATATTGTTATTAATGAAAATTTAGAAAACACCCAAATGGATCGTTTTGATATATTGGAAAGTAAACCATCTAATATAGAACTTCAAAATAGTGATAAATTAAAAATGCCAGATTCACATGTGACTAATGAGGAAAGTTTAAATGAAAACTATTCGCGTCAACCTTCAGTGACTATACATCCCTTAGAATCAATAAATCAGCAGTTTTTAGAAAAGAAAAATGTTGTGGGAGGTGATAATAACCAATATAACGATAAAGATGTTGATTCTCGCATATCTCATGATAGTTTAGATTTAAATCAAACCAAGGATGAAAGAGAATTGGCTGATTTGGAAGAAACTCCTAAGCCGCTTAAACTCAAACAACATGAGCAAATTCATGGAGATACACCTAAGCATTCATCTATAGAAGAGAATTTACATCATATATCAGATAGATCTATAAAAAATGATAATGAACTTGATAATGATCCAATTATGGACGATGATGGCATCCAAACTATTTCATCACAAGGCAAAAATGTTAATGGTATGTCAAAGGAAGCTAGTGTAAAAGATAGTCCGGTCAGCAAGAAAGAAGAGTCGTCATTAATAAATAAAGCAGAGGAAGCGAAAATGGCAAATAATATTTCTGAAGATAGTGCTAATAATCTAGAAAGTGGCTCGGAGGAGGAAAGTGGTACTGAAAGCTCTGAATCTGAATCAGCTACGGCCTCAGATTCCGATTCCGACTTTGAATCTGGATCAGATTCCACCGAAGGAGCAGATTATGATAGTGAGGAAGAAGATGAGGAAGAAGCTGAAACAGATTTTGATGTCGAAGCATTTGATATCGAAAATCCAGATAATACACTATCTGAGTTACTATTGTATTTAGAACATCAAACTGTTCAAGTTATTACTACGATCCAGTCACTGTTAGCTTCTATAAAACAACCTAAATCTACGAAAGGTAATTTAAGGACAGAATCAAATGCAATTAACCAAGTCATTAAACAAATGGTTGGTGCTACTTCGATTTCAATGAATCAAAGCAGAAATGCAAATTTGAAAGAACATGGTAGTTGGGTTGTTCAAAGTTTGGAAGATTGCTCACGTCGTATGATAACATTGTGTCAACTAAATCCCGATGGCGAGATTGAAGTTATGGATAATGATACAGATTATGCTGATAAGAATTTCAAGCAAAGATTGGCAGGCATAGCTTTTGATATTGCCAAATGTACTAAGGAATTAGTCAAGACTGTTGAAGAAGCTAGTTTAAAGGAAGAGATTGAATACTTAAATTCCAAAATTCACGAAAAATAATCAATGGATACTCTTTTGGTGTATGTGTATGCATTTATTTATATGTCAAAATATTATTTTAACGAGAAATAGTTTTAAAATTTGATTACAGTTGAAATTTGGTGGTATTTTATCATAAGTTGGTCGCTAATTGTATGTGTTAGTTTCTAGATTTTTATTTTGTCTTATTAGCTAATTTTCAGATTTTCAGTAAAAGAGTGTATATTTATAGAATACAAGGCATGCTAAAAGATAGATACTGTCTCTTTTACAATATTTGTTCATATATATGCCTTTGTGTGAGAGAGACTAAATAATCTGTTCAAAAAAGCATGACGGTAAAACTTGATATAGATGTCATGATCTAATGAAACATTTAGTGTAATAATATCACATTTTTTATAGATACTTTATCAATTTATTTTTAATATATAAAACTTTAGATAGTAACAATAATATATAGGAAAATTTTTGTAAACATTAGAGTTATGAAAGTAATATTGAAAAGAAAAAAAATAATGACCCAGAATATAATATATGACTCCGTAGAATTGGAAAATTAAACAAAAATTAAATTGAAAACATCAGTAAGAGAATATGAACAAATAGAGAATATAAAATAAAGTAAAGTAAAAAAAACATAAACCCTAGCCCTAAACAATCAAAAAGAAAACACCAAAACTAGATAATTTTGTTTAAAAAATGTAGTATACAAGAATAACAATAATAATGATATACCAAATAAAATGCAAATATAACTTCATGAAATGAAATTAATAAAATAAAAAAAGTAACGAGCTTTGAGTTGTGAATTAGTTCATTATTGTAGAATTGAAACTATCACTTTCAAAATTGGAAATACCATCATCTAATATCCCTAAATTAAACCATTCGTGATTTAAAGCTTCTTTTGCAGAGATTCTTTTGGTTGGATCAAATTCGAACATTTTTCTCATCAAGTCTACAAACCAATACCAAAATAAGAAAGTTTCACGGTCAATCTGATACTGGTTATCACTTTGAATAATATTGTTATTTCCTCGTGAGTATAATGAGCCCTTAATCAAATTCCAATTTTGTCTTGGTGTCAAATTCCAATTGATTGAAAAATGCTTGTTATTGTACTCCAATTTTAATATTTTAGATACCATCATATCCAATCGATCACAAGAATTCATGACTCGCTTAATTGATTTCAAAGGCGTGATCGTTTCTCCTGTTCTTTTATTAACTTCAGGCCAAATCAGTTGATATGAATTTCTATCGAAATGTTTTAAAACAGTGGAATTTAAATCCTGTGGTAGATTACCCAACTTATGTTTATATTTATAGAATGATTTTTCAACTAACTTAACTGGGATTCTCTCGCCATTAATTCTTTCCATCATGGCCAGATGTTCGAAATTTTCATGTATAGGATACAAGGACTCACCAAGCACTAGTTCTATTAGAATGCATGCAATAGACCAAATATCACAAGGGTACGACCAACCTAGTCCCAGGACAATTTCGGGGGCTCTATAATGTCTAGTTGAAATGACAGGTGGATGATACTCATTAACAAAGATTGCACTACCGAAATCGATAATTTTTATCTCTGGATTTTTTAAGATTTTTCTCATGCCATTATTACTTGCCAATTTTCTTCTTGTTGATAAAGTTTCTACTATTTCTGGGGGCAGTTGATATTCGTTAAAGGATTCGTCACATAGTAGAATATTTTCTGGTTTTAAATCTGTGTGAATGATCCCCAAGTCGTGTAAGAAGCAAGTTGATCTAATCAATTGTCTTGCAATGGCTTGGATATGAGATCCAGGAAATCTTGCAATACCATTTGAACACATAAAATCATATATTGATTTCCCATAGAGGTTAGTGACCAGACAGATATGGTCTTTATAATCGAAATACTCCTTTAGTAGCAGACATTGGAACTGGCCAGTTGGGTCATTATTTAGGATAGTAGAAAGTATTCTCAATTCTGTCTTGGCGGCTTCTCTATATCTATCAATTGATCTAATAATTTTGACTGCTACCAATTGATTTGCGTAAGTATCTAAGCATTTCAATACCTTACCAAAAGTTCCTTGTCCCAGTAACTGTAAGGATTTGAATTGGTTGCCGTTTGGACCAAAATAATCGTCAATTTGGAAAATATAATGGCCATCTTTATCAGTTTGAAAAGATTTAGAATTTTTGAGATCAGCAGCAGAGGAAGTGGAAGTAGTTGCTGTTGTTGCTGTTGTTGTTGTTGAATTGGTAGTGGATATATTTATGATGGAGGAGTTAGAGCTATTATTATTATTATTATTGTTGTTGTTGTTGTTGTTGTTGTTGTTGTTGTTGTTGTTATTGTTATTATTATTATTAGAAGTGTTCCAAATTTTATTTAATTTAATTTTTCTATTTCCTTCTAAAGTAAGTGCGCTTGATCCAGTCAAATATAATAAGTCGTTATCATTCTGTGAAGTATGAGGGGTACGAATACTACTGTTTCCACTGCCACCAATGTTACCATTTTTGTCTAAAGTATTGTTTAAATTATCTGTTTGTAGGTTGCTATTATTGTTAAAGTAGTTCAATTTGACATGGGGTAGTTGAGGTAAAGAGATGGTTCTTTGTTTTTTGACAGGATAATAGGAATAAAAGGAGTTTGGTTGAAAACCAACAGGTTGTTGTTTTAAAAAAATGAGATCATCATCTTGGTTGTGATCGTCCTGGATAAGGACGTTGTCGTTGTTATTTTGTTGTTCTTGATCACTATTATCATCTATTGCAATTTCATAATATTTCTGTATATTTGAGTCATTTAGATTTAAACCGTGAGTCAGATTATTATTGAAGAGAGTAGATTGTTTGAACGACATATCTTCCAATAATTGAGAATTATTATTATTATTATTATTATTATTATTATTATTATTATTATTATTATTTTGTATAGAATCAGAGGTAGAGGTAGAAGTATTATTTGAAGTTATTGTTTGATCCAATAGAGTATTAATAGATTGTGGATTAGGTATAATATTCATGTTCATGTTCATATTATCATAATTTAAAGCAGCGGCTGTATTATTAGTAATGCTATTATTTCTTAATCTTTTCCTTGTAGTTTTAGTGATTTGAATTGGATCAGACATAATAATTTTATTCTTTGTGTATAGATATATAGATATTACCTAATAATACTGTATGACCAAAAACGAAAATGCTGATATAAATAGATAGGTTTATCTACCTAATACTCTATCTTATAGCCTTCTTTGTTCAAATAAAAAATAAAAATAAAAATAAAACTTACACCTAGACTAAAGTAAAATAATCAATCAATTAATGAATCTCACTTATCGCAAAGTGAGAAATTATTTGAGGAAGGAGGAAGGAGAAAGAAAAAGGATAAAAAAAGTAAAAGTATAAACTTCTTTGATCTTGGGAGAAGAGCAAGGGGGGGGAAGGGGAAAGAGAAAAAGGAGAAGATGGAAGGTTGGTTTTAGAATTACATAAGCTTACAAAATCACGAATAATGAATAGTGTTTGTTAAAAACTGATTACACAGAAGGAGGATGAGGCAGGGGGGAGGGGGGCGAGGTTAAAAAAGTTTGAAGCTAAAGACTATACTCTTACTCTATATACCGTTCTATATACAACCAACCGACCGATCAATCAGCCAACCAACATACGTATGTTATGACGATTCACAGTAGGAAAGTGATAACCATATGGTTATGACTACATGAGGTCACTATTGTACTCTACTTTACTAGTGTTGCTGCTGCTGCTGCTGCTACACCATTACAATTCATGGTATATGGCTAATACTTCAAATTGCCAACTGCTCTGTTGTATAGTGTTGTGTAGTGTTGTTCGTTCGTTCGTTCGTTGCGACCACCACAAACCACCAAAGAGACAGACACAGGGAGGTCATGTGACAGAGAGTAGTCGTCTCCACCTTTATTGTTCACACAAGGGGAAGAAAAGAAAAGAAAAGAAAAAAACCGCTCAACGCTGCATGCAACAAACAAGAAACTGCAGCAAGAGTAACAACAGCAAAAGAATAGTGGGTTTTTTGCTTTGATTTTGGGTTTTGAACTTTGGTTTTTCTGCTTTCTGCTGTAATTTTTTTTTTGTTCTGGCCAGACGTTGTCGCAAGAAACTTCGCTCCCTTTCTCTCCCCTTATTTTTTTCTGTTTTGTTTGCATTGTTGCTTCTTCTCCCCGCCCTTTTTTTGTATATATATATATAATTTCTTTCTTTTTTCCTCCCCTTTTCTTCTGTATTCGTTCTTTGTGTTTGGCGCCTGTGATTGTGGCTGTGGTCGTTCGACGTGGTGTTGGGATGTTGTGAGTGTAGGGATGGTCAATTGTCACAGCCACACAAGAGAAAGGAATAGAGGGGGGGGGTGTGTGGATGTATTACGTGCTTCATCTTTTGCAGTCTAAAGATCGGCTGGAAGTCTAGAACCCGCCAGCGTGGTTCTTTTCCCCTGTCTCCCCGTTCCACTGGCTAGTGTTGATAAAAAAAAAAAAAAAGCAGAGCACACAATTAACAACTATTACTGCTTTCTCTTTACGTCATATAACTCTGATATTTATGAATCTCAATATCATGTATGACGTTGAAAGGAAAACGGTTATTGTATTGTGATATTCATAATGATCATCACACGCATTGCCAGTATCAGTATCAGCATCACTATCACTATTAATATCAGTAATAATATTATTAATATTATTATTTACATGTTTGTGTGTATTTTTCTTTTCTTAATAATTATATATAGAATGTTCACAATAGAATAAAAGAATACCCTTTTTCATAAGTCCAACCTTGCTATACTGTTTTGTTTTGTGGAACACAATTATTATGTCTAATATAATAAAAAAGTAAAAAAAAAAAAAAAAAAAAAAGACCGAAATTTTTCTATGGTTTTGTTAATTTGTTTTTTCTTCTTACATGTTGTTCCCTTTTAAAGAGGGGTGGGGAGACCGTGGAGTAGAGCAGCTAAGCAGCGTTTCCTAGCTAGTTGTAATAAAGAGGCTGCTTCATCTGTCAACTGCCCCAGTTTCTTCTATCTTCTTCTCTTTATACAGTATTTGAAATTATTGATCACTACTTGTTATCCTTGTTCTTGTTCAAATCCCTATTCATATTCACGTTTTCTTTTTCTTTTTCTTTTTTGTTTATATCACTAGGTAATCCCAAATGGGACCACTCGTCTGGCGTCATTAACCCTCGCTCCATTCTACAACGAAGGTATTCCTTGGCTAATAATCTACAATTTGGTGCGTTCTCGTTATTCACCAGTTTCATACACTTCAAATATCGCAGCATCATATCTCGACATTCTCCATCATGATCTAATGGGAACGATCCACGTTCCGGTGGTGTTGGTAATAACGCTCTCATAGAATTCCCTGGATTCCCACTCATTCTTTCCTAAACTCTTATATTCCTATATGTATATATTATAGGTTACTACTCTTTTTTTTTGTATATATATATATATATTCAAAAGGTGTTACTATTACAAATAGACTCTGTATATAAACAATAAAAAAGGACTTGTCCCTTCTATCTTTTTCTTATATATATATATATATATATGAACACGTTTTTTCTAATTCTTTTATGAATCATCTTCTCCTTTGCTTTCCTTTTTTAGTAAGGATAAAAATTAAAAAAAATGAAAAAATAAAAATTGAAAAATAAAAATATAGAAGATCTGTCAAATCATATATATATATATATATATATATACATACATAAATACATACATATAGTTTCATACATATATATACATATATAGGAAGAAGAGGGAATGATGTAGGAGAGAGTAAAGTATTAATTGTGGATAACGTGAAAGGAGAAAAAAAGAAAATTCTACACATACCCATGTATTATATTATATTTTATTTCATTTTATTTTATTTTATTTTGTCTTATTCTATTTTTTTTTTTTGCATCATGGTCTTAATCTCTTTGGATCTCTTGGGAATAGCGAGGAACGTCTGATATTTTTCAAATCCAAGAAAAACATAACAATTCTCTCTAAACCGAAACCAGCACCTCCATGTGGTGCACATCCGTATGTAAATGATTCAACATAATCCTTCAACCCAGGATCTTCTGGGGACAACCCATGTGCTTTCATTCTTTCCTTCAATAGTTCAGGATCGTGGATACGTTGAGCACCGGATAAAATCTCCTCTCCTCTCATAAAGAAATCGTACGAATTAGAATAGTTAGCATCTTCCGCGTCTGGCATCGTGTAGAATGGTCTGACAGCCAATGGGAACTTGTCCAAGATATAGAAATCTGTGTCATACTTCTCACGCACTAACTTACCAAGTAACTTTTCGTTTTCTGTGGATAAATCTTCGAAATCCCCGATCTCTTTGCCTGCCTCTCTCAACATGGCTACACCTTCCTTGTATGTAAGCTTGACCACTTTACCGTTCTCTGGAAGTTTGAATTCCTCCATAGGAAACTGTTTACGGACCAATTCGATCTCCTTGCCGAATCTATTCTTCAATTCTTTGAAAATAAACAAACATAACTCGCTTAGCACGTCCAACACTTCATGGTAGTGTTCCTCAAAAGTCATCTCTAAATCAAGACCTGTAAACTCAGTCAAATGACGGTGTGTATTCGAGTTCTCAGCACGGAAAACTGGACCGATTTCAAAGACTCTTTCAAAATCAGCAACCATCAATTGTTGCTTGTAAAATTGTGGGGATTGTGCCAAATAGGCTTTGTTTTTGAAATAGGTCACTTCAAAGACATTGGCACCACCTTCAGATGCAGCACCCAACAATTTTGGTGTATGGATCTCTGTGAAGTTTTTTTGCAACAAAAACTCCCTGAACAACGAACAAACACCGCTTTGGATCTTGAAGATCGCTTGGTTGGTCACGGTTCTTAGATCAATGACACGAGCATCCAATCTGGTATCCAAGTTGACAACTGGTAAACCAGCATCCTCCGCCTCCTTTTCAGAACGAGAGGCATCTTCCAAAAGAATTGGCAAGGTCTCTGGTGTCTCAGAGATTGTGAAAATTTCTTTGACATGGATCTCTAAATCTTGAATGGTGGCACTCTTGATCAATTCGTCGACTTTCGTAACAATACCACGAACAAACACGATGCTTTCTAAATTCAAGGAACCACACCATTTAACCATTTGCTTGGATACAGAACCATCCTCTTTGTTGATTTTGACTAGACCTTGAATCAATTCAGACTGTTGTCTGAAAGTCAAAAAGGTTAAAGTGGCACCTTGTTGTCTAGTGTTATGGACACGAGCTCTGAAACAGACTTCTTTGCCAGCATCAGTTTCACTATTCAATCCATTGAACTTAATTCTCTTTTCGTTTGTACGAGTGGCACTTTGGATTAAAGGCAACTTGCCGTAGTGAGAAGAGGCTGTATCGGATAGTTGGTTCGCCTTTTCACGTTCCAACTTTTCCTTTTCCAATTGCGCAGCACGTTCAGCTTTCTTCTTCAATTTTTCTTGTTCTTTCAAATACTTCTTCATTGCTTTCTTGGATAATGGCTGGCCATCTTCACCTAAAATAACTGGGACTTGTTCAGTCTTTTCAGTTGAAGCTTTGGCATTTTCAGCTGGTTTAGTGGTTTCCTCCGACATCTTATACCTCTTTCTTCCTTCCGGTTCTCTTTTATATCTGTTTAATATATATTCTATTAAAGGAATAATTCAATTCAAGACATGACATTATCAAAATCTGGATATAGTTGCATGTGACAAGAGAAATGAGCGTTCATTTTATCTTTACTGTATAATACAACCTTGTATAATTGAACGAAAAACAGAAAAAGAAAAAGAAAAAGAAAAGTAAAATGAATAAATGAATAAAATTTGGGTTGTCGAGCTTTCTTTTTCTTTCGAATTATGCGTCGTTTTTATTTTTTTTTTTTTCCGTTTGACGATAAATGAAGAAAAAGTCAAAAAAAAAATAAAATAAAACAGAAATGGAAATGGAAATGGAAAAAAAAGAAAAAACCTTTCTTTTTTCTTTTTTTATTTTTTTGTAATTTTTTTCATTCTCGAAAATGTCAAACAACAGATGTTTCTGTTTATTATCAGAGGAATAAGGTGGAAAAAAAGAAAAACCCTAGAATTATTCTTCCATAGGCAAGCAACCCTAATTTTATTGTTCATTTAAGTGTGGTAAAACAGGCAGAAAAGAAAAGAAAAAAAGCAAAGCAAAACAAAACAAAAGAAAACAAAAGGAGGGCCCCCCTCCACCACTCTAAGTCCTAATTTCAAGACGCGAAAAGACGTTTGTATCTTTGCTGCACAATTTGCATTCATACACCCAAAAGTTTTCTGTCTTAACACCGAATCTCCAGTTTTTTTCTTATTTTGTTTTTACTTTTTTATTGTTCTTCAAATGTCATTACTTCGTCCATCCAGCTTTTTTTTTTTGTCCGGTATTTTTGTGTCTTTGCACCAGAAAACAATAAAATTACTCCATTTCATAGGTTTTGTTTTTGTTTTGGCTATGTCTCTTTTTTCTTTTCCTATTGTGAGTAATTTTTCCTTCATCGATGCTTCAGAATCAAGATCGGTTGTTTTTCATTTTATTTTAAAGATTGTTGAAATGAAATAATTGTAAAAGTAAACATCGCCTTCTCGGATCCACATAAAAACAAGATGGAAACTGTTTTATCAAACTGTCATTTTCTCGTTGTTGTTGTTGTTGTTGTTTTTTTTTTCTCTTGGTATTTTGATATCCTATTTCTAATGCACTTCTGTGTATTTATATATCCGATTTTTCTTGATTTGTTTTAATCCTTTTTCTTTCTTTCTTAAAAGAGAGAATCTACGCATTCTTGGCTTTATATTTATCTTCGTCCGTATATATATATACATTTGCATTCTCCACCGTACATCCATATATATCAAATTTTATATCCATAGATCCATTTATATGTCTTAAGTTAAATTTTTAATGAAAAACACTTTTTGTTAATTTATTATACAATACAAAAACAAAAAAAGGTTAACTGGATATATAATAATAAACTATCAGATATCTCTTCCCAATAACAAAATTCTAACAAGAAGATAACGAACTCCTAACTATATTTCTTTTTTTTTTTGTTTTTTTCTTTATTTTTTTTTTTTTTTTTTTTTGAGGTTTGAAATTTAAAATGCCAATTTATAGTAATCAGTGTAATGAGAATTATAAAATATTAAATATTGGATATGTCCTTGAATCATATCATTCTCTCTCAGCTCATTCGGACCCTAAAGTTAATATTCTTTCGCTGAAAAAACATGAAATAATTTTTATTCTTGATGTTTCGAAAAAAGGTTGGTTAGATGTTATTACCATTAATGAAGGTAAAAATCTGTATAGAGGCTGGTTTCCACAAAATTATGTTAAGGTTATAAACGACGTCAAGATAAAAAATTTACATTTTAATAAACTATCTAATTTACTCTCTGTCTCGAATTCTTTTTCTTCTTCTTCTTCTTCTTCTTCTTCTTCTTCTTCTTCTTCTTCTTCTTCTTCGTTGTCTGAACCTTTAACAGTGAATACGAATATAAATGTTACAACACAAATGCGAAATCTCGATCCTATGAATAAAATAGATCCGCTATCTACTTGGAATTTTGTTGATGGCAGTGATAGAAATCAAAACAGAAATATTAATAATAATAATGATAAACATGAAAGTATAAACGCCATGGAACCTTCTTTAAGGGTAGGATTGGATCTATTGAGAGATTATAAGCTATATACAAAAACACAGATTGAAAGGGATTTCTATAATCAATGTCTATTTCCAAATGATAAGTTTTGTAGGAAACCTGTAATCTGGCAAATAATGGAAAATGGTCAGAATAAAGATCAGAACAAAAACCATAGATTAATATATTATAATCATGATTTAAAGATGTACTGTTATGAATTACCTGTTTTGATCCATCAAATGTGGGAAAGAGAAAAAATCGATTCAATGGTTAATTTAAAGGATTCGAAATTGTATTTAGCTAAAAACGATACATTCATTTTGAATCCAAACGATTCCATTTCAATCTCAGATATATTTGAAAACGCATTATATTGCTCTACTGTATTGAAAAGTGTCTGGTTAACAAGAGATAAACTGAAAATAGCAAAATATTTAAAATCAATGTCTTTAACTGTGACTTATATAGTTTTGATTATAAGACATTTTGAACCGTATTTCTTATCTTCTGTAAAGAAAGAGTCACGACAATTATTAAAATCAATTTTAAAATATTCTTCGTTAATTAAAATAAATGCCAATATTCATTGTACAAAGGACTTGTTCCAAAATTTTTCTAATTCTAATACCGCCACTGGAAACAAACAGCAATCTATCTTTGGAGATAATCAAGAGACTTTTAATGCTTCTGATGTTATTAACATGGATGTATCGCCATGTTTTGTAAAATTTTATGGATATAACCAGGACAGAAATGATTCTGTCACCACTAATGAAACAATATATTCGAACAATACGTTAGTACCGCCCTCATGTTCCTATAATGCACAATTTTGTAACCGTAATACAAGTATTTCATCCATATATAGCAAAAACAGTACAATAGACTTGTCGCCTAAACGGACCTCAGAGACGTTTATTAATGTGGAGACCTTACAAAGAATTAAGGATTTGATGTTTGCACATGTTGATAGTTTACAAAATTCAATTCAGTTATTATATTACTTTATCAACAATTGTGTCAATTTGCCCAATGAGCGTACGTTATCTTTACCACAACTTTTTCCTAGGTTTTTTATTGATTCATATAGTAAAGAAAATTGGACAAGTATAATATCAAATCATTTAACTCCAAGTGACTCTGTTACAACCATGTCTACAGTTGAAGGTTTGTTTTCCAAAAAGTCTGTTACTTCATTATCTAGTATGACATCTTTTGGATCTGTTGATACCGAAAATATGATGAGTTTGAATAATCATCAATGTTTAAAGGATAACTTACAGCAAACTAGTAACGAAGATGAATTATCTGCGGTAAATCTGAATGGTACTATTGCTAAAAATAAATGCTTCGCTTTATCGTCATCAAATGTAAATATTACTGGTAAATCTGCATCATTTTTAGGAAAGAATTTGAGACCCTCACTTAATAAGTATGACTCTACCTCTGGTCAAAGTAGATATTGTAATTTGATTACTAAAAAGAGAACAGAATTTAGAAGTAAAATATACCCACTAAATCGTGATACATTAAATATTATGATGACCAGAAAGGAAACTGTGTATAATGATATGCTTGATTTTATGATGTCTACCGCTGAGTCTAAACCGAATATTAATGAAATACTGAAAATTTATACTGAATTAAATGATCACAATGTTAATATTTATATTCTAGAACATTTGGATTTAACCTTTTTTGCTAATTTGAAAAATATTATAGATAATGGGGATCCCAATGATGAAAGCATTAAGTTGTTGAATCATTCTACAAGTAATATTATGTTCTTAATTAATAATTATTTTGAAGTGAAACAATGGCTTCATGATATATCTGTTGAGCTGACAATGGTCACACAGGAAGTCACTTTGGAGGATTCAAAAGTATTCCAATCAATGTTACCTTTCCATGAAGTTGGATCAATGGAAAGTATTCAGATTGATGATTTTAATTTTTCAAGAAATGGGTTTCAAGAAAATAAAGATACCTTTAAGGACGATCGACTTGCAATGCGCTTTTATGAATGTTTGGTTAGAGATGATGTGGATGTGGAAACTATGGATATTCTAAATATATACGATGAATTCAAATATGTTTATTCCAAATATTACGATATCAACTCCATGGCTTATTCTACAGTAGAGAAATTATTAGAAGAAAAAGAGAGGATTATAAACTATTGTGCTAGAACTATGCAAGATATATTGATTCGAGAGTTACAAAAGAGAGAGTTTAATGATACAGAGTGGTTTGAATCCAATTATATCAAGGAGCAAAACTTCAATTCAAATGTTGTAAATAGGGCTGGAACCTATGATGATATATCTCCATGGTACTTTAAATCGGACTCCGAGTTACCAATGATGCTGGATCAAACGGGTAGGAACATTAAATTTGCCACTAGAGAAGCATTAGTAAATTATTTGCTTTTTAGCAATTACGATGGTTCGATAGATACAAAATTCATGCATGTTTTTTTATTAACAATGAAAAGTATATTTCCCTCTGCTACAGAAATGTTATTAGTAATTATTGATAAATATAATACAGAGCCTCCAGAAGGTTTAAAGTATAATGAATATACTGAGTGGACAGAAAAAAAATTAGTTCCAATGAAAAAGAATGTTGTTAAAATACTAGATGAATTTTTAAAAAGATATTGGATTTCTGACTATTGGGAACCAAATCTAGAATTGATTCTTATGGAGGTGTCAAGTCGAATTGAAGCTGACAATATTGATGGTTCTGATCTTTTGTTAGATAGCATCAAAAGAGTCATTCGTAATTGTAAAAAAGCTATTGTTCATGATCCAAAAGAACTATTGAATTGTAGTAATCAGTTACTTGTTCCTTCGAAGAGCGTGAAGCATTTGAAACTTTTTAACATAGCGTCAGCTCAATTTGCACAACAAATAACTTTGATGAATCATGAAATGTATTGTAAAATTACTGCCTTTGAGTGTTTGGATAAAATATGGGGGAAACAAAAGAATCATGGGTTTGGAGGTTCTAAAAATATCAGTGAATTTATTGAACATGCAAATTTTATGACTAACTACGTTTCTTATAAAGTTGTTAAACAAACTGATGTTAAAAAGAGAGTTAAGGTTATCAATTATTTTATATCAGTCGCCCTGCATTGTCAAAAATTGTGTAATTTTGCTACATTGACAGCTATTCTGTCAGGTCTATATTCATCTCCTGTTTACAGATTAAAAAAGACATGGAATGAAGTTTCTAATGAATCAAAAGAAATCCTTCAAAAGTTAGATCATTTAATGGATTCTAAGAAAAATTTTTTAAACTATAGAATGTGTTTAAAAGCAATTCCTGAAAAGGTTGCTTGTGTTCCATTTTTTGGTGTGTACTTATCAGATTTAACGTTTGTCGATGCAGGTAATCAAGATTCTTCTGAAATGATCAACTTTCATAAGAGAGTGATGATTTATGATATTATTGATAAAATTGAGAGTTTTCAAAAGAGAACATATTCAAATGTGTTAGCTAAAAACAATGATGTGCAAACATTTATTCTTGATTCATTGGAAGGTGTTCCTGATCTTGATGAACAGTATCGATTATCCTTGCAAATTGAACCAAGAGATAACTCAAAAACACAGAGAAGAAGGAAGACTATAAGTACCACAAAATTATGGAAAAATAGGCCTGGCATGAAATTATTTGGATAAACACTTATAGACTTCAAATATTGCATATTTGCATTCAATATATATATGTATAGAGGGTTATTCATTTAATAATTGTATAGTGCATATTTATTGTAAAGAAATTATAAAATCACATATTAATTGATGAGGTTTATGAAGGTATGTTAGGTAATGTTGAATATTTACTCAAGGGAGGAATTGTTTACTTAATATATGGTTAAGGATAAGGGAAAACTCTTGTAAGCACGATTCAAGTATTACACCTTATACAGTTATACTGTTTTTAAAACTTACAACAATGTTGGTTGACATTACATAAAATTGGCTTAATCAAAAATTACAAGTTCCTACTTTATGTAATTCAATATTAATTCACGGTTGTAACTCAAGTGGTTACAGTGTAGGTTAAAGATAATAAAAAGGCTTTTTTTTATATCATGGATATATAAGTATGTGTAAATACAAATATCTTTCAACTTATTTTTTATTATAATGTTAGTAATAAAATAATCACCTCTAACTGTGTTAAAGAGTTTATTTTTGTCTTGTTGTATATCTAATATTTTTATTCATACTTGTTAAAGCATTATTTTTTGAATCAGTTCTCTTTTCTTTACATTTATGTTTTATAGGTGGACGTTTTTTCTTTTTAAAAAGTCTGTAATTTCACGTAAACTGCAAAAACATGCAAAAGATCGTAGCGACATAAAAAATACACATCAGAAGAGTAGACCTTGTTATTATTACCGTTGTATCTTACTTGGTAGTTTCAATCAATAAGGGACGAGCTATATATAGTTAATTTTCTTTTACTCTTTTCTTTGCTACACAGTTTTATAGAGTGTTTTTAACTCTCAAATTGCTATAAATAATCATTGTGGTCATTCTCGATAAAGCAATAATGTTTAAGCAACTCTCCCAGCTAGGTAAAAATTTGACTGATGAATTACAAAAGGGGTTATCCGATGAGTTATTATCTGTCAATGGTTCAGACACTAATTTAGGTTTAAATGGACCCAATGTGTCATCAAGTAGTAATATCGATAAGAACTTGCCTGCAGATGTTCAAACAAAATTGAGGAAATTTGAGAAGTATGAATCTAAATATCCATTATTACTAACTGCTTATAAGAATGAGAAGGTGAAAAATGAAAAGTTGGAAGTTTTACAAAAAATATTGACTGAAAATACACCTATTTCAGATTTTAGTGATATCGAAACATCATTACCTAGCTATTTTGAGGATATTAGTAATAAGTTTAACATTTTAAATGAAGAAATTAAAAGGTTAAATAAGTTACAAAAAGCAAAAAATGAATTATCTAGCACTAATGAAACTGCCATTACACCACATGATGATTCATTGGTTGAAAACTATAAGGCAGAGATAGAAGAATTAAAATCAAAATTAGATAAATATAAGGGAAATGAAAAAGATAATCAAGAAACCAATGAACTTCTAAAAGCACAAAGAACTGAAATTGCAAATTTAAACAAAAAAGTATTATCTATAAATACGAAACATGAACAAGAAGTAAACACTTTTCAAAAACAGGCTTCTAATCAATTAGAAGAAGTGAAGGCCAAATTACAATCGGAATTAACTGATTATAAAAATCAACTCAATAGAACTATACAAGAAGCTAAAGTCTATAAGAAACAAATTGAAGAATTTAATTCCAAAGTGTCAGATATAGAAACGGAATTAAAAAAAGAACGTGATAATTCTACATCTCTTCTAGAGCAGAAGAACAACGATATTAAAAAAATAACTACAGAATTTGAAGCATCAAAAGAGAAAGTTACTGAATTAACAAATATTATATCTGCTAAGGAGACTGAAATTGCTAATGTTAATTCAGATTTGTCTCAAAGAGTAGAAGAAATAAATAAACTAACAGAGCAAAGTGCAAACTATTCTAGTGAGGTGGAGCAATTAAAAGAGCAAATTGAGTCACTTAAAACGGAGTTAAAAAGTAAATCACCAAGGGACGATGTATCTCAGTCAATAATGGCTGTATCAAATGTACAATCCACTGGATCAAAAAAGAAAAAAAACAAAAAGAAGAATAAGAAAAATAATCAAAGTTCACAGAATATTGCAAACGATGTGGCATCGTCTGAATTAAATACAAGGTCAAATTCTGAGTCTGTATTATCTAATCTTTCTGATGAAAATTCTGAACTGTTAAAAAAACAGTATCAAAATTTGTTAAAAGATTTTGAAGAATTTAAGGGTAATCATGATGATTGCAAAGAGTGGAAGTCCAAATTGGAAACTTTGAAAAAGGAGGCAACTACAAAACAAGATACTATTCAAAAGGAACTTGATGAAGCAAAAAATGCTAATTTAAATCTTACAGAAGAATTAAAATCCCTTAAAGCACAATTACAAGCTAAAAATATTGAAATTGAAGAAGTTCGCGATATGTTAAGAGAAGTGGGCAATGAATTGGTTGATGCAAGGGACCAATTAAAAGAAACACACAGTGAGAATAAGGAGACTTTGAAATTACAAGATGAGATTAAGAAATTAAAAAATGATATTACATTTTTTAAGAAAAAAGAAGGTGATTTACTGAACACTATCACTTCTTTGAATAAAGATATTTCTGAAACCAAAAAATTACAAATGAAAGAAAAAAATGACTCACAGCAAGAGATTTCTTCTTTAAAAGTAAAACTTGCAGATTTACAAAACGAAAATAAAATTTTGAATACCCAGTCTAAGGAGCTTACAGTCCTTAAAACAAATCTTCAGCAGAAAGAAAAAACAATCATTTATCTCGAAAAGCAAGTGAAAGATTTTATTACTACTCAAGAGACCATTAAAAAGAATGTTGATATATTAAAAAGGGATAATTTACAATTGTCAAATAAAAACGAATTGCTTAAAAGGGAAAATGAATCTTTAAATAATGATATTAAGAATAATAGTCATTCCTATGAAGAACATCTTAAAGAAAATGGGAAATTATCAGAAAGATTGTCCATTTTACAAGAAAAGTATGACACACTACAAGATATTAAAAGTAATTCCAACGAACAGATTAACTCTATTAGAAGACAATGTGAGGAATTGAATGTTAAATTAAAGGAATCTAAGAAAAAAATTATATCATTGGAAAATGAGTTAAATGAATATACAACACTTATCCAAGATAAAACTAAAGAATCAGATACAATGAGAAGACTTTTATCTGACTTGCAAAATGAAGACAACGAAAGGCATCAAAATTTAGAAACGAAAATTTCTATATTGTCCGATGAGAAATCTAGATTGGAGTCACAATTAGCATTGCAATATTCAAAGCATACTAGGGAACAACAGGAGTTGAGACATAGTAATAACGACTTGCAAACTGCAAATCAACAGTTGAATCATAAAGTAAAACAACTTAATTTACAAATTGAACAGCTTAAGGAGACAACCAATGCTATACAAAAGACTACAATACATAATACAGAGAGCTCAGCAGATCTTGAGAAAATGATAACTAATCTTAAAACAACATTGTCTAAGGCGGATACTAGAATCCATGATTTACAAAATGTTAATAACCAATTATTAGAGACCAATAATAGTATCAATAAGAAGTTTGATAAGTTGACACGATCTTATAAATTGTTATCCTCACAATATAATTCTCTAAAGGATGGTAAAGTGGAATTGAATGGTAGAATAAGTAGATCAGATTCAGTTAATTCTCAACTTTCAACATTAACTACTCCTATTAGGGAGAGATCATCTAGTAACCTATCGAAAGTTTCAACTAATAGAGAATTTGTATCTGATTTAACAAGACAAAATGAAACAGAGGCTGAGAAAAATGAAAAAATAGCATATATTAAAAATGTATTGTTAGGTTTTCTCGAACATAAAGAGCAGAGGAATCAATTACTTCCAGTTGTCTCTATGCTATTACAATTGGATAGCAGTGATGAAAAAAGACTTTTAGCATCTATCAATTAGGTCATTTTTATAATATAAAAAATAGATATATATATTATGTTCTAATACATTGTTCATTACATTTTTTGAATGTTGGCTGATATATAAAGAGAGAAGAAGAAAGTAGAATAAGGTAACAAATCTGGCAGATATATAGAGGGGAAATATGAAAGACATTTTTTAAGCATCTGGGTTAAATAAAATAGAATAATGTATATGTACTTTTTAATCGATAGGAAATATTCTGATATAATCAATTCCTCCTGCGCATTCAGCAACAGTTAATTGATCTTCACCTATGATCCTGTTAACGTTTATTCCCACATCAACTGTTTTATCGACACCATCGTGTTCCAATAGCAAACCTGTACCAATCTTAGTCCATTCTTCCACATCACGATATATTTGTTCTTCTGATTTGATAGGACGGTTCGAGATTAAACTCCAATCAAAGGAATCACGGTCCCATAGAACTGCTTGCAAACCAAACTGTCTTATTATGGCTCTAACTCTATCATCAATTCCACCATATGGTGGTCTAAACCATTTAGGATAATGACCACCCGTAGCATTCATTGCCCATATTGACCACTGGATTTGTGCAATAATTTCTTCATTAGTTAGACTTGGTAAAAACTTGTGTGACCAGCTGTGGGTTCCAATCAGATGGTCATTTTTCATTAACTGACGGTAAATACCTGGATTGTTTACGGTATTAATTCCAAGGACAAAAAATGTTGACCTATGTTTTAATGAATCAATCAATTTAATGGAAGCTCTGGATGGACCATCATCAAATGTCTGAGATAATTTACTGCATGTACCGATATCATCTGATCTCAAACAAACGTGGCAATCAAAGGAACAGGAGTCTCTAGGAACTCTCAAACAGTGACCTTGCCTATATGGACTATAATTAGGAACCTTTTTTAAATCAATAAAAGAAAGCGGAATATAAGGTGGATCCAGTCCTGGCCATTGGGTCATACCAGTAAAGTCAGTTAACCATTGAGGAAATGGTGTTTGACTCAATCTATCTCCAGTTAGTGCAACACCTCCAAGCATAGGGCTTTGTGCTTCTATTTGTACTGGATTAGCTACCGCTTTATTAAAGCAAAAATACTCTAATAAAGTAAATATGATATAAGACGTTTTCATTATGTTCTTGGGTGATTGTTTCCTATGGATGATATAATATACTAATGATAATTTTTTATATCATTTGTTGATATTGGCTATTTCACCAAGGCACCTATTTATATCAATATTTTTTGTATAGGTTTGATTCATGAATTTATGGAATATCAATTAAATGATTTGCCTTTATTTATTGCTATTTTTTACTTTTACCAATTTAATTTTTTCTTTTTTGACCTTCTTACGTAAATATATTATTATACCCTTAACCTTCTCTACTTCCTAATTTCTACATGTATTCAATTCAAATTAATAGTCTTGTAAATATTAGATGATAGATTATTATGTTTAACAAATAGAATAATAGATATTGATTAATGCAAAAAGGAAAAGAAACAAAAAATATGTCCTTGGAGCAGTTATAAGAATTGGAAACATGCATGTATGTTCAAAGGCGAACTATATGAGCTGTTGATAGGCTCAAATGCAATAGCAAGAAAGAGTAACCCTATTATTTAGAACAAACCCTTAAAATAATTTCAATATTGATCATAACACACTTTGTTTATTTTCTATTATCCTTTGTATTAGTTAAAAAAGGTAGATTAGAAGAGACTCGAAAATGCTCGAACAAAAATAAAAAGCAATAGATTATTAAATGAAATTAATGTTGATTTTTTATTTTACATTCAATTGCTTTTTCAGCTTTTTTAGTACATACTGTATAGTTTGGGTAAATGACTAACTTTGATCCCAATTATTTTTAATGAATACCATGTAAGAAATATTCTGATTAATACTAATGACTCAAATTTGCAATTATAATATCCTGTTTCAATATATTTGTGTCTTAAGTTATATGGCTACTTATTATTATTTTAAATAGATAAAACACAGTCATATTTAATGTTGTTAAGTGCTGACCCTGCCATTGTTAACCTTACAGTTTCGTAGAAATTAATTTTGTCATCGCTTAATAGTTGTGCAGCTTCTTTATTTAGTGGGTCTAATGGATTTGGTTCCAAAAATAGAAATAGCAAACCAATAACAATTGTTTGCAGATCAAGGGCAGGTGTCCAATCTTCTCTCAAAATATTTAAACAAATTTTGCCGTCAGTACTAATATTGGGATGGAAAATTTTATTTAAACATAAAAGTTTAGGTGGATCAATTGGGTAGTTTTCGTTAATGGTTAAACTAAATTTGAAGCTACCACCAAAATAATAACCATCGTCTGGAGAGATGGTTATATGAATTAATGGTGGATGATTTTGAGTATCTTCCGGTGAGTTTATTATTTGTACACTGACCGTAGGGGGTAAAACTAAATCCTTGATATCTCTTGCAAGTCTAACTCGAGCAGGAGATAATTTTGAGGAAACAGTAGAACTGTTACGAGATTCTTCTCTCTGCTTCAATTCATTATGTTTCTTTTGTTGTAGTTGACGTAATTTTAACTAAATAGAGAATCAAGTAAACTATTAATGACTCTTTATGATAAAGATCTAGGGATAACATCCATTGCAAATTAGTTAGTAAGAGAAAGAGATACAAGTTCTAACAACGTATTACAACACAATAAGAGAAATGGTCCTTCTAAAAGACGATTAACTTTCTTATTTTTTTTTTCCTTTTACTTCTGATTTGAGTTGTCTTAAGGCTTAATAATACATACCATAATAACAAATCTATACAATATTCTATGGATATCAAAAGGAACAGTAGTCTTTTTAACTCGTAGGAAGGATTAAAGTTGTTCAATGTCCTTTGGTTTATTATTAACTATTAGTTTACTCTCTTGATAATCAATATTGACTAGCCAACTTTTACAAAATTAGTTGCAATAATATTAGTAGGTCCTTATAAAGAGGCATAGATAAATAGTCAAAGAGTTTGTTCCTGTTATAGTTAACGTGTGCTTTTTCGTGATGTGGAGTAAGCATATGTTCCTACATATCTACGTGTACATATTTATTTTATTTTATTTGGAATTGTTGTGTCTATAACGTGTTTTCGAACTGAACAGAAAAAAGTATGAGGGAGAAAAGAAAAAAAATAAAAGAGAATAGAAAATGTTGCGCTACCAAGCTTTCTTTGTGGAGCTGTAAACAATATATATTTAGGGTGATAGGAGCAACTCTTATCGAATAGATAGGGTGTTACAAGAAGAATAGCTCTATTATTGATTAAGTAAGATAAGTCTAAGTGAGGGGTCAGTTAGCCTTTTTTGTAGTTACTCATGAGGCTTGGTACTAATAGAAAATTGTCTATTAGAGCAAAGGCTTTACAAAAGTTGACTCAATACTACGTCGAGAAGGATAGTAAAGAAGATGTTTCAAATAATAATTGTCCAGAAAGTCTTAAGGTTTTAATCCAATCCCTTCCTATATCCTACTCAACTGATCCTGCTAAATTGTACACTATTCCTCTTACTTCAAGTGAATGGGAAATTCTTTTGGCCATTAGTTCCGCAATTCCTAAAAGAGTTGAAACTGCTAAATATATCCTATCAACTGTAATTAAAAATTATTTTCTAGATTCACCTATACAAAGAATTTCAGACGTTTTATATGCCAGATTTAAGTTGAATTCCTGGAAGAATCCAAATGAAGTATTAACATTCCACCTAACCAGATATTTGGTTCAGATATGTAACAAGTTCCCTGAACTGGTTCCTGAATGTTCCCAAATGATTGAGAAATATATCTCAAAAGTTAAAAAATTTATTTTATTAAAACAAACAGCCATATTTTCTTTGCTTGGATTTATGTCGTGCTTTATTGATAATTATTCATCTATTGAATTGATTAGTTTTGTTTGGGATAAAATCTATAATCAATTTTTTGACAATAATTATATTAATCAGGTTGACAAATTGTTAATTACTCCAAATTCTTTTACTAATGAAGCAATTGTACAATATTTCGATTCTGGTAAAGAAATTTCTGGTCCATTGTTTTGGAATTTATTAATGAAAATACAGCAGAATTATCTCCAACATGTGTTGGACATGTCATTTGATGATAAAAAACAAAATCTTGGTGAGTTTATACTTTCCCAACAATATGAAATTTATAAGCATCAAGATCAAAAGATTGTTAAATCTGTTTCAAAAGGTAAGTGTGATTCAGAAACTTTTTCTTTAGATTCTAAAACTACAAAATTTTTACAGTCCTTGAATGAGAATAAAGATACGCTTATCTCTATGTGTCATCGTGTGCTTGATTTATGGAGTATGGTGGAGAAAAATCTTGATTTTTCTACTGCAGACAGAGTAAAAAACAGTTTTGATATATTAGCAGGATATTTGAACATTCTTTGTTTGTCTCCATTATTAAGTGATCATAATTTTAAACTGGAGATTGATTTTGTGAGAATTGTGGAAAATTCAATGGATCAATATTTATTATCTGATATAATTACAGACAATTTGATAAAGGCTATTATTAATGCTGGTTCTTTGTTAAACTACTACACAGAAGATTTATCTGAAAAACTTCTTTGTAATTTCCCATTAGTAATTGGGTCCCAATATATTACTCAACAACTGGTAATTGACATTTCTAAAATTTTTTCCATTGGATTGCAACCTTTAAATGAGGACGCCATTGTTACAACAATCTATGCAATTAACAATTTGTTAACTCTATCAGAAGATTTATCTCCTCAATTTTTGAGGGATCGTCAACAGACATTAACTTCAATTAGTTCAATTCCAAAGGTTGATGGCAATTCCCTATTACATAGTTCAACGTCGTTAAGAAAAGTTACTAGTACCTCTAGTCTTTCAAAAATGAAATTATCGAAAAAAGCAAACAGTACAGCTACTGTTCATACTAATTTGTTTAACAATTGTGTTACCACCACCATAACTATTGCTTCTGAGTACAATAATCAAGCTATTACTGCTTTAACAATTTCTATTTTAACACAAAAGGTGACAGTAGTTTCTAAAGAATTAGCTGGTATTATTTTCTCTGCTTTAGCTAAATTAGCACCTTATGTTCAGAAAGCAGAATTTTCAGCTATTCTTAGGTTTTTCAGGATTACAATTAACATGGCTTATAAGTCTAATGATACTGAATTAATTGATGCAGTTTTTAAAGCTCGTGTTATATTGTCCAAAAGGCTCTTGGAAATGAAATATAGTACGGAAATCTACAAACTTTATCTTCTGGATCTATTAGATTCCATAATTTCTAGTGGTGAAGTTGAAAATTCAGAGCATCACAGATCTCATTCAGAGATATCCTACGTTGCTAATCAAATAGCATTACAGTTGGTGCCACTAGCTTCAATGTTACCAAAATGTGGTGAAACACCACTTAATATATCACACGATGAAATACTTACAAATAAATTTAGAAATATGTGGTTTAATATGGTTGTTCACGGTTATTATTATGATTCTGATATTGTTAAACAAAATTATAAACATTTAAAGGTTATTGCCTATAATAGCCCCCCATTGGCATCTGAGTTTCCTATTAATAATAAAGAGATGTCACTAGATATGAATACAATCCTTCGTCGTAAATCATCTACTTCTAATTTGAAAAAACAAAAGCAGGTTGTGTTGGAATATTTAAACGTCAACGCAGTTCAATCTAGATCAATATCCGATTCAAAGGTCATGTTTATTGCAGCTACAGTGTTGATTGAATCTATTAGGTGTGAAACTGGTGTCTGTTCGAAAATTGTTTATTATTTATCTGACCCATGTTTAGTTTCTAGTTCTCTTGGAAAGTCAATTGCATTAATATCGAAAACAATTATTTTCAAGTATGCTAAATTAGCACAAGCATTAATAACACCAGAGTTTAATTCTAAGGCGATTGCTGAACAACTGACTGAAATGTTTCTTTACCTTATTCATAGAAATCATAAGTTGCAAGAGATGGCATTTACATGCTGTAATTTGCTTATTCAAAATATACCATCAGCTCTGTGTCACCATGATTCTTTGTATACATTACTGGATTTAATGACTACTGTTTTTGATAGTATTTTAGATTGTGAGAGAAATAGATTCCAGCCTCATTTTGAATTTACTTTAAAGCACTCTGCTACTAAGGTTTTATTTCCTGCGTCAAAAAATTGGAGAGTTGCAACATTAAAAAAATTGCATAATGCTTCAAAAGAATGGGTTAAATTAATTTTGAATAAAGCTAATCAAGATTCAAAAATTTTACTTCAGTCATACGTCTCTAATATTCAGCAATTTGTTAGATTAAATAACGTTGAGTTTGGTGTTTCTTTTGCTCTGGATATGGCGGGCACGATTCTTGATGTTGACAGGGAATTAAGTACAATCGAATATTCAGGACCTAAGAAGCCTAATACAATTTCTGGTTTCATATCTCAACATTCATGGAGATCGCGATACTTAGCCAACTCTTCTACCACTTTATCAAAAGAAGATTTTGACAAGAAGTTGAAGATGGTGATTCAAAATATTAATGAAACTTTAGAGAAAGGTGATGTTGTTTCAGATCAAATGGTATCTGAATTTTTGGATATGGCTGCGGCTAATTTAGTTTTGGATAGCTATGATATCTCTTCTTTGGTTCATGACGTTGTCTTTATACCATTCGAAGTATTTACATCTACCACCATGAAGATAGCGACAAATGTTTGGCTTGCTATTATTAAAGAAAGACCAGATTTGGCACATGTCTTACTAGCGAATGTTTGTTATTTTTGGATGTTAGGTGTTGATTCCCAAAAGGGTCTTTTTTCTAGAAGTTATGATTTGCAGACCGAAGAATATCAAATGATGGAATATGCACCATATAATAAAAGGGCAATTGATCGTGATGCTAAATTAGCATCAAAAGCTCTTCAACCTCATAGACATATAATAAAGTTTTTTACCTCACATTTCGAAAGTACTATCCTTCAAAGCAAGTTCCTTCTACAAATGTTTACAAGCTTAATTATTCATGGTCTTGAACATGTTACAATGGGTAGTTCACATCCATTTGCAAGATTGATTCGTTTTGAATTATTGCAATTATCTCTGTCTGTTTTAGAACAAAACATTAAGCAAAAGAATAAGGATGTGGAGAAGTTGTGCTGTTTAATTGTGAATTCGGCTTTAAGCTGGTTTTTGGTTCCGCCATCATGGCCTTTTGGTTCCAATGATATGAAAATTAAGGCGGACTTAGCTGTACTTCAGAATTTTTACCGTCGTTTGGTAAACAATTCTTCTATTTTCAAGCAGTATTGTGATGAAGATATTTTATTATTACAATATTTCTTGGCTAGTGAAATTCAACAAATTCAAACATGGTTATTACCTTTAGAGAAAATTAAGGGTGCTAACTCTAACCATCTAACTGATTCGATCATATTATGTGCTTTTAAGAAAGATCCACAACTAGCCTGGAATTTGGTACAAAGATATAAAGGAAATAAAGGGTCGGAATATCTAAGTTCATTAGTGAAAAAATGTCAATTAAAGTGTGTGAGGGTACCGCAATTAGCATCAGTATTTGCTAAGCAAGTTAGAACTATAAAATCAGATGCTCATTATATAATTTATTGGTCTCCAACAAGTCCTCTTAAGTCTGTAGGATTGTTTTTCTCTGAGTATAGTTCAAATTCTTATATTTTGCAGTACAGTGTTTATTCATTAGAATCACATGATGTTAATGTTACTTTCTTTTATGTTCCCCAAATAGTACAAATGTTGAGGTATGATCGGACAGGCTACGTGGAAAAATTGATTATTGACACAGCTAAAATAAGTGTTTTATTTGCACATCAGATTATTTGGAATCTGTTGGCAAATTGTTATAAAGATGATGAGGGTACTATTGAGGATCCAATTAAGCCAACTTTAGATCAAGTTCGTGAAAGAATGATTAAAAGTTTTAGTAATTCACATTTGGAATTTTACAATAGGGAATTTGAATTCTTCAATGAGGTAACGAGTATTTCAGGTAAATTGAAGCCATACATTAAAAAGAGTAAGGCTGAGAAGAAGCAAAAGATTGATGAAGAAATGAGTAAAATTAAAGTGTTACCAGATGTGTATTTACCATCAAATCCAGATGGTGTTGTTGTGGATATCAATAGAACTAGCGGTAAACCATTACAATCACATGCAAAGGCGCCATTTATGGCAACATTTAAGATAAAGAAAAATGTGAAGGATGCAGATACTGGTGAAGTACTTTCTGTTGAAAAATGGCAAGCGGCAATATTTAAAGTTGGTGATGATTGTAGACAAGATGTGTTAGCTTTACAATTGATCTCAATCTTCAAGACTATTTGGAGTAATATTGGTCTAGATGTCTATGTTTTCCCATATCGTGTGACAGCTACAGCTCCAGGTTGTGGTGTTATTGATGTCTTACCTAACTCGATCTCTCGTGATATGTTAGGTAGAGAAGCAGTTAATGGTCTATATGAATATTTCATTACTAAGTTTGGACCTGAAGATAGTATTGATTTTCAAAATGCTAGAAACAATTTTGTTAAATCATTGGCAGGATATAGTATCATTTCATACTTATTACAATTTAAGGATAGACATAATGGTAATATTATGTATGATGATCAAGGTCATTGTTTACATATTGATTTTGGCTTTATTTTTGATATTGTTCCTGGTGGTGTTAAATTTGAGGCGGTTCCATTTAAGTTGACAAAAGAAATGGTTAAAGTTATGGGAGGTTCAAGTGAAACATCTGCGTTCCAAGAATTCGAGGAGTTGTGTATAAAGGGCTATTTAGCTGCTAGATCACATATGAATTTTATTATAGATGGGATTGTTCCGATGTTAGACAGTGGGTTACCATGTTTTAAAGGTGATAAGACGATTAGGAATATAAGATCAAGATTTCAACCTGAGAAGACAGACCATGAGGCAGCATTATTTATGAAGGCATTGATTAAAAAGAGTTTTGAAAGTATATTTACTGTTGGATATGATGAATTTCAAAGAATCACAAATGGTATTCCCTATTGATACGTGTTATAAATATATGAAAAACAAGAGTGATTTATCATGTGTATTTATATATATTTATATGTTTATTATGACGTTATATATTTATTATTTCTCTTATGCCTATTTTTCTTTGATATGATATAATGTATAAGATTAAAAGTTATGTCTATTACATATATGTATATATATATATGGTACTTGTATGGATGCAGATACATATGGAAAGGAGAGCAACAAGAAAAGCAAAACAATAACTACTATATGTGGAGAAAATGTAGTGGAATATATATATATTATTTTGTATTTTTATAAGGTATTATTGTCCTGTTTATTTCTTTTTTCTGTATTCATATCTATCATTTTATAATTTATTCTGGCTTAATACCATTAAAAGTCTTTTCAAAGGCTTGTTCGAAATCAGCGATAATATCATCAATAAATTCGGTACCAACAGAACATCTGATTAAATCTTTGGTAACACCAGAGGCCAATTTAGCCTCATCATCTAATTGTTCGTGGGTAGTGAAATATGGAGCAATGACTAAAGTTTTACTGTCACCAACATTGGCTAAATTGGAGGCCAATTTCAAATGGTCGACAAAGACGGCACCTGACAATTTGAATGGATCAGTCTCTTTATCGGCATTTGGAAGATCTTTGACACCAAATGAAAGTACACCACCGAACCCATTAGATAAATACTTTTTAGCGTTTTCATGATGAGAATGTGATTCAAGACCAGGATAAGAGACCCAGGCGACGTATGGAGATTTTTCTAACCATTTGGCCAATGCAAGGGCGTTTTGACCATGTCTTTCTGCACGTAAAGATAAAGTTTCGATACCTTGTAATAAAAGGAAGGAAGCAAAGGGGCTCATTAAAGGACCAAAATCTCTTAATAACTCGACTCTGACATGAATAATGTATGCAAGGTTACCGTAGGCCTCATTGAAGATAGTACCGTGGTAGCCTTCAGATGGAGTAGAGAATTGTGGGAACTTTTCAGGATAATCCTTCCATGGGAATTTACCAGAATCGATAATCAAACCACCAAGGGTAGTACCATGACCACCGATCCATTTGGTGGCTGAATGTGTGACAATGTCTGCACCATATTTGATTGGTTGACAGAAGAAGCCACCGGCACCAAATGTGTTGTCAACGACTACTGGGATACCATGTTTGTGAGCAACTTCGACGATCTTTTCAAAATCAGGGACGTTGTACTTTGGATTACCAATACTCTCTAAGTAGACACACTTGGTTCTTTTATCAAATAGCTTTTCAAAATCTTCGGGATTATCACCATGGACGAATCTGGTTTCGATACCTAACCTTTTGAAGGATACAGCAAATTGGTTATAAGTACCACCGTATAAGTACGAGGTGGAGACGATGTTGTCACCAGCATGGGCTAGACCTTGAATTGCAAGGGTTTGGGCAGCCTGACCAGAGGCGACGGCGAGAGCAGCAGCACCACCTTCCAATGCAGCGATTCTATTTTCTAGTACTGCGGAAGTTGGGTTTTGGAAACGGGAATAAACGTAACCCGGGACTTTCAAACCGAATAGGCCTGCACCGTGTTCGGAATCCTTAAAGACATAGGATGTTGTAGCGTAGATTGGAACGGCCCTTGGTCTGAAAGCGTGATCAGATGGATCTTCTTGGCCGGCATGCAATTGAATGGTATCAAAATGAGATGGCATGTTGTTGACTATTTGTTTGTTTGTTTTTTTACTACGGTGTTGGATGACTTTCTGTTTGATGTTCTGGGTTATGTATTATTATTACATAAGAAAGGTAGTAACTGTTATACATAATCAGGCTGAAAGAAAATAGAAGAAATCAAAATCGGGTTAGAAATTTGTAGTCTTTTTATATATTAAATGGAGGTTTCACTTTGATTAAAGTTTAAAATCATATATTAAAAAGATAAAAATTCCTCGAGAGGATGCAAATAAGAAAGAATGAAGAAACTATTAGATATTGTTTGTGGGGTAGTGCGTTGAGACTTTAGTCTACCTTACTGTACTCATTCTCCAATAATAGTATGTTCACACATCCTATTTCACAGAAACGAAGACTAGACTGGCTGCTTTTGTTTTAGAACTGTGTATACGAACAAACAAACAAATGAATCAACAAGATGGATGAATAGGTGAATCAGCAGGGACGGTGTGAAACGAGGGAGAAGAATCCTTTCTATCTCTTTCTGTTTCTTTCTGCTTGTCTCTGTTTCTCTCTTGCTTTCAGTCAGATTTAGTCATTAAGTCATTATTTCCACCCACTAAGTAGAAAAATCCGCTGTCGGTTTTCATTGCCCTCCCTCCGTGTATGATTGTCACCACCCCTTTTTTTGGGGACCATTTTAATTTTTTTTTTTGATAGCGGTGTGATTTACACAGTTTTTTGTAACTCTTTTATTCTTTTTTTTTTTTGCGCTTTCTTGCACTCTTTGACTGTGGGTCACATGATTCCACAGTTTGTCTTTATTTTCTTAGTTGCGGCGACTTTGCAAAAAGAAGTGTGGCCTCCTCCACAGTTTGTAGAAGATGTATAGGTGTACAGTTTGTCTTCATTGTTTTGCCCCCTACATTTGTTTGTATTCCTTTAAGATATTAGAAGGTAAGACTCGCAAAGGAACGGAGTCACTAGTATTGTGTCTCACACGATTTTTAACATAAAAAGTATTAGTTGTGGTATGCTTTTTAACTACTGCAAAAGTGATTACTACTCGTCACTTACATATTCCTTCTAAACTTATAACTGTGATACTAATGTTAAGATCAAACCTTATTAAGTGATTCCAATTTGTTGATTTCTAGCTTGTTCCCAAAATAGGTCGTATATTAGCCAACATATGAACGAATTGTATATAAATAGTTGATATACAGGATATATATATATATATATATATATAGGTATATATTATTTTTTTTTCTGTCTGTCTATTAAAGAGTTTTCACCTTCCTCACACTGGCTTCTCAAAATAAATATTACATTTTCTGAACTTATACGCCATAAGCAAGCTTATCTTGGACAATAAATAACGCCTTGCAAGAGATTTTATAAAATTTGTAATAGATAAAAGATCTACTACGAGAGATGTACTCTTCTTAGAATGCAAAATTAGATAAAATGATTCTTGCTTATTGTTTATGTATGATGCATAAATTATAACAGTACAACAAACACTGAACTAGTGTACATATTGTGTAGATATACATATATATATATGTGTGTGTGTTTATATGCAAGAAAAACAAGAACGTCAACTAATCCTTGATTAAAGAGTTTGCAAACTTATTTTTCAAGAGACATCAGGACAGTATATGTCACAAAAACAAGCGATTGTAAAAAAGATAAAATTGTAACATATGAAATCCTGATGTCACTATAAATGATCTTGTGGACGCCTTGGTCGACGACGACGCTTTTGTTTTTCTTGTTTATATAACTATGTTTATCTGTATATCTGTATATATTAGTTTACTCTTTATGTAGAGTATAGTCTATATGTCATATATAGACAACAAATCAAGCTATATCTATCTATTTTAGCGTCTAGAAGAGTGTATTTCCTTGCAATAGGGTTTTCATCTATTACAAAAATTACACAACACCGCCTTTGTATCGCGAAATGTTGCACTCGTACAATGAATGCAAAAAATGAGAGCTGTGGGATTCGAACCCGCGCATCCGAAGATATCAGAATACTAGGCCTTAGAAACCTTAATCTGACGCCTTAAACCACTCGGCCAAACTCCCATTTCCTTGGTATCGTACCCTAGGAATGTTGTATAATGAAGAAGTTATTACCATCAAGATTATATAAGATTCCAAATGAATCCAGAACTATTTACTGTTTTAATAAGCCATACACGTGCTACAACATTAGATGCTGTATAATAAAAAGATTAGTTCCATTAAGATTACATAAGATTTTGGCAAATCTAGAATTTACCTATTGTTTTAATAAGTCCCACGTGTATTACTAATTACCATGATTAGAGAATTGGGGTGCAGTTTCTAATTCACTAGTGTTCCTGAATTAATGTAACAAATTTTAGGGTGAATCAGTCAAGTCATTAATGTACTAATCTGAATAATCGATCGAGCTCCAGAAAATACATAAAAGGACAACGTTTTCTGGAGATAAAAGATCATCATCCATAACTTTTTTTGTAAATAATTTATATATTATATATAAACAGAAATAGAACAACAAGCAAGTAACAAAATAAATAACTTCAAATAAATATATTAGCTCGATATAAGCCGCTCAATATATAAGGCCGTTTTAGTAATTATATTATCGCCTATAGTTGATTACTGTCTCGATTATTTGAATAACTGTTAATATTATTTGCGCTTCCCTGAAATACACAAAAGAATCTGACTATTTTATATTACAACAAGTAATGTAGCCTTTTCTATACTATATTAATTGTACAATTGCATTGTGTAGATATTACAAGTAATCAAAAGATAAGAATAATTATTCTTGGAAAATGAGAGTTTATTACTGACATTTTCATAAGAATTATTTTTAATTAGTTTTTTCTATATATTCTGTGGTGTACGGATGTACCATAATATATGGGAAACCATTTTATTTTTCACTAAATATATCTTTCAGAGATTTGAAAAGAAATGAAAAACTTTAAAAGAAGGTGTGAAATGAATGAGTTTACGCTACATTCAAAATACAAGAAGGATATGTACATATGTAAGTTAAAACAAGGACAAGCTTTTATAACTTGACAATGTTTGCCATTAACATGGACGCCAAGAGCAGTGGTTTTTATATTTAACGTCGTCATGAGTTAATAAATTAGTAACTTGAGGCTCTGGTTTATTAAAAATATACACAAATAAAATCTTTAAATATACACGAATTAATTCTTTGTTATTTTTATTTATTTTTTTCTGAAACACTCTTCTTCATGAAAATATTTATATTATCATTATTTATGATACAAAAAAGTCTTTAATAAGACCAATGAACATATTTTCTATTTTCAAAGATTTATCTAAAGTTATTCTGTATAATATGGAAAACACATATATTATTATGCACCATGCCAATAATTCCTGACTATTGGTAGTATGTTGCTTTTCGTGATTTAATTACATCATTATTACTATTGTTAGCTACATTATTAACGGAGCGCTCTATATATTGTATGAAGATAATAAAAAGAATGTATTGTAATAGCTAAAGAAAACAATGGTTGAGAATAATCAGTATATATTCGGCATTCATTAATAATAAGTGGACAAAAAGAAAAAAAAAACAATATCTTTTTTCAGGTTGATCATCAAATCTTATTATTTTCTCTGGCTAATCTCTGCTTCCACATGTATAAAATCATTAGCCAAGCCATTAAAAGCATGCTTAAACCAACACTTATATTACAAGTGAATAGAGAGGTGAAACCTCTATATTCCATTGCTTCAATAACTTGATCCGTGGATTCCATAAATATAACCCCACCACAAATTAAACAAAATGAGGTAATTAATTCAGTTATAGGTCTTATTGGTTTTTGATTATTTGTTGGTTTCAGATAACATATTAAGTAAGTTAGAAGTCTGAAAAATGAACCATAAGAGAATAACAGTCCCCACTGTGTATGTACTTTTGTTGAAAGGTTTGAGGCTTGCGCATGCTGTGACATTAAGACACCTGTCCAAAAAATTGTTAATGTGGGGAATGGATTTGGAGAATATCCTGGGCTGGCAGCAACAATTTCATTTTCTTCCCCAACTTCTATTTGGTTCTTGAACAACTCTTTGTGTTTTTCAAATCTCCATTTATTTAATTGTATTTCTATCAATACACCACATAGTCCAGTACCAATATACATAAATGCAATGGACACGTGTTGCAAATCTTTGGCTGTCCAAGGTCCACCGGCACCTGCCAGGTGTTCTAAAAACACATTTGTACTTCCATATAGTAAGATTAATCCAGATTCAATGCCTTCCATTGTGATAGTACCTCTTGGAAAGAGAATGTTAGGTGCTGATCCATCGGAAATAAGTTGTTTTTTAGTGAAAATTATTGGGTTCCAAGCCCAACCATATTCCTGACCAATACCACAATACCTACCTAATGAAACAATTCCAAGGATAACAAAAACACCACCTTTAATCCAATGTGCTAGTAGATTAAAAATTCTTTTTTCTTTCCCAAAAAGATTCCCAATGGCCAGTCCAATACAAAAGTCTGCAGTCATAAATAGCAATAGGAGCAAATTGAAAAAATTCACAAAATAATACATAATTTTGATTCCAATCGAAGAATTATCGTTGTCAAAAGTGTGTTTTGATAGATTTGAGTTAGTTCCATGACGTAGGTCAGTAGATCCATTATTGGGTGGTGTTAATGATTCGATATCATGCTCCACGAAATCATCAAAGCTATGATCATTATCCTTATGGGTAGTTAGAGCAGTTGTATTCAAATGTAAATCATCTAACGCAATATATTCATTTTTGAGATTAGAAATGATTAGATTAGATCTTGTAAGTACGAAAGAAAAGATATAATGGATAGTAACGCAAATAAATAATAAAGTGAAAACTTTAAAATAAATGTTATGTGGATACCAAATATCTGAATTGGGGAAAGTGGCTACATATACAGATAAAGATATAAATGATATTATAAACAAAAGTTGATTTAAAGTTAAAAACGAAATATAGTATTTCACATTATTTTTATTATTATTATTATACACTAGGCATATTGGGTATATTAATAAAAGGCATAACATTAATGTAGATACATGGCATTGTAAAGCCTTAGGTTTTCCTAAATCAGTTGTGAAAAAAGTGGTAGTGTTATAATTTTCCCAATAGAGTCTTTCAGCAGGAGTCAAACTAGGTCTTTGTAAGATTGGTAAACCGTGTAGATGTTTAGGTGCAAAGGGAATTGGTGTAATATTTGCTAAATCAGTAGTAACAGCAGCCTGAAGAGCTGTTTCCGTATCCATGTTCATGTCCATGTCCGTATTCACATTCATATTCATTCTTGATAGCTGATAATTATTGTTGTCACTGTATCAATCTTATATTCCCTCTATTGACATTTTATATCAATTGAGAGAAACTATCCTAAAATCTTCTTCTCAATGCAATAAGATATAGAAATTGAAGTCACTTTAAACCAAACCAAAAAGAAAAGAAAAGAAAAAGAAAAGAAAAAAAGGGGGGAAGGGAAGAAAAAAGGTTTCAAAGCAACATTTCGACCTAGCAATAATCAGCCTTCTCCATTCCCTCTCTCTTCCTTCATCTCTTTCATGTATCTTTAAGTTCTTTTGGTTACATTTGTGGAAACAATCTCATATAAGCTAAAAGAGTCCGTCAATGGTAACATAGAAAGGGAACTTGAAAGCTTGTATTATATTAAACTTTTTCTCTTTGTTTGACTGACATCTTTTTATGGTCAATGACTATTTCTTTTGGACCTTGCATTAAAAGTGACACAATTTCGATTTCAAAGTCGTCTGATCCTTAACAAAAAGGGCAAACTTTGTCTGGTAAACAGTTTTGAAATAACCCTAATTTGTTTGCAAACCCCACAGTGAAAAATTCAGTTTTTATTTGAAAAATATGGCTGCTATGGCAGACCCTTAACAAAAAACGAAAAACAAAAAAAAGAATAAAAACGAAACCGAAAACAGATAATTGGGGAAGAAGTATAGAAATTGTTAATTTAGCGGTTCTGATAATAGAGCTGAATAAATAATAATGGGACAAATCGCATATTATAAAGTGTATACAAAGTAAGTACTACCACCCTTAAAAAGGTTCATAACTGGTCATTGTTTTTTTTGTTTTTGTTAACAATCATTTCTTATATTTGTAGCAAAAACAAGAAAATATTTTTCACCCTATTAGGACAGAGCTTTGAACAAATAGATAATGTTTTTAACTGAATTTTAAAGGATTTTGTTTAAACCCTAGTTTACCAGTAAAAGAAAAAAAGAAAAAGAATATCTCATTGGACTATTTGTTTGGGCCAATGTTTTTCCTTAATATTGAGCCAACTACTTGCAAACTGGAACTCTGAATAAAATTCAAAGGGTTTGGCAAGTGGTGAAATTATTCAATTATCTTTTTTTTTTTTTTCACGGTGGCAAAGGAATATTAATTGGTCATAGATATTATACTTTGTAAAGGACTATACATATATATATTTCATGAAACCTTAACTATCTGCAATTCGAAAAATTTTTTTTCATTTTTTACTTTACTTTAAGGCTTTATAAGATATATTAGATGAAACATTCACTAGAGTTTATGGATCCTTGAATGTTTTTTTTCTTGATAGTAAAATAAGTTAAAAATATAATAAATGGACAATATTGATACCCATAATCAAGATCATTTGCACAATGAAAAAAATATGTTTATTGATTATCGAAAAAAATTTCATCATACACGCCAAAGTTTCTAGTAATTTTAAATTACTTGACGATCGTAATTGACTTGCAAGGAATTAAGGTGATAGAAATATAGATAATACATATATTTATATATATATATATTTAGTGAAAAGCGTACGTTAAAATATTGACTTTCTGTTTGAGATCTGATATAAACTTATTTTTTTTTACCTATGGATATATCATGCAAGGATATCGGTCAAATTTTAAAACCTAAAAGAAAAAAAAATTAATTTGGTAAGATTTATTAATTTATCTATTTTGCTTTAATAATCACTCTGTATTTCATTTTTATATATTATTCTTTATATATAAAATAAATAAGATATATCTTCATAAAAAAAAACTAATATACTATTGAAATATAAATATCTAATTTTATCTAATATTGTTAACTTAAAAATGTTTGTTGTTATTAAGTACGTAAATATCTATTTTTTATCAATTAGTTGTAGGAAGATTGTCGAAATCAAATGTTCTGGAATTAATAGATAGATTAATTAGATTTTAGCAAGTATGAATTGCTAACAAAATGTGGAGAATGTATCGTTTACATATCAGTAGATGTAAACAAACCTTATCAACAATTTGGTACCATACGTAAATGAGATGTACCAGATATGAAAATATATAAAGCCAATACTTTTTTCATATCGTATTTCTTCCCTTGTTCATCTTTCATAAATCATCACCTATATATTATATATAAATAAAAAGAAACAAAAAACTTAATCATAGATTTGTACTTTACATATATTAATATAACATTGAGAATGTATGCTACTTATCCAATAACTAAAGGCGTTAATTTTTAACAGGGCTGATGGAAAATAATATAAATATTATAATATTTTAAATGAGTTTTTTCACTAGCAAAAAATGTGTTTATTTTTTTTACCTTTTTTGTTCATTACGACATTGGAGTTGTAACAAAAAATTCTTATTTTCTAAATTTTTGGTAAAATCTTTTGAAAAATAAGAAAAATCATAAAAAAACCATCAAAAAAAAGAAAAAAAATTACAAACTCTAGATATTTTACAAAAATAAGAGTGAACCAATAACATTTTATTCAAATCATAACTACTATAAACTATTACTGTTGGAAAATGAGAGTTTATTACTGTCATTTTCATAAGAATTATTTTTAATTAGTTTTTCTATATATTATGTGGTGTACAGATGTACATAATATCAGGAAAACATTTTAATTGTCACCAAATATGTCTTTCGAAGATTTGAAAAGAAATGAAAAACTTTAAAAGAAAACTTAAAGTAAATAAAAGAATGTATACTGAATACACTATATAATAAATATGTACATGTATTTAGTATAAAAACAAAAACAAGTATCTATAACTTAATGATGTCTATCATTACCATGGACGCAGAAGGCTCCAAATTCCAACATTATTTATATATGGTGGAATAGCCATAGAAAATACATTCCTTTTTTTTTGAATCATTATCTAAAATTCTATTTATCTAACAACAACATATATTCTTGTAATTAGTATAAGTTAGTTTATTGGCACTATGGCCGAGTGGTTAAGGCGAGAGACTCGAATTGTGTGGTTTGGTGATCTCTTGGGCTCTGCCCGCGCTGGTTCAAATCCTGCTGGTGTCGTTATCTTTTTTGGAACAAAATTTGCAATTGTACGAAATAGTAAATAAAATACAAAAGTTTTTTTTTTTAACGTTCTTGGAGTTAAACGATTATCATGGGAAAAAAGAAAAAAGAATATATTTTTATAGGGGTTTCGTATCACTTTACAATGCTTTTGCTGAGATTCTTTATCTGCGATTAGGGCCTGTTGATTCAGAAGAAATAAAGTAGTTGTTGAAAGGGACCCTCAATCTTTCAGAGCTTCGTAATAAAATATCTATATTATATATTATATATTATATACTGTGAGAAAAGTTGGTGTTCAACATCCCCCAGCAATAATCTCATCACAAATGAGCTGATTATTGGAATATTTATCATGGAAAAACTTATTCACAATCAGTGTTACCTCGAAAATGCGTAATTTTGTTGAGGCTAGGGTTGAAAATCTTTTCTGACTTAACCAAGTAGAGTAAACACAAGAAAACATTAGGGCTTTAGTATTTGTTTCATATTTATACAGAGTCGTATACATAGATAAAGAAATATCAATTGTCATTATTTTACTGTGACATAAGCCATATTATACACCTGTATATCTGAAACACTACATTTGGAGAGCATCTGAAAGTGTTAGGCACATATTTCAATTTAATTAGATTGTTGAATCGATCATCTTGATATGCCGAGAGTGTAATATAACAAAATTATGTATATGGAATTAAAACGGAAATCAACAAAATTTACTCGTTTATAACTTTCTTTGATCACTTCGTTAAATATTATTGATTAACATCCTATCATTCTATGAACTATACATTTAAAGTATAATCAAAATGGAGGAAAACTCAATTAACTTGCACTTGAATTTAACCAACTTTGTTTTTATTTATGGTTATAAAACTTAACATTGGAAATAAAAAAAGAAAAAAGATTTATAAGAACAAAGAAGAATCAAACCTTAGTGTTACTGTCCATGTTGAATGCTACCCAAAATTTGTATTTCTTCACAAGGTGAGTTTGTCGATGAGAATGGTAATTTAGTACAGTTGCGAGGAGTCAATTTTGACCCTACAGTAAAATTTCCCTCTAATCCAAACTATCCGACTTATTTACCTATAAATTTTAACCAACAGAATCAAGAATCAGTCAGTTTCATCAATCATCCTGTTCCTATTACAGAAGTTAAACCTCATATCTTTCGCCTAAAATCGTTAGGATTCAACTGTCTTAGGGTCCCCTTCACTTGGGAATCTATGGAACATGACGGTCCCGGAAAATACGATTTTGAATATATGGATTACTTAATTACTTTGCTTAAGACTATTCACATGATCGACAATGGAATGTACATATATTTGGATCCACACCAAGATGTATGGTCTAGATTCACTGGTGGCTCGGGGGCACCACTCTGGACGCTTTATGCTGCAGGGTTTCAACCAAACAGGTTTTACGATACATCTGCTGTACTGTTACATAGTGATTATGCAAGAGAGTCTAATGACAGTAAAAAAATTTTGCCCATGTTATGGACTACCAATTATTACAGGTTAGCATGTCAGACAATGTTTACATTGTTTTTTGGTGGTAAAACATTCGCACCTAAATGCGTTATTAATGGGGTCAATATTCAAGATTATTTGCAAGATAAATTTATTGACACTGTTATAACGTTTTATTCTCGCTGTCTTGAAACAGCACCTTGTTTATTCACGGATAATTGTATTATTGGATTGGAATCAATGAATGAACCCAATAGCGGATACATTGGCATGGAGAATCTTGGAAAACTTTCTTCAGATAGACACTTAAAATTGGGAACCACACCTACTGCACTGCAAAGCTTTTTACTAGGAGAAGGTGTTGATTGTGCAGTTGAATACTACAGATTGAAACTGTTAGGACCAATGAAGCAAGGCACCAAGCAAATCAAGACTAATAAATCGAAATGTTGGTTAACTGAAGAGGAGCGGAATGAAGTTGATATTAAGTACAAATGGAAACGAGGTGAAGAATGGTTACCATATCAATGTGTATGGAAACTACATGATGTTTGGACAAGTAATGGCCATTTATTAAAACCAAATTATTTTCATATTAATCCAATAGACAATTCCATTATCGATGAAAGAACATTTATAAACCAATATTTCATGGATTATTATGCCAAATTATATAAAAAATTTAGATCGATTGATAATGACCGTTTTATTTTTATACAACCGCCAGTCTTGAAAGAACCACCAAATATTTTGGGCTCAAAATATTCTGAACTAATTGATGATAAAACTGTTTATGCATGCCATTATTATGATGGATACTCTTTAATGTTTAAAACTTGGAATAAATATTTTAATGTGAATACATACGCTATAATGAGGGGCAAACCTGCCTGTTTCAATATATTGATAGGTGAACAAAATATTCGGAACTCATTTAAGAATCAATTAAAATCGATGAGACAAGAAGTGGCAACTAATATTGGATACAATGTACCGGTCATATTCAGTGAAATTGGTATACCATTTGATATGGATAATAAAAAATCATATTTTATTCAAGATCCAACTAATTGTTATAATTCACAGACAAAGGCCATGGATGCCATAATGTATGCCCTTGAAAGTAATAATCTGTCATTTAACTTATGGTGTTATTGTCATGTTAACACACATGAATACGGAGATCATTGGAATCAAGAAGACTTCTCAATATGGTGTAAAGATGATATAAGTTTGAATCGAAACATGGTTTCAAAGGTACAGTATCCTATGACTCTTAAGAGTGATATTATAAAATTAGATGACAGCACAAATGAATGGATTGAAAAGTTAGGATACTGTTGCCATTCGGTCGAGCGCATCAATCTTGATGGGATACGGCCTTTATCATCTTTGTTAAGACCATTCCCATTGAGAATAAATGGGAATTTTGTTGCAGCCAAGTTTAACCGTGAATCAAAAGAATATTCTTTAAATTTAAAATGTAGTGATAAACAAAAGAAGGACCAAGAATGTGCATTTTTTGCAACATACATTTTTTTGCCTCAATATCATTTTCCAGTTGCTAAAATATCCATTGAAACTAGCTCAGGTTCACTCATATATTATGCCAAATATCAAATATTAAAATGGCACCATGAGATCATGGGAGACCAATATATAAAGATAAAACCTCAAAAATAGATAGATATAATACTTCAAACACTCGCAATGGTGAAATATTTTTCTTTTTTTTTTCATTTCTTTTCTTTACTTTTGTTTATAATATTACAGATGCATTGTTCTATAACAAATCATACATAACTATACTACATTACATATATATGTAGAAAAAAAATTGTGAATATTTATTCATTGTTTTTTTTTTTATTTTATTCTGATTTAATTTCTTCTGAATCTAACTTCCTCTTCTTATTAAATTCATTATTAAATTGAGTTACATGATTTTGGAAGTAATCAATGAAAGGTTGTAAAGATTTTGGCGGTTGACCATTGGAATTATTAAATTCTTCCTGAATGGTGACCAATTTTGGTGCTTTATCAGGAGTAAAACTGCTGGAATTAATAGGAACACAAATGTTCCCTGTAGCTGGATGTACACAAAATGGTGCTTTTAAAAGATGGATCAGTTGCCTTGTGACTTCAATATCTAATTTTGGGTATAAAATCAACATAACAATATCTTCTTTCCATTGTTTCAGTCTAAACATAAATTCCTTACGTCTTTGATTATTATTAAATTTCAAATTAGAAGCAAAATCATCTATATCATTCCATTTATCAAGACTAGATCTATTAGGTTGTTCATTCATCCAAAACTTTGTCAGGGCGTCGACCAAAATCTTGTCACCTATATTGGGTAAAAGAGTCCTTATTGCGTTATTATTATCTCTCCAGGGATCTTGTTCAATCAAAATAAAATCCATGAAGTAAGGTTTTAACATATCCAAAGAACGGCTCAAATGTGGGTGGTAGGGTCTTTTTAGATTTAATCTTTTCGATAACGACCTATCCTTAATAACATTTAAGTAGTCTAGAATATTTCTACGCTGTATGTCAGTAAGACCCATTGCACGTTGATCATTACACCAGCAGTGAGCACCACGCCTACCAGAGAAGACCCACAAATAATCATGAAACGCAAAATCTTCAGATAGTGCAACATTAATAACATCCATGGCTAAAATGATAAACTTCCAGCATTTATGACATACCTGAGCCCCTTGGCAACAAGTACGGAAGGAATCATAGTCATCCATATCGATATCAAACACCAATTCTTTCCTTTGCGGTACCAATTCAGATTTCATTAGTATCTCCCTATCCTTTGGTGGTTTATTATAGATTGCACCAATTTCAAATCTATCTGGATTAAATTTGCAAATCATTTCTTTAAACTCTCTTAAAGTAGAGATAGAGTTGTAACGTTTATAGGCACCTGAACGAAAAGCCATGGCAAATTCTCTTGTTCTGATACAATTATCATTTTCGGCTCCCTCTTGACCAGATTCTATACCACCATTATCATCATTAGGATTTTTCCTATTCAGCCAGGAAAACACAGCAGGAAAGGGGTAACAATTTTGGTAATAATGCTCCATATCAGCGGCACTAGGTAGAGACATGATTGACAACTTCAATTGCAAACTTTTACAGGAGACAGAAAAGAGTAGCTTGTTGTTTACTTTATCTCTACTATTACACTGGCGTGATTCTAGGATTGAACCAACCACTACCAAGTAGTAGAAGTTACCACCAAAACACCAATATCCATTGCTCAACTACCAACTATGCATATCACTTCTAATGTATCATTCTTCCCCCTCACAAAACTATAGAAAATAATACAGAAATGCTCGAGAAATCAAGAAATTCTGCGGGTGTCTGGATGCAACAATCCGGGTAATCTGCATAAAAAAACAAAACTGTGGCAAAACGGGAAAAAAAAAAAGAAAAAAGAACTTGTTTTTTTTTTTTTTCTTTTTTGGAGGCAAGAAAACCTTTTTTTGTAGTAGAAGAAGAAAATAAAACAAGACAGTTTATGTCTTGTAGATGGAGTATTTAATGAAACTACACTGGACTTCGCAATGGAAGAAGAAGGTCAGAAGGGTCGGTAGCTCGCCGGAAGTATTACAAGAGCAAGATAAAGTCAAGCTTTATACTTTATTTTGATTAATTGATCGATTGTTTATTTATATTTCAGATATGGATATTTTATTGGGTATTAAAGTTAAGGATAGTGTAATTTTGGCCACCTCTAAAGCTGCCACAAGAGGTATATCAGTATTGAAAGCAGATGATGACAAGACAAGGGAATTGACTCCACACACTGTAATGGGGTTCACAGGGGAAGCTGGTGATACCGTACAATTCGCAGAATATATCCAAGCTAATATGAAACTGTATTCTACTAGAGAAAACCATGATCTATCTGTTGGTTCGACGGCCAGTTTTGTCAGACTGGAGTTGGCTAAGTCTCTTAGGTCACGCAAACCCTTCCAAGTAAATGTCCTAATAGGTGGTGTTGATATTTCTAAAACTACAAATGATAAAAGTGAGGAAGTTATAGAACCTCATTTATACCAGATTGACTATTTAGGAACACAAGTAGAATTACCATATGCAGCACATGGTTATGCAGGCTTTTATACTTTCTCACTTTTGGATCATCATTATAGACCAGATATGACTTTAGATGAGGGAATAACTCTATTAAAATTGTGTATCAATGAATTGGAAAAGAGAATGCCGATCGATTTCAAGGGTGTGTTCGTTAAAGTAGTGGATAAAGATGGTATAAGACAGTTGGACGATTTCTAAAAGCTATCCATCAACTGTTATTAAATATGGTTGCATCTATCTATATATTATATAATGTTGTCGAATAACGTAAATGCAATATTATTTAACCATATCTTTTGATAGAGTAGTATATTTTCTTTTAAAGAACGGTGACTAGTCTTGCATATAATATTTGCTTCTCTTTTCTTCTTGTTCTTCTTACTCTTGTTCTTTTATCCATTTCCTTTCAAGAGAAGAAGAAGGTTGACTAATCTCCCTCTACATAAAATAACAAAACAAAACAAATCGAAATCAAATAAAACAAAAAAAAGACAAAATGAAAAAATCGAAAAGAAGAATATCATCATCTCGACAGATGACTTTTAAACAAGAAAGAAAGAAATACATCAAAATACACCAATTGTAACAGCCAAACACGTATACGTAGAAATGTCATCAACATGCTATGTAAGGTGTTCAGGTCTTCATCTATCAAATAATAAGTTAAGAGAAAATCTGTATCTTTTATTCAGTGAATATGGAGAGGTTATCAAAATTACAATACAATCTGGTAAAGATACATTAGCCTGGGTTGCGATGTCTGACGAACAAGAAGCTCAATTGGCTTCTTATTCTTTAAATAACACCCGATTTTTTAACCAGGTGTTATCTGTACAATTAAGTAATAAAAATACAAAAAATATCATATAGTTTATATGTAAATATATGTATACATCTGTGTGTGGGTAAAAGAAAAAAAAAAGCACATGTCTTTTATTATTGTTATTGTTGCATTTATTTATTCTTTATTATATTCAATAATCATTAGCTCATATCTCTTTCTTATATCTACTATTTTATTACCTGCTTATGAAAATGAAGTTATATATAATGTATGACAATATATGACAACCATTTATTTAGTGAATAATGTAATTACATCCTCATCATTGACTTTATGATTTAAACCACATTTTTGTGGAGAATGTTTTGCAGAAGATCCCCATACCAAAGCGTACTTAAATTTATCCTTAAAATCTCTATGGATAGAATGACAAAGATCCCCGACCGTAGATCCATTTCTTACTACCAAAGGATCATCAAATACAGGTTTTTGGCCACGTTTCTTTGTATAAACACGAGACAGATTTAATTGATACCAAATCTCTTCAACAACATCTTGTATTCCTAGATCCATTTCACACGACATCACCACAGTGTTTGGCTCAGCTGCTAGACGATCTACTTCCTCCAACGACACCGCATCGATCTTATTATACACATACAAACACTTAATATAATTTCTGTGTTGGTCATTAATGATATCAATAAAATCATCTACTGTACATGTGGAATCACGTACAAGGATTTCACAGTTATGAATACGATAATCTCTTAAAATTGCTTTAATTGTCATTTCATCTAATTTACCTGGTAAAGGCGGAGATACAAACGTAATTTTAATCCCACCGGTCTCTTTCTTCTTAAAATAGATGTTTGGCTTCTCTTTATTTAATCTAATACCAACTGCTTCTAGTTCATGTTCTAACGATTCACGTTGATGTTCACTCTTTGTGGCGTCAAGGATCATTAATATTAAATCTGCAGTTCTTGCAGTAGCAACAACTTGCCTACCACGACCTTTCCCCTGAGATGCACCATATATGATACCGGGCAAATCCACAATCTGAATCTCAGCACCACCGTATTTTAAGACACCAGGAACAGAGGTTAATGTAGTGAAAGCATAATGTGCAATTTCAGATTTTGTAGAAGTGATCTTACCAAGTAATGAAGATTTACCAACGGATGGATAACCTATCAAAACTACACGGGCATCACCGGACTTGGCCACTTCAAAACCTTGGCCTCCACCGGATCCCCCACTGGCATTGGCCTCATCTGCCAAAAGTTGCTGTCTATAACGTGCAAGTTTCCCCTTTAATAAACCTAAATGATGTTCAGTGGCTTTATTCTTTTGGGTTCTTGCCATTTCCTCTTCGATGGCTTTAATCTTTTCGATAATACCCATTTTGTATCGACTTTTTTCTCAGTTGTGCTTTATCCTATCTAATTTAACTCTAATTTATTTACTTGGATTAGAATGTTCATAAATACTTGTATATATCTCTACCTATCTATAGATACAGAGATGAATGCGTATGAGTTTGTTATATCAGTGTGCGATGTTCTTCTTCTTGATCTTCAATTTTTGAAAGATTTTATTTATTCATTTATTTATTTTTTAATTTTTTTTGTTATTTTTTTTTTTCCTGTGCACAAATTTCAAAATATTGATTTCAATGTCTAAACAGAAGAAAGTAATACTACTATTTAATACATACTTGTATATATGGGTATACATTTTTATGTATCTGTATCTGCTCATATTAATACGTGCGAAAACAAGTCTCCATTGATTTATGCATATAGTTTTTCCATTTCTGGGAGAGAGGGTTAGAGGTATATCAAAGACAGTAAAATAGTACTCAAAGAATAATGAACTATAATAATGGTAACCCACAGTTTAACTTCCCTCAGGGGTCCATGAATATGAATACTGGAGGATCCACGTTCTTTGGTTTCAACAACCACAACAATATGGATATTGGTGGCAATAATCAATTTACGAATGGTGGTATGATGGGCATTGCTCCTGATCCCCTACCCCACGGGTTGCTTAACGCTTTATCAACCCGTGGTTATGCACATGAACCACCTTTATTAGAGGAAATTGGGATTAATTTTGACCATATTATAACAAAGACTAAGATAGTACTTAACCCATTAGGTGTAATGGGTTCCAACGGTATCATGTCACAAGAGATCTTAAACGATTCAGATTTCGCAGGCCCCTTAATCTTCTTTATGTGGTTCGGTCTGTGTCTTCTATTGGCAGGTAAAGCTCACTTTGGTTATATATATGGTGTGGCATTGTTTGGTACCCTATCGTTGCATTACTTATCTAAATTGATGTCTTCTAGTAACAATAACAGACTGCAATTCTTCACTACAGCATCCATCCTAGGCTATTGTTTTTTACCACTATGTTTTCTAACTTTCTTCGGGATATTCTGTAAATTGAACAACACTATGGGATATCTACTAGCCATGCTCTTTGTCATTTGGAGTACTTGGTCCTCATCTGGTTTCTTAAACTCTCTACTACAGTTGCATAACGCCAGAGCATTGATTGCCTATCCTCTGGCTATCTTCTATAGTGTATTTGCCCTAATGGCTATCTTTGTCTAAATTTAGGGCTTGGGAAGAAAGAAGTAGAAAAAAGTCTGTTGTCATGGTGACAATACACCATACATTTAGGGTTTTCTTTCTTTCTTCCGTTTTTTTCAATTTTCTCAAAGGCCTCGAGATTCTTGCAAGGGATTTTTCCAATGGATTTATTAAATACCGAATGAAATATATGATATATACAGTATATTTATTATGTGTGTAGGTGAAGAGATATAAGGATATTTTTAAAAAAACAACAATAATAATATCGGGTTTTGGCATTTGTATTCATTAGCTTGGTCTGTGACCTGAATAGGTAGTACATGCATGAATATTTGATGTTTTTTGGTAAGATATGTGTCCTTCAATTTACCGACATATAACTACTCCAATTTTCTATCCTAATGCATCTCCACATTTAGGTCACTTATATTCTTCATTATTGGCCGATGTTCAACATAGATGGAACCAACTACAACTATATAACAGTAAATTCACAACAGGTACAGACGAACATGGTTTGAAGATACAGCAAGCAGCCATCAGGAATGGATATGCTGATCCTTTGAAATTCGTAGATACATTAACACCAAAATTTAAAAGTTTAGATGCTCAATACGATATCAATTATACGAATTTTATCAGGACCACAGATATCAAACATATTAAAAATGTTAAAAAATTGTGGGAGAAATGTTTCCAAAACGGCCACATCTATAAAGATATTCATCAAGGTTGGTATTCTGTCTCAGATGAGACTTTTTATCCTGAATCCAAAATTATCAAGCTGGAGAATGATGATAAGGAGGTTAAATATGTTAACACCGAGACAAATAATGAAGTAACGTATCATAAGGAGACAAACTATTTCTTTAAATTATCTGATTTTCAAAATCAGTTGATTGACTTACATTCAAGAAAGGGTCTCAATGCGTGGATTTTCCCTGAATCAAAAAGACTGTCTTTATTGAATGAGTTGAAATCCACAAACTTATCAGATTTATCTATCTCTAGACCATCAGAAAGGTTGTCTTGGGCTATCTCAGTGCCGAATGATTCTACACAGAGTATCTATGTTTGGTTTGATGCATTAACCAACTATATTTCCTCTTTAGGACCACTGGAGAATCTATATAACAGTGACAATAACAACAATACTATGCTAAAATATTGGTCCCAAACTACACACATTATTGGCAAAGATATTATGAAATTCCATTGTTGGTATTGGCCAAGCTTTCTTCTTTCTGCTGGACTACCATTACCAAAACGAGTTATCATTCATGATCATTGGCTCTCACAAGGTGTCAAAATGTCCAAATCTTTAGGTAACGTCATTGACCCAATGGAATTACCATTACAATATGGTAAAGATATCATTCGTTGGTCAATCTTGGAAAATTCACAATTAAATCATGATAATAATTTTAAAAATGAAGATCTATCAAAGTGTAGAAACATATTTATCTCTAAATGGGGTAACCTAATTAATAGATGTTGTAATGCAAAATCGAAATTTGATCTATCAAGAGCAGTCAATAAAACGTATGGCAATATTTCAAGTAAAGATGATTTTCTTAATATATGGCAAGAACAATCCTTATCTCTTGTTGAAAATGAACAAGTGGATTCTATTTTCAATCAATTAGAATCATTCCAACAAACCTACTCCGTAAAGATGGAAACATTCCAATACAATCATATTATAAAGGATATTTGGAAACTTATTGATCAACTTAATTTATTTATTCAAACTACAAAACCATGGAACAAGACAAATACAAATCAAAGAAGACAAGATGCAATAATATTTTTAACTATGGATATTTCTAGGATCTTATCAATTTTAACACAACCAATAATACCACAATTATCAAATAAATTTTTAGACAGGATTGATGTTTGTCCAGAAAGAAGGTCTTTTAGGGATGCGAAATTTGGTACTGATCATACATATGGCGCTAATGCTAATGATCCATCTAAGAATGTACCAATTGAAAGGAAAGTAGCATCATACGAGTATTAATTAGCTAAGATGAATAACGATTATCGTGTGAATAGGTAACAATAAAACAAAAAGAGGAAAAGAAATGTCCATTTGTAAATAATTTGGTGTTTAAATAATTAAGTTACGAAGATCTTATTTATTCTTTTTATTTTTTGAATTCAACAAACTTTTCATTAACTATCATCAATTAGTAACATAAGTAAAAAATTCAAAAGATTGTATTTTAAGAATGCATATATAGATTATATAAAAATGCCTATATTTATGTATAAATTAAATAGAGAAGATGCTGTGCTGGAACTTAAAGTATACTAACGTAAAATACTAAAAAAAAAAAAGAATAATACCATTGATAATAAAATAGAATGAACTGTATCTAATAGGAGTTAACAATTTCTACATCATCAAGTCATCTAATCATTTGTAACATTAATGGTAGGTGTACATTGTATCGATGTTGACGATTGCATAGTATCTTGTGTTTCATTCTCTTTAATTGTTACAATATTATTATTCCCATAATCATTTTTAATCAACCCAGTCAGAGTATTATATTGCCATGTGGTACCATCCAATCTATGCACATCCTCTTCTGTAATCGTTATAGAGCTTTTTATTTTGTCTAATTCTAAAGAATCGGTAACTTCTTTTCTTTTACGTTTAATATCTTTGACGCCTGGTACATGACCGACTGACATTCCTACTTTGACTAAAGTCTCAATCTGTTCTGTACTATTAACGATTAAATCAGAATCGAATCTTATATTATTTTTAGGTATTAACAGAATTATCGTAGATCCACCAAATTTGAAATACCCAAGTTCTTCTCCTTTCAAAATAAAGTCGCCTTCTTTACATGTCAATACAATAGACCCAACCATCATGGCGCCTACTGCTATCATGAGAAATTCACCAAACACTTCTGATACCATTGGAATAATGGTTCTCACATTTTCACCAAATACATCTAACGCACTACGTATAGCTATTGGATTAACTGTATAGTATTCTCCACTTATGTGAATTGGTTTCCCGATGGTAACATCACAAGGAGCATGAAATCTATGGTAATCTTGCGGTGCCAACCGAAAAATCGCCAAGCTAGTGTTAGAATCATTATATCTACTGTTATTATAGTTATTTGTCAACCTTTTTAGAGTAAAACTTGATGATTTAATCCAAATCTCTTTGGCACTTTCGATAGATGAGAACACTGTAAGCCTCGAATCTGCAGGTGAAGTTATATATTGAGGAGAATGACTTTCAATGACTCTACTTCCAGGTTTTAGTTTCCTGTAAAAAAATTCATTGAATGTACTATATTTCGTATCAAGACATTGTGACATGTCCAAATGATGGAATTTAATAAAGGAATCAATTTGTTTTACAGATGCCGGATTATCAAACTTCCTACCTTGCCTTACTGATAGTGTTTTTAGAAGATATTTAAAGTTCTTGGATTCTTTACCTTTACCATTATAAATGATTCTTAATCCCACTTTAACATGGGCACTAATTTTTTCTTCAACAATGATCCCAGTATCTCTGTCCTGTACTAAAATGTTTGCATTATTGGAACCTAAAGCATATTTACCATATGATAATTTTATTAAAATTTTACTAAACCAACGTTTTGATGCAAAAGCAGACGATATATATGTAGGTTTTAACAATTTTTTCTGACCTTCAAATAAACAAAGAGCAAAGTGAATAAATATATCATTTTCTGATGAAATTTTCAATTTTCGATCAATCTTATTATTATTATGACTCTTTTTAATCTTAAGACAATTAGGGCATTCCCAAACAGATCTAAATTCAGACATTTTCTTCCAAGTAACCAATCCCTGAATCAATTCTTCCCTTGTTAACTGATCACCTGCCCATGCTGACTTATTAACATGATGAAAAAATGTAATAGCATCATTATCAGTAAAGGAACCGATTCTATCTAAATATAACATTAATTCAACAACATCAAGTTGATTTTTCAAAATGTCATTATAGACTGAATATTCCCAAAACTCTCTTTTCAACATCAAATACGATGAATATTTAATCTTAATGGTCAGTATTGGATTGGATTTTACATTTTGATGATATAAAAAATTTAAAGGTAAATTTAATTCAATCCATCCTTTTTTTTCATCAAAATTATTGCCGTTTTTATTTTGATTATTCAAGTTGGATAAAATATCGATCCATGATAGATTATATTCAGCAATCTCGTCATGAAACGAGATTGAATCTCTATCCATCACTTTAAAATGGAAATTAAATCGAGTTTCACTAGGAAATATTTCGAATGCTATAAATTCATTAAAATATGGATTTAAAGTGTTATACTTAGATGATGTCTTAAATACACGTCTACCAAAAGTAATAATAACAAATGGATCCATATCATAGTTTTTCCTTGATAATTTATTCTTCAATACGGGCAGGTCTATTATATTGACAATTTCCATGTATATTACACCCAAAGAATGTTTTCTTTTAAAGATTTTAAAATGATTATTTTTACTATAGTTTTTGAAATGATCCTTATTATGATTATATTTATATCTGGATCTTTTTTTCAAACTCAATAATTTATTTTGATTATTTTTTTCGTATATTAAAACATTACTTAGGATAGATTCAGTGTCTGAGTTACTAGATATATCTGAATCAGTTGCATAGTCTGAATTAGCATTCTTGATGTGAGTAAGGAATGGTTGCTTAGATATATTTGTTGGATCCACTACATCATATTCATCTAAAGCAGTGGCTAAAGATTGTAAATCTAAAATATGGAGAGAATCTTGAACTTCTTCTTCTTCTTCTTCTTCTTCCTCTCCACCTTCAGAGTTATCTTCGATTTTATTAGTAGATCCATTATTTGAGATAGCAGAATCTATTTCGATAAAAGAAGAGGAAGAAGAAGCAGAGGAAGGAGTGAGGGGATGAGATACACATAATGAGGAAGCAGTAGAGCCCAGGGAAATAAAGGAAGATAAGGACGAAGAAGTAGAGTCCACAGAATTAATAGAAGAGATATCCGAAGAGGTCAATTGATCTGAACTATCATTATCATCATTATAATTATTATTATTAGAATTTTGGTATTTGAATGACAATTTCTTATTTCTATAATTATTTAATCTTTGTTCCCATAAGATAAAAGCTTTTAAAGTAGTAAAATTTCTTTTCTGACTACATGTAAGTAAGAAACCAAGTTGAATTTCACCTACAGGAAAAGCTTTTTTCATTGATTTGGAATCTTTATATACTTTCTCTCGCTTTTTATCGTATAATATATACCATTTAGGTTGATTTAACTGATTAAAATTGAACTGATTATTGATTGAGGAATCCCTAAATATTTCGTTGATTGAAATTTGTGTTTCACCTATATATATGTGCCGATTATTAGTAGATGTATTAGTAGTAATATTATAATTATCATTCGCAAAGATTGAGCCGTGGACAGTCAATGTAGATGAAAGATTGTTATTACTATTACTCCTGCTTCTACTCCTGCTTCTACTGTTAATATTATTACACTTTTTATTATGAATATGGGTATCCACCGATGAACTGGATTGTGAAGAGGACAACAGACATACAGAAGAAGATGATGAGGGGGATGCCATCGATCTAGTCGGGGAAAGATCTCTTTTATATTTTAAATATTTTTGCTTTTCATGAATAATAATAGTATTATTATTATTATTATTATTATTATTATCAACTCTATCACTATATTCTTTATAAGCACCTGGTAATAAATCGTATATAACGATCCTTAACTTGTCGTCATTTGGATATTTAGGTAGATGTAATTTAATCAATTGATTCCAATTGGAGTTAGAATTTTGTAACACGTTTGTCTTTTTAATCACATATTTATTTGTTGAGATATAACATACTGGACAACAATCTCTGAAAGTTTGGAATACTTCGATATTTTTTGTCCTGAGTACAGAAACATGTAACAATAACGTTGGAGGCTTATTTGTAGAATTATTTTGTTTTTTACTACTAGTTACAGAATTATTTTGTAACAATTTCATCTCAAACTGTTTAGAAAATCCTCACTGTAATTGTAGCAGTTATTGAAAAGGGGTAAAGAAAACGAAGACCAAGAAATCAAAAAAAAAAAAAAAAAGAATTAAAAAAAAGAACACATTAAATAGTAGCCAGAATGATTCAATTAGAAAAAAAAAATAAAATAAAGATAGTGAAGAATCAGACAACCATAGAGGGTTGTATAATTGTTGTATAGTTCTGTGTGCTTGTAGTAGAAGATATACCTCAAGGACTAAAGTTGTCTTTAAATGTCGAGCAGTATACTTATAGTAAAATGTTTATGATAATGTATATATATATATAAATCATATTATATTATATGTTTGCATATAATATATCCATACAATAGTTTGGCGGCTGTGTTTTCAGTGCATAAAAACGAAAAAAATCATTAAAATAAGAAATATTGTGGCTAAACACCCAAACACCTCTAATGTAATGCCGTGTGGGTGCCTGGGTGATGGTCAGTTTCCTTTCTAAACTCCGCGAGGTTATCGGGTATCCGGGTTTATGACGGTTTTCCAAACCCGCAATATATTCCGAAGTGGATTGAATTCCGGTCTGCGGAATATGAGAAAGACGGGATGAACAGAGTAAATTTCTTTTTTTTTTTGTTTTTTCATCTTTTTTGTTTTCTTTTTGTAAGAAAAAAAAATTTACTCACTTAAACTTTGTACTAGCATTATCACTACTATAAAAATAATGTTCTGTTTAACTAGACGAGCAATGTCTGTGAAAAAATGAACACAATCCTTTAATAACGCTGTGGTGCTTCTTGCTCTCTTTGTTGTCTGTTATGTAGTTCACGTTTAGGATAGTTATGTGTATAGTTGTACTTATATGTTTCATACGTAGCTCTCCGCCCCTTTAGTATCTATTTGTTTGCTTGTTCTACAAGGGACTTGATATTCTTACTTTCTTTTTTTTTTTTAATTGAATTCCCTGATATACAAAGTAGGATCGAGTGGATGATTAAAATAAAAAGTGTATATAGTATTTAAAAGGGCATTGAAATATATTGGGGATATTTTAAAGTATGGGTAAAACATTTAGAGAATCTGCATCTAAAAAGGCTGCAGGGTTAGCCAAAAAGAGAGAGAATGCTGCTAAAAAGGAAAGAGAAGCTGCTGAGAGAGCAGAGGCTGAAGAAGCTGCTAAATGGGAACAAGGTGCAAAACAAAAGACTGCGAGACAAATACAAGAAGAAGAACGTAGATTAGAAAAAATGAGACAAAAGAAAATTAAAGAACAGTTGATTGCTGAAGAAGAAGCTGAACTGTCAAAAAATACTAAAGCTGGTAAAGTTAAAAATAGAAGAAGAAAATGAAATTATCTCTATCGTTTTCATTAGAGTAATAGTTATACTTAAACGAATAAATCGGTGAAAGATTCTTATATGCATATTATATTAGCTTCTACGTACTAAGTATACATAGTAGATGTCTGTTTTTTGCTTACTTATTTATTTACTTATTTATTGAATTAATGATTAATATATATTTATTTCACAATTATTTTTTTTTTTATCTTTGTCTTAAGTCCCCTCTCCCCATCTATATTATGCTATTCATACAACAGGTTTGAAACAAAACTTATTATATAATAATTGGTTATTCTATGTACATACAAATATGCATATCGTACTATTATAATTCCATTCAAGTGGCTATTATTAGCATTAATACCAAAAAGGATGGTATCTATACGTATAAAAAATGGCTTCAGATATGTAACACCATATTATCATAAGAATAGGATTTTTGTTAAAGGTAGATGGGTAGGGAAACCGTTATTAGATGTCTTAGTTAAAGAATTTAGGTCCTTTGATAAAGATTATTATACTAGAGCAATCTTCAATAGCAAATATAAATTGTATAGAGATGGTATTGAATTGCCTTTATTTTCCACCACTTCACCCCCCTCTTCAAATCTGATTATAAATAATAATATAATCATTCGTTCCGGCGATATCTTAGAGACCATAATACATAAGCATGAACCACCCATCAAATATTGGTTAGATGTATCAAAAGATCAATGCATCATTGAAAATGATCGTTTTATAGATGGGATTCCCGTTGTATTTGAGGATAATGATTTGATTGTGGTAGATAAACCATGTGGTATCCCTGTACATCCGACAGGTGGATATTATTATAATACTTTAACTGGAGTGATTAAACATAGTTTAACACCATATACTACTAATAATAATAGCAGTATAGAAATAGATACAAATCTGTATCCCTGTCATAGATTAGATAAAGTTACATCTGGTGTGACAATATTAGCCAAAAATAAGCAAATGGCCAATATCATTCAAACAGGTATTCAGTCTCATGATATGCAAAAATTGTATTTAGCTAGAGTCCATGGTAAATTCCCAGGGTCTGTAGTCATTAATAATAATAATAGTAGTAGTAGTAATAATAATAATATTAGTAATAATAAGCAAATTTTATCACCAATTGACCCATTAAATATTGATCTAGACTCAAATTGTTTAATTAAATGTGAATCCCCCATTTACACTGTCCAAACAAAAAAACAGTTCCCAAACGGATTGGGTCCATCGCGTCCAGCAGAGACAATAATATATCCATATTGGTATGATATGGCTACAAATCAAAGTGTAGTAATATGTAAACCCTTGACAGGCAGAACCCATCAGATTAGAATCCATCTTTTTAGGTTAGGTTATCCTATAGTAAATGATACGTTGTACTGTTCGCAAGTAACAAAATACCCTCTGTATTTAGATTTCATCAGAAAATATGAAGCATGGGAAGAGTGTCTCAATAGAGACCAATTGGCTGCTGATTTTGATCAGCTAATTAAAGAAGCAACTGATGTTAGACAAAGTAGATTAGTATCCTTAAGGAAGAACGATAGAGGTTTAACCTGTGATAAATGTGAATTGCCTTTAATGGAAGATCCCGAAGATTTTACTGATATGGTTCTATATTTACACGCATGGAAATATTATCAAATAGATTCTTCGAGCTTCAACGATAAATATGGCAGTTTTGAGACAAGGCTGCCATTCTGGGCTGTTGCCAGTCAATAATTAATAAAAAGAGATTTCTATGCCCTCCTTTTTATTTCAAAACTATACATACATATGTGTATATACGTATATATGTGGCTATGTATATGTATCAGGTAGAACATAAACAGTTCTAATTGGAGGTCAGAGATTAATTTGGATATTCAAGCAATTTATGCACCAGGAACATTTGCCTTACCTTTCAATCTTTGTAAAATTTCTTTAAACTTACTTCTGTCTCTACCATTTACAACAGCCGCATCGTCTTCGTTAATCAACTGCAATGCACGATCCCATGTTGTAGTGCCTTCTTGTTGAAAGAATTGGTCTCTTTTGGCCAAGAATTCCTTTGCAGCAGTTTGTGTGGCTTTAATACCTTCTTGTTTCTTTTTATTATAATTTTCATAAAACTGATCTATATAAGTGATTGCTTCATTTTGTAAATCATTTTTCTCCTTTAATTCTCTTTCATCTCTCTCAGAAATTTCAGACCCACGAGTTAATTTCCATTCAGCAATAATTTTTTCAGCATTTTCGTTAACTTTTGAATTGGTTTCATCCGAGTTGGGTAGCGTATTGTCCTTTATTAAATTATCATGATTATTTGGTTCCTGAATCACAGATGCTTCATTAGCAGTAGTGTCATTGTTTATGTTGTCATTATTAGAAGTAAATTCATCAAATTCCTCTTCCCCTTCTTCTTCTTCTTCTTCCCGATTATTATTGATGCTATCACTTAATAGATCAGCATCTTGTTCAGTCTTAAATTCATCGCCAAGGACTTCAGCTTCTCTTTTTAAGAAGTCAGTTTCGTCATGAGTGTCTACTGGAGTAGTCGATTGGTTTTGTATATCTTCATTTGGGTCTAAAGCAGGAAATCTGTCAGCCATTGTTTATCTATATCAATAAATATTTGAAAGACGAAGGTGCTATTACTGTTGTTGTTATTGTTGTTGTATCAATTTGATATGTTTCTCCTTTTCCTTTTTTCCCTTCTTTGAATAACCTTGGTCAATATCAGTTGTCAAAAATACATACAAATGCACCTTAATAACTCATATAATAAATATGTTAGTCGTACAGAAGAAGGGGACATATCTTGTTCTCTTTCTGCCTCTATCAGGCTTGTCAATACATCAAATATTATTTTAAAATGGCTTGTCACATCCTTTGAAAGACGGAGAGGATCCAAATTTCAAATTTCCAATTTCATCAAGGGAAGTTACCCGCAAAACATAAATATTATCATTTTGATCTTTTTTTTTTCATTAAAAACTGGAAAACTTACCCTTTAGAAATGTTATTTTTCACGAAAATCTAATGGCTATTGTCTTTTTCTGAAAAATAATGTATATTCACTTCTATTGTTTCAGAAACTGTACTTCTATTGTTTTATCCAAGACAAGAAAACACAATACATACGACACAAATAAAAGTGGTCGAGCATTTCTAAATCAAGACTGTATAGTATTTTAGTATCAATTCGTTTACTTCTTAAGACACATATACATGAAACGTTTTGTCAAGAAGAATAGAAAAATAGTTGATCTTATTACTTCAATTTCAAAAGATTGTTAAGTTTTAGTGTTTTTTCTTTCTTTCTCTTTTTGTGTTTAAAGAAGTATTGAATAGAAGTTTATGATTAATTTTTAGTAAAAATCAAGAAAAGGCCTTACTTGTAAAATCTTCGTAAGCAATAATTACTAAAACATAAATGTAATTTATAGAATTAGGTATCTAACGATTAGCTCCTGGAAATAAACAACAATAATTTTTGTGTTTTATATTAGTTGTACGCAAGTATTTAAAGTAAAAGAGAATATTCATATTGGACACTAACCTTAATATGTATATATATAAACAAGATGGAGAGAAAATAGCATTTCAGGTCTAGCAGTAGAATTAACCTCTTTTTTTTATTTAAACAGCAGATTGACAACTTATCTGTATGGTAGAAAAATATAATAAGATATATTAATAAGTTATCGAAAGAAATTGAAAGATTCATATTGATAGAAAAAAGTTTCACACTGATTCAGATCTATGGTTTTGGGCTTGTGGTCATCAGAAATTTAATAGCAATTTTATGGGGAGATATTTACTAAAATTTTTCATTAGAAAAAATTGTATATCAGGAAGATGCCCTTTTTAAGTTATATGTCTTAAATTTAGATTATATTATTCAATTTTAAAATGGAATTTTGTAACTAATGTTATTTAGTTGTTTAGCAAATCAATGTTTGGGGTTAATTGGTATTGTAGGAGAGGGAGGATAAATAGCAAATGGTTTTCTTGACGTAGAAACAGAATTGGTATCGTAAGTAATATTATAAATTTGGAAAACTAATTAATATACTTACTTGTTTAAAGCGATATCATATCTCAAGGGTCAAGCTTCTATTTGATAATGTTACAAAGACTACAATATCCTCTTTTTTCAATCCTATAGTCACTCTGAAATTTTTAATATAGAATATATATGGACAAAAATCTAATTTTATGAGTAGATATTCTATTTGACGATACTTATATTAAAGTCTATAGTGGATTTGATGCTATGTAGTTATATAGTTAAAAAAAATTCAATAGAGGATTTTTTGTCTTATTTCACTAAAACACTCACCGCTCTTCCAATTTCTATGCATTCTTGAGTCTTTAAATCAATCAGTTTGAGTGCATTTAATGTGGAATAATAGCCTGGTCTAATTGCCACAAACGATAAATCTACAAAATATGATTCATGAGGATTAATTATAGGCACTTTATAATCGTTCGATAATAAAATGAGCCCCTCAGTCATTTGTCTCTGTCTTTGAATCCAAGTTGTCTTTTTCTCTAAAGTTTGTAATCCATTATTTCTCAAGTTTATAGATTGTGTTATTAAAGTTGGACTCTGATTATTATAATATATTACTGAATCTAATGGTTGCGAAGACATATTAGTTATCTGTAACCTCAATATAAATTTATTACCACTTTCAGAAGTCATTGTGTCATTAATGAACTTGAATTTAATGTTACTATTATTAGGATTAATTGTTATTTGTTGCTGTTGTTGTTGTTGTTGTACAAATTGTCCTGCTTTGTATCCAGAATATCTATTTTGATTAGCATTCACTATCGTGCTATTATTAAACTTAGCAATAGAACTTAAGGAAATGGTTGATATCCTTGATAATGTAGCAGTATTATTTAAAAGTATATTGTTCCCATTGGCTTGACTAGGTATTTGAATTAATTGCCCTGTATTTGAACCAGTAAATGAATCACGCCCGTTTAGTCTTCTTCTTATGGTGACATCCGTCTCCCACTCAGTAAGAATATTAAACTTTAAATCTTCGTCTAAATTAACTAAGTATTTTAATGTGATTCTTACTCTGTGTGGTTTAATGTCGATATTTTCATTATCATTGAAATCTTGTGCCATTTGATAGACATTGTCAGAAATTAAAGGTGGTGGTAATTTGTACGCCATACTGAAAGAATCATATGGATAAACAATCAATAGGCTTTTATCTTTTGCCTCGTTATAGAACCCTTGACCCTTCATTGGTTCTATTTCAATATGAAAGTCATGTTTATTGATTGATTCCTTATTGATCAATTCCAATTTAATCAAATCAAATTTGAAATGCGTCCTACCTAATGGTATTGAATATTTATTACATAGATGGGTTAACGATCTTGAAGTTTGAAAATCCAATGATGTTAATATACAATATTGTGATTTTAAATAGGAATTTCTTAACCTCATGTTTAATAATGAATATATTGGATATTGAAATTCTAGTGAATGTGACTCCATATTTTGGTAATCAGATATCTCTTTAATTTGTTGTGTGTCATTTTGTATAGTCATATTTTGTTTCAGATTTGTTGTATCCCTCATATTATCCCAGATATAGATAGGTTCAAAGCTGGGTAAAACACTATCATCTGGATCATCAATTAATGATGAGTCAGATAGTTGTTGGGTGGTTGATTCAATGTTTCTTTTAGTGCTCATAGTACTACTACCAGTCTTAATGAATATATCTTTATTAATCTGATACTTCACTTGAAATTTGATTACATTGTCATATCCATTATTCATCACTACATTAGATTTGAAGAGATATTTCGAACATATATTTTCTTTTAAGACCCAATGATTTTTTGATAATTCCCTAAAATAATCAAGTGTAGGTCCTTGTATCAATATAGCCTCATTTATCCAAACAGTAAAATTGCCTAAGGTGATTTGATTTATATCATCTGGTTTTTGGAGATCTTTATTGAACCATAAATGGATGGTGAAACGCTCATCAAAGAAAATAAACTGTCTTTTATTTTGTTTTTGATCAACCCAATCAGTAGTGTCCAATGGTACACTATATTGCATCTTCCTTTTTGTAATTTTATAATTTTGTAGGTACGTTGTTTTTTCTATACACCTGGATACTTACTACTAGAAGGTTGTATAGTTGTATATATATGTATGTATGTACATATAGGCATATGTACACATGTGTGTGTGCGTATATCTTTAGCTTTTTTTATGTTAATATTCGAATTTTATTTATTGTTTGTCTTCTTTAGTTAGAACTTCATGAAAGAAAATGTACTCGTACTAAGAGAGCATGTACAGTGTAGAGGCAAAAAATAGAAGAATAAGTAATACATAAGTAGTATGTAAGTGTGTATTGTATATACAAGGGATATATATATATATATAAAGAGAGAGAGAGATGATATATATCTGTATAGAGGAATGCAGTAACATATTTAAAAATACCACTGTATGTTCTTTTTTTTCACTCTGATTCATTTAAACATATATCATTCTACCATTCTCATCAAATTCTATACGACGATCCTTTTTATTATCACGGTTTCCACTACCATAACGGTAAGCATATTTGTAGGCAGGAACGTCAGTGACTTTAAATTGTGATCTTTCACCAGCTAAGACAGGACCATAGACGATTCTTGTCTTATGCAGTTTTTTATTTTGTGAATTGCTATGATTAGCAGAATGTTCACCTTCTGTGGCCAATCTTTCTAACGTCTTGACGGCAGGTTCTAAATCTAATACTGCTGCTGCATCCAACGGACCAAATGGTTCTGATTCAGCCAATGTAATAAATCTGGATTTCTTTGCGTTAGATGGGATTGGAATCTCAGATAAGTTTTCTCGTCTTGAATTGATGATGTTTTGATAACTTGAACCATTATCTGGTGACTCAGTTGAGGTTGGTAGGTTAAATAGAGGGAACATTTGTTCCATTGTAGTGGCCATTTTATCTACATCGGTATTAATTTTTTTACTTTTCAACTTTCTCTGTTCTCTTTGTTCTTCCAATTGGTAGAGTTTAGATAATGCTTCCACACGGGCTACTTTTAACCCATATTTTTGCGACACTTCTTGTGTGGAGAGACCAGTTACATTTAGATCTTCAAAGATCTGCTTTTTTAGGTTTGAATCTACCCAATAATTCGTCAAACAGAATTTATTTTCAGGGAAAGGTTGTCTCCAACGGTTGTTGCTAGTATGACTGAACTTAGTGGACTCGTTCTCATTAGAAATGGGTTCAAATTTTAGTTGTTCGTAACCATTAGAGTCAATCCAGGTCTTTGGTTCCAAGATTTCTCCAGTGGTTGGGTCTCTCAAGGGTCTACCACGTTCCAAATCTGGCTGGATATATTTAGGTGTGTGGTTTGTAGCAGGAGAGGCATATCTGTTTAGTGGATATTCACCTTTATAGTTTTTTGGACCAAGGAATTGCCTCATGGCATATCTCAGATTGGTGTCATGTTTCCAAGGACTTTGTCTGTTTAATTTCAAAAAATTGTAACGTGGATAAACTATTCTTCTGCCTGAAAGATGTCTAAGTTGGATGAATACAGTCATTTAGTTTGTGAAATAAATAAAAAAAAGAAAGAAAGAAAGGAAAAAAAAAATGCAAAACTTTCTTGTTGGATGGTTGAATGTGTGGGATACTACTGGAAACAAAACCAGTTGTTTATTTTCTTTACCTTCATTCATTTCATCCTCCTTGTCTGTCTTCTGTTAAAATCAAATACAAAGCACCATAATGAAAATGAAAAATAAAATATACAAAAAAAAAAGCAGGGTCCTTTTCAAATTTTCCACTTTTTTTCCTTTTTTTTTATTTCCTAGTTTTCCAGCATAGATGTTGTTTGGTAGCTCCATACAAATAGGTCAGTGGAAAATTGTCAGTTTTCGAAAAATTCGAAGTAAAAAGAGTAAAAAAATTGATTGTTCTGGACGATGACCCGCAAACCTTTTTGATTTGCAAAAGTGTTAAATATGTATGATAGTTGTGTAGTGTATTGTAGTATATTGTAGTGCACTATAGAGTTTGTGGTTATTACATGTGTTTATTGCTTGTGCGTCTGTATTTATTAGAAGAATAGAGGAGATAAATATAAAAGAGAGCGTAGGGAAATTGATTGATTGGCGACCGATTCCAGATTTCACAGAACGGAACACAAAATACAATAAGAATAACAATAATCATACAATTACTATTTGAAAAATGCAAGCCCCAGTCGTTGTGATGAACACCTCTGCTCAAGAGAGGACTTCTGGCCGTCAAGCCCAGGTGTCCAATATTACTGCTGCTAAGGCTGTTTCCGATATCATTAGAACTTGTCTTGGTCCCAAGGCAATGTTGAAAATGTTATTGGACCCAATGGGTGGTCTGGTGTTGACTAACGACGGTCATGCTATTCTAAGAGAAATTGATGTGGCTCACCCAGCTGCTAAGTCAATGTTGGAACTATCAAGGACACAGGATGAAGAAGTAGGTGACGGTACCACCTCCGTCATTATCTTAGCTGGTGAGATCTTGGCTCAATGCGCACCATATTTGATTGAAAAAAACATTCACCCAGTCATCATTATACAAGCTTTGAAACTGGCTCTGAATGATGCATTAGAAATTATCAATCAAGTCTCTAAACCTGTTGATGTCGATAACGACGCCGCTATGCTACAATTGATCCAAGCCTCTATAGGCACCAAATACGTCAAATTATGGTCTGAAAAAATGTGCCAGTTGGCTTTGACAGCAGTAAGAATGGTTCATGATGATCGTGGAGACATAGATATCAAAAGATATGTTAGAATTGAAAAGATTCCAGGCGGTGAGGTTATGGATTCTCATGTCCTAAACGGGGTTATGTTAAATAAGGATGTCGTACATCCAAAGATGTCTCGTTATGTAGAAAAACCTCGTGTCATTTTATTGGATTGTCCATTGGAATATAAAAAGGGGGAGTCCCAGACTAATATCGAAATCACAAAGGAGGAGGATTGGAACAGAATCCTACAGATCGAAGAGGAACAAGTACAAAGCATGTGTGAGCAAATTTTGCAATTTAACCCTGATTTGGTGATCACTGAAAAGGGAGTCTCAGATTTGGCTCAACATTTCCTCCTAAAAGGCGGTTGTAGTGTTTTAAGACGTGTTAAAAAGACTGACAATAACAGAATCTCTCGCGTAACTGGCGCCACTATAATAAATCGTGTTGAAGATTTAAAAGATACTGATGTTGGTACTAAATGTGGTGTATTTAAAGTTGAATTGATAGGGGATGAATACTACACTTTCTTAGATGAATGTGAGGATCCAAAGGCTTGTACAATCATGTTGCGTGGTGGTTCAAAAGATATCTTAAATGAAATTGAACGTAATTTACAAGATGCAATGGCCGTGACTCGTAATGTCATGCTTTCTCCATCTTTATCACCTGGTGGTGGTGCTACTGAGATGGCTGTCTCTGTTAAATTAGCCGAAAGATCAAAACAATTAGAAGGTATTCAACAATGGCCATATCAAGCTGTTGCTGACGCAATGGAATCTATACCAAGAACTTTGATCCAAAATGCTGGTGGAGATCCAATTAGAATTCTTTCCCAACTAAGAGCTAAGCACTCACAAGGCTATCATACCATGGGTATTGATGGTGATCAAGGTAAAATTACTGATATGGTTGAATATGGTATTTGGGAACCAGAAGTTATCAAACAACAATCTATTAAAACTGCTATTGAAAGTGCATGTCTTCTTTTAAGAGTAGATGATATTGTAAGTGGTGTTAGAAAACAAGATTAATAAAGATGGTTTACTCTCATCGTATATTACTATTACTATTATTTCTTTATTTCTCTAAAATTACTTTACAAATTATGCATACGTATATATATATATATATATATATATATGTTGTTATTATGTATATTATCATACTCTATTTTATATTACGTTTTGCTATTTATTATTTTTGTGAGTAATAATGTTTATTTCTGATCTGGGATAATTCATTTTCAATTTGTAATATCGACGATCTTAACCTACTGCAATTGTGTTCATCCTTTAAAATGTGATCTTCCATTTTTAATCGCATTATTTTGATCTTATTTGTAATAGGTAAATCATATTGACCACTATTTAAAAGCAAATCAAACAATTCATTCCAAATATCTTTCTGCCATCCACGTTTTAAGGATTGTCTCAATTTTATTCTATTATTACCAGAATCTGTTACAGTTTCCATAAATTTTCCAAATAACATACAATAAATAATCCCAGCAAGGCCGAAATAATCACATTCATAACTCCATGGCAAACCATGTCTCATTTCATAACAATCTTGTTCATCTATAGGCCAATCTGATTTGAATCTTGTGCCATTGCTGAAAAATGTTAGATCAAAGGAGCGCCCAAAATCAATTAAATAAATACCCTTCTGATTCCAACCTTCATCGCCAAATCTGTTATAATTGCCTAATTGTTCTCCATTAGGTATAGGTAACAATCTAATCATACAATTATCAGGTTTTAAATCACCATGTATAATTTTAATTTCATGGAGTGCTTCTATTACTTTAATCAATTCAATAGTAAAAAATATACAAACCAATTCATCTAATGTTTTATAACCATTCATATCTTCACGGTACAGGTTGACCAAATCCAAAATAGTTCCTTGATTTGCATAATTTAGTATCAGATAACTTTCATCTTGAAAGAAATGTAATGAATTTATATTAATTATTGATCTTAATACATTGTGTTGATCCTTCAGTCTCAATTCAACTTGCCTTAGTATATAATATTCCCATGAGTTTGCTGGTTTTTCTACTTTTAACGCATTTAGAGATCCGTCGTCAGATTCTGCTAAGTAGACAATTGCATATCCGCCACGACCCAACTCTGAATGAATACAATAAAATTTATTTATTTTTGTAAAATTAATAATGGGAAGTTTTTTTTGTGAGCTTTTGGTAATTTTATGGATTCTTTCTAATTGGTGACTCATATTCAGCTTTTGATTGTATCGGAAAAATGAATCATATTCAGACAAGGGAGGAGATAATTTAGATAGTAGTAATTGTCGTAAGTCATCACTTAACGGATGACTTATAATTGATGGCAATTGGACTAATTCATTTTCATTTTTAGAATTTTTCTTTTGAGAAAATATACTTGGTTGAGAGATAAAAGGTGAACTTTGAGATTGTAATGCTTGGGATGGTTGATATATTGGTGTATGAATTGAGTTTTCTGTTCTTTCTTCAATAGGGTATATATTACCATAGTGATCTTCATTAGGTATAATGTTGTTTATTGAGATTGGATTTGAACTTGGATTCGGCACATCCGTTTTGGAGATGCTGTCTACCTGATTTGTATCTTCTGGAACTTTCACTTCAGTAAGATCATCTATATTAGGTCTTGTAAGATCTTGTGTTATATTTTCATATATAGAAAATTTATTTGTGGTATTATCAGTAGTATAATTATTAATTTTATGATTATCGTTAAGAATATTAGTATTGATTTTATTAGTTTGACCAGAGTGGTTTATATCCTTAATACTAGAATTATTATTTTCATTTAAATTTTGATTAAACATGCAATAAACTTCATTTATAGCATCTTTAGAGAAAAATGTCACTGTGTTAGTATTATTTGTCGTTAAGTTATTATCTTCTTCTTCTTTTAATGGTAGAAGTGATATTTTGGTGTTATATTCTACTGTAGCATCTCTATCATCAAATATCTGAATTTTACTATTATTTATTGGTGGTTGAGAAGACGGTAGTTGTTCCATCATCTTTTGTCTTTTGATTGAGTTACTTTCATCGGTGTCAATATTGATAACTTCAAATGCATTTCTTTTAACGGAATTTTTCGGTTGTGCCTGTACAGATAATGATGATGATAGCAAACCAGGATTTTCTATGTTTCGAGGAGATGGTTTCATTAATGAAAGCAATTCTTCAAAACCTATTTCACCATATTGATATTTTGAATTATAGATTAAATCGAAATTACAATCGATTTTCTCAGGTAGTCTACCTTCAATTTGATTTATCTGATAAACAGGGCTTGGCTTCGGTTTACTAATTTTTGATGTATCTGTAGTGTCTGCAAAAATTTGTAAAGGCGTTTGCCGAACTGGTGATACAATTTTGGATATGTTATGATTTGTGCCTGTGTTTGTGCTTGTTATTTTATGTGTTATAAAACTTGGTGTATTTGAATTTTGTATTAGCTCCTGTATGAAGATATCCCAGTGATTCATTGGAAAAGGTGTAATATGAATTTTCATTTCTAATAACCTTTGATGTAAATCTTTCAACATATCTTGCAACCTTTTTATAGGTCGTGAATTTTGTTTCATACCATATTCGAGAATCAACAAACTTTTATCAAATTGTTTTAAATTCCAAAACATGTTGGCCCATTCAATATAAAGCATAGCCAATCTTTGACCAACCCCGTTCAAAAACATAAATAATAAATTATTTTGATATTGAATCACATCATTATCAAAAATGAAAAGATCCAAATAAAAGAACCAAATTTTGACAAACCTTGGATCATTGGAATACGTACCCAACACAAAGATGTAATTGATACATCTTTCTAATAGTAGTTTTAATTTATTCTCAAAATATGGTAGTCCAAGATCATTAATAAAATTGATATATTCCAAAAATAATTCCAAAGGATCATCTAAATCTTCTAATTCATTTAATAGCCTATTTTCAAAGAATAGAAATTTTTCTTCGTACCTATTTACCTCATTGTTAATGTTATGGTTACGGTTATGGTTATGAACAGGACTATTTTCATTATTATGACTATCAATATCCTCATTGTTTTCATGATATACTTGCTGTGCAAGCATTCTACTTTTCAAATATATGTTTGTATAATCTATAATTTACACAACAACTACAGTCAGTGTTATTTTATAGAAAAATAGTTCATTTCAAAATCTGTAAATACTATTATCACACATTCTCTTTGTTTGTTCTGCAATTTCGATTTTGTTGTCTTTAAGGCATTTTCTTATTTCTTCTATAGTTCTTTTTTTATTTTTTCGGTTAAAGGTAAAAATATTCAAATGCAATATATATATACACATTTTTGTATATATGTATATTTATACATGTATGTATATATATGTGTGTAATAAAAATAGAAATATACTGTGCTTCAGAATTTTTCAGTTGTTCCAAGATGACAACAACAGAATTATTATTGACATTGGGAATGTAACTAAGTTCAATGCATAATACAAATGAGCACACGAGTTATAGATACGACAGATCTACTTATTTTTTTTCAAATCATGAAAAAGACAGTTTATTAATGCGTTGCTCATTATATATATATTAATATTAATGTTTAACAGTATAGAGTGTAAATTTTTTAATATTAAATAGTAACTTATCATCTAATAATTTGGTAAATTTCACAAGAGGAAGCAAAAGTCTTTATTCCATCTATCAAAAAAGTGTTCATGCTATAAAGCATTAATATATTTTTCTAAATTCACATGGAACTTGATTCATATAGTCGGTAAATCCACTATCATGCTTAGCTGTACTACATTATAGATATTTAAATTTATAAAAATAAGTATCTAAGATGTCATCCAAATTTAGTGACCATGATTATTTGATATATTATTAATATGTATATGTTATAAACATAAAAATAGAACATGTAAAATTTCTATTTTTGCTAGACTCTTGTTCCCTATATATATTTACTTTGTAGTTAGTATTCCCACATTAGGTTAATCACACTCTAAATATCTTCAATTCATATATATTAATCACCTGGATTGATTCTTATTATTTATTATATTCATAAATGGGTCATGACCATTGGCATTTGGATAAATTCTTATTGATAAGTGTTTGTATTTCTAGAAACTTTTATTACGGTTATCTTAAGAGTTTTGGATAGAGGACTATAAAACTATCTAATTAAAGGAACAGCCGGTCTTCTAATAAGATATGTATTGCTTTATTTTAACATTGTTAACCACTATCTAACATAGATGAATAACCCTTAATAAAAACAACGTTAACCATTCAAAGAAAAATAACTCCAACCCTAAAAAGAAGTAGAAAATAAAATAGTAGTTAATGTTTTTTCCCTAACATTGTTCTTAGGGTTTGCAATCCCAATTTTATCTACCAAATTAGGAAATTTCTTTAAACATTTGTCTAATAGAACAATTATCTATGTTTGTAAAGCTTTTATTTATCCATCTCCATAATAACAAATTGGTAAAGATTTTTTTTACCTTGGAGATATTATTAACTTTTGATTCAGTTTGTTTTCTTCATCTTAGAGGGGGAAACGAGATACAAATATCACTCTTTTTTTTTTTTGTTACAATGTCATACACACGTGATTGCAACACAATATTAATTTTTTTCATTTATTTCTTAGTACATCATTGATCTAATACATGTATTACTTTTGTTCGTTTTTCTGAATGAGTAGATTAATTTTTGATATAAATGAATTTTTTTCAAAAAATGACAATATTCCAGAGAATCGACAAAACTTCTTACAACAGTATAGGATATTTGCACAATTCATTGACATAGAATATGTACCGTTTGATTCTTCTAACAAGTATTTTAGTAAATTATTAATACGAAATTTATCAATATTTGAATCAAACAGAAGTTTAAATACCGAAACTACATCATTTCATCTATACATGGAGGAAAATACATTTGTTCAATTGTTTATTAATGAAGAAACTAAGATAGATTTGCAACCAGGTGACCCCGTTGATATCCAAGCAGTTACATGGTATGACTACGATGATAACAATACAATCATATTAGAATCCGTAAATCTCCGACCGATTACAATTAAAGAAATCGATGCATTAAAAGAGTTCATCTTATCTCCAGAAGGTCGATACTTTATTAATCCGTAATGTTAGTTAGGATATTAATAAGAACCTTTTTCTTCGAGTGTTTGATCATATTCATTATTTTATTTATAATGCTCTACTTAGTCATCTTTTCTCCTTTTAATTTTTTGAGAAATCTATAATAAACCGGAAAAAAAGTATATAAATAAGCTAATTTACAATACCGTTATCCACTTTCTACATATATATATATATAATTAAATATGTAATTAGTTAAACAATATGTTAAAATCATCAAGATTCTATATTGTTTTCATCAAAAAAAAATTGTTGGAAGGTGATTTATCGGATAAGATGATAACAAATGAGAATATGTTGCAAAAATCATCAATAACTGCTTGCTTAATATTAAAATGCAATTTTCTTGACATTCCTTCTTTTGTTTTTCAATAAAATCTTTTGTTTTTGTAATTCTTCTTCTTCCTCTTCTTCACTATCAATTTCCATTTCCTCTTCTTCTTCACTTATCTCCTCTCTTTCTTGTTCCTTGGCTAGTTTGTTAGCAATTTCAACTTCTCTGATTCTCAATAATTCTGGGTTAGCTTCAACTAGCTTCTTGTCTCTTAAGAACTCTCTTTCTTTATTACCCTTCATTCTGTTCTTATAGAATGCTCTTTCACGTTTCTGTCTAATTTCTTCAATTCTTGCCATAGCCTTTAGAGTAGTGGCGACTAATTCCCTATTATATCTAACAGGAACGTTTCTTCTTTGTGCAAATGTTAATGTAGAATCAACAGCCAGTTCCTTGCCTGCAGCCTTTCTGAAAGCTTTAGTCCATTTCAACTTACGTGGATTACGGCGTTGCTTGAATGCCTTGTGACACTTGGAACGGCAAAATCTAAACTCTTTGGCATCATTACGAACAAACATGATACCATGGCCAGGATATACTGGAGATGAGCAGAAATGACATTGATAAATTCTCATTATGACTCAGATATATAGATATATGTAGATATGTGTGTATTTGTGTAGTTTTGTTTCACCTTCTTTAGCTAATCGTATAAGTTATTTGATAAAATAAATATTTGACCTTTTCAAATCGGCAAATACGTATTACCCAAAGATAGTTAGCAATATTATGCACAAAATATCTATCAAACTTTATTATAATTATTCAATCAAAAAATGTGTGGGATTGAGATGAGATGAAATTTCCATTTAATAATAAAATTTCACTTTGTTGATCCTTCAGCAAAAAGAAAAAAAAAATTTTTTTTTTCTTAACCAATACTTTCCTTTTTAGGTTTATAAGTAAATTTTTTTCGATCTTTTTAATGTTAAAAATATTTTAAAAATTGACAATAATTGTTAAAACAGACAGAAAGAGAGAGAGATGGAAGACAATAATATAAGATTAAAGATTGCTTTGTTAATGCAGCTCAAGGTACCTATTAAGCAAATTGTATTGGTAGATAATACTGCTATTGTATCTTAAACTAATTTTCTTCAAGTGATAAAAAAAACGCATATAAAGAAAATAAGATCAAAAGATTGGAACAAAAGAGAGCTTAATAAAATAGATAGTGATTTTGTATTAAAATATGTCTTTACCTCAAGGTGTTTCCGAAAATAAGAATATTAATAATAATTCTATTGCTGTTTCTTTAGAAAATATTAATGGGCAAAATCAACAACAGGCTTCTTCTGTACAGTTACAGCAAAAATCAAAATCTGGTATGGATCTTTATTTTGATCAAATAACTAGCTACATAGGGAAACATCCTTTTGTTACTGGAGTAGGGATTTTCTTTACCCTATATGCATCTGCGGGTTTTTATAGGTTTGTATCCATTAAGATGAGCGGAGGCAAAGCTGCCACACAATATTTAAAAGGTGGGTTTGAACCAAAGATGACTACAAAAGAGGCATTACAAATTTTGAATTTACAAGAGAGTAATCTAACGAAGAAGAAGTTGAAAGAAGTTCATAGAAAGATAATGTTAGCAAATCATCCAGATAAAGGTGGATCTCCATATGTTGCTACAAAAATAAATGAAGCTAAAGATTATTTAGAAAAAAAAGGTATTGTAAGAAAATAAACAACCTATTAGAAACAAAACTGAAAAAGAAAAATTAAGGTAAAATAGAGCATCAGGCAATATTGACACTCTAATATTTAATTTTAAGAAGGACGTATGGTAATATTTAACGATAATTATAAAAAAAAAAATTCTGTATATAGTCGTTGTTTTATTTGTATAATATATGTGTTCTAAATTAGTAAGAGTGTAATTAAATAATCATGGGTCAAATAATGAGAACACCCGTCCATGTGCATATTTCTTTTTCTGCCTATCTGTTTATCTGTTTATGTATCTGTCTATTTTCTTACGACATATACTTAGATTATTGTGTGTTATATGATATATATACCATTATTCAGTAGGGAGTTATTGCATTTATCACAGGTTTGACTTACATGAAGCATATAATGTTGGAAACAATCCAAATGCCATACACGTCTTTGGAAAATCGAATTTTGTTCTTTATTCTCAACATTACAACAATCAGCATTTCCACACATAACACCTTGTAATGTTAATTGTTGACACTGCTGACATAGAGGTAGATCATATTCATTAAGCAGATAATCACGTAGTTCTGCAATACATCGTAAATCTATTCCAAATCTCCCATTTGAGTCTCGATAGAACCATTTCAATTCACATAATTGTAACAATAAATCTTCAATTTCTGTTGCCCCCATATTCTCATATTGTAATAATTTAGTAGACCTAGAGGTAAAAGTTATGAAAGAGTTCCATCTGATGTTATTTTGTTCTCCAGACTTTTCTTCATCACTGTCATCATCACTAAACCCATTCTTCAATTCTTTCCGCTGGTATGAAAACGAAGTTAACAACTGGTTAATTTCCTTGTATATTACACTAGAATCTATTGTATTGTAAGATATAGATTGGATCTCTGTGCTATTATTTACAAATTGGTCAATTACCCATTTGATAAATGAGATTTCTTTTTCTTGAAATCTTGTAGCCAATTTTGTTTCTTCACTGGATTCCATATTGATATAGACATAAAATTTATTACTCTCCGGTAAGATTATACTAAGTATTTTGTTATTATTTTTATCAATGGTCCCTATATTAGCACCACTATCATCTTCATAATTATTATTATTATTATTATTATTTTCCTCATTATTATCCATATCAGACTTTTCAAATAGGTTAAATCTTTGTTTATTTTTCAAGGTCACTGCATGTTTCCCCATGCCATGACTAATTTTTACTATTTTGTAATTTAAAGTGTTCAATTTAATATTAATCTCATTAATAACATTATTCAATTCCACGTTCCATTTTTGGATTGGCCATGATGGATCAAATTCATCAAAATCTATTTTCAATCTTATTAGTGCCAAAATTAAAGCATTTTCATGACATATACCTCTTGCAGTCAGTATGTAGTTCAACAAAAGGCGTGCTATATTGCTGTTTTGAGTCATATTATCTTAACACAAAAGACTACAAATAATAAAGAAAAAAGTGCGTTTAAAATGGATCTACTTTTTAGTGAATTTTTTTTGTTATCAGTGTGTGTGTACATATATAACAGTTATTCATAAGAAGAAAAGAAAAGAAAAAACAATAAATTATCCCACACATTTAATCAATAAAAACACTAGAAGCTACATGGAAAATTTGGTCGAGAATAGTATTAGACACAACCCGTCCTTCAACTATTGATCTTAATCATCGATGGGGTAGTAAACTGATATTTTAAAAAGAAAAGTCTTTGATGAAAAAGTAAAAAAAAAAACTTGCTCCGGTCAAGAATCGAACATCAGCACGTTTCTTTAACTTAAAATCAGGTTAATTTCTTATGAAAGCAAAGAAAGAAGAAAAAGTCCGTGGGCCAATTTTTTTTTAAAAGAATATTCCCCTTTGTTTTTTTTTTCAATCCTGGTATTTGCATAATTTAGGGATCCCTTAAAGCGAATAAATATTTAAGCTGAGTATTTGCATATTTAATAAATACAGCATTTCTTTTTCTTCAGTTAGATAAAAAAAAAAAAAAAGGTTTTTTTATTAAAGTTTGGTTCTCGGCCGAGAGGTTTTCGTTCGAGAGAACTTTGCAGAATCCTTTCTTTGTCATTGTGATCAATTAATGGATTGATCGTTATGATTATTACAGCATCTCGAAGCTCGGATAAGTACTTGACACAACTTTGTGAGTAAGATGATGTCGAATTAAACACAGAAGTTCGATTCAATCAACAATTGACACCGTTGTCCAATGGAAGTCATAGTGGAACAAAATATCAAAAAACGTTTAATTCTTCTTTTTCTTTTTTTTCTTTGTTTTTAACTAATCTTATCAGTTAATGAAATATTATTGTTTGTTACTCATTGCATGCCCACCTTAGAACTTCTTAATATGAAATAACGAACTAAAAATACATTTTTTTAAACTCATTTGTTTTTTGTTCATTCATTTAACTATTTTAGAACACACACACATACACACACATATATATATATATAAGAGGGCTGTAGATTGCTGTTTTATTTACCAATATCTAGACTAGTCATATTCTATTCTATGATAAATAATTTCCATAGTATTATATATATATATATTGTTAAGTGATGAGAATGGTGCCAGTAGAGAAAGTGAAAATAGTAACATAAGATAACTAGAAAGATATAATATTGTGATACCTAACGTAATGTTTTCAATCACAGATATTGAGAAGGCAGCAGAACTTAACAAGCAACAATCAGAGGTTTCATTTACCACTAACGATGAAGAAAAATTGTTTGGTGGTGAAGTATCTACTCATGACGAATCAATTAATGATGATCAAGACGTTGCCTTAAGGTTTTTGAAACAAAATCACATTACTTTTGATCAATTGTCTGAAGATGATTTGCAAAATAATAATATTCCTATTGATGAAACAAAAGTGATCTTTTATGGTTCTCATAAAACTAATCTAAAAATAATAAGAAAAGTAGACTATGTAATCTTACCATTTTTGTGTCTAACTTATCTTTTCATGTTTTTAGATAAAGCTCTGTTGAATTATGCTGCTTCAATGGGTATTAAGAGAAATTTGAAGGGTAACGAATTTTCTAATTTAGGTACTATTTTTTCAGCTGCTTATATCTTTATGGAGCCTGTCGTCACCTATATTATTCAAAGGTATCCTGTTTCTAAAGTTATGGGTATTTTCATCACAATTTGGGGAATAGTTCTTGCCTGTCATTCCGCATGCAAAACATACGCTTCTTTGATGATTGTAAGAACTTTATTAGGTTTTTTTGAGGCCTCCTCTGCTGTCGGTTGTATCACAATCAGTGGCATGTACTATACTAAATCAGAACAGAGTGCAAGAATTGGTTTTTGGGCTACACAAGCAGGCACTGGTTATGTTGTTGGCGGATTGATATCTTTTGGATTTCAACACTATCATAGTGAACACTTCACGTCTTGGCAAATCATGTTTCTTGTTGTCGGATTAGTCACTGTTGCATTTGGTCTCTTAACTTTTTTTTATTTGCCTGATAACGTAACAAACGCATGGTTTTTAACACAGGAGGAGAAATTGGAAGTTGTGGGACATATTAGAGCTAACCAAACCGGATTGGAGACTAAGAAGTTTAAAAAACACCAAATCAAAGAATTATTTTTTAAGGATAAGTTAACTTGGTCAATGCTTTTACTAACTGCATGTTCTCAAATAAGTACTGGTGCTATTGGTACATTTTCTGTTACAATTACAAGTACTTTTGGTTTTGATGGTTATAGGTCCGCTTTATTACAATTGCCAATTGGTGGCTTAGTCGCCTTAATCATCATCATCACTACCCAGATGATCTCCAAATGGGGTCAATTGACACTGATCACTACATTGATGTATATCCCAGCAGTTATTGGTGCTATTGTTTTGATTACTTTACCATTATCACATTCCGTTGGCAATCTATTAGGGTTATATCTAATTTACAGTGGTTCATGTGTCATCACTAATATTTATATCTGGAATTCATGTAATACCTCGGGTTACACAAAAAGAATCTTTAGAAATGCTGTTACTATGGTTGTGTACAACATTTCATGTATTGTGGCACCTCAAATGTTTAGAGTTAAAGATGCACCAATGTATATGCCAGCTAAGATTACGCTGTTAGTTACACAAGCAGTTTGTATCCCATTGCAGTTATTTGTTGGTTACTTATGTCATAAAGAAAATACTAAAAGAGATAAGGAACAAGCAGGTAGAAATATTGAGAAATACAAATTCGCTGATTTGACTGATATTGAAAATAGAAGTTTTAGGTATATTGTCTAATTACTTTGTCTAGAGTGAGGTACCATACAAATTTGTCTTTAAATAACTAATTTTTTCTTTTTCTTATTAACCATATTTTATTATTCAAGGTTGTCCTACTTCTTATTATTTAATGTGATAGACTTTCTCTTTATATTAATTTATTGATTGTTAAATAACTGGGCTTGTAAAAATATATAATTTTTTGTAATCTATTCTAAAATAATAATGTTTGATCAATATTCTAATCTATTTTTGATATGAGAGACATTTATTTTTTTTTAATTAAATATTAGAAAACGATTTCAACATATTAATATATCAAGATTAGTAAGTATTTCAACTGATAATTGGGTTGGAATACTAACTCCTACAAAATGTCTATAGATCTAAATATTACTATTGATTAAATATGTACGAGTCAATAATTGAAAAAGTAAAAATTTTCTAAATCTAAAATATAAATTATACATGGAGGCTAATAGCATAAATTGAAATAATTGTTTCCCAAATTTTTTTATCACTAACAAGTAAGCGATTTCTAGTTTATTGCTTTTTATTTATATCTTAATCTATTTTTATACATTATATTAATAATATAACAAAGATCATTAGTATTTACAGTGTATTCAATAGTAAATTTAATTAAAAATTATTTCTACTAAGTTCAGTAGTAGCTAGACTGTTTCTTCTTTTGATAATTATAGGATAAAAATAGACTTACTATTTTTAATGACTCAAAGTTAAAATAAATTTATATGATGGGGATGTTAATGCTATAAAGTTAGCAGAATTGGATCTTTTTAGCGTTTATGGCAGCGACAGTTAACATTAAGTCATAAAAAGTATAAAAATTTATCTTTGGTTTTCATTGTTATTTTAAGTATTTTCCACATCTTCTCTTCCATTTGGTTTTTGATAATTAAAAAAAATGTCAAATTCTAACAATTCCTTTTGTTTTAACTGATTGTGTTTCAATAATGTATAAGATGGCTTAATAAAATATATTAGTCTTCCCTGTAAGATCCTTTAGATACTTGAGTCCTGAAATAATATTTAATTTTTGAAAGGTATTGTTTGCAAAAATAAAGTATTATTTTTTTTTTTACTAAAACAAGGTTGTGATTTTTATGCAACATTTCTTGAGAAAAATTATTTGGGAGTTCAAAAGAAGTAATATTAATATTTTTTATTTTCTTTGTAACTCGTTAAAAAAAATAAATCTCAGTTGCAATTGGAAAAGTATATCAGTTATTTTTTCATAGTTTTCTTTATTTATTGATTGTGATTTAAATTTTTAAAATTGGAAAAGTTAAAAAATGGTAAAGTTTGAGATTAGTATATTTTAGAGTAGTTATTTATTGATATTTTGATATATTTAAATAAGTTTTCAGAAATGGAATTTACCAAATTTGTTTACCTTTTTAGATGAATAAAGTTACACCCTTTTACCAGTTAAGTTTTTTATCTTATAAGAATATACATTTAAGATCTACCTAAGATTAGTAGTATGGTTAGATGATAAAATTATCAAAATATTTATATTGTATCAATAACTTCTGTCTCTTGTATATAAAGTCTAAATACAATTATGTATAAATGTAAAATTTCTTAAATTGAATATTTTATAAAGAAAAGATAAACCAATAAGAATTTATCCAAATCCGCTTAGTTATTACCAATTATCAATATAAAAACCATTGAATTTTCATCATGAAATTAATACATATAAATTTGGATTGTAATAAACTCAATATAGAAATTATAACTTACATTATTGTTTAGATTCAGTATAACTTATTCATTGAGCATAAATATATTTAGTAGGAATAGAGACTAGAAATTAATATGTATAGGAAACAAGAGTTTAGTACTATTGAAATTTTTTTTCATCTACTGTTTTTATGACATTTTATCATTTTATTTGTATATAATATAGACTTTTTCAAGATATATACTCAGCAATGTTAAGAATGTCAACCCTAAGCAACAACGTAGATGCTGAGTTTTATTAAAAATATAGTTACATAAAAAGTATGAAGAAAAGTTCTAAAAACATATTTTAACCTTCTTTTTATAATCCTAATGTATAATTTTAGCTTTGAGACAAAATATTTTTCTTGCTTATTTCTTTACTAATATTTCTATTATTGGGTTTAATAATATTATAAGTGATTATTTTTTATTGGTGCTCCTCTAATTAATATCAAAAAAAAATTTTTTTCTTCCTAGTATTTGTTCAATACTTTAATATTAACTAATTCAGTATATGAAGCTGTTAAGAATGAGCGCCTGTAGTCATTGAATATATAGTAAACATTCTCAATATTTTATTAGGTAGATTTAGTATACAAAATTATAATAAAGTTCTTCGGTTTTTTTATTTATGTATATAATGTATAATGATAAAATATAGGGGATGAGCAAGGGAAGAAACATGATATGAAAAAAATGTTGGCTTTATATATTTTCATATCTCGTCTATCTCGTCTATGTACGGCACCAAATTTATGATGAAGTTCGTTTATGTCTACTGATAAACAAACAATATATTCTTCACTTTTTGCTTTTCAATTAATGTTTATTATAATCTAATTGGCCTAGTATTTATTCTAGAATGTTTGATTCCAGCAAAAGTTTTGTTTTAATTAAGCATGTGAATTTGTTTATTGTACTATGGTTTTTGTATTTTTGTGCAAAATAATTGTTTAATGTGTAAAACCAATTTTAACTAACTGAAAAAAAAATTATTGACAAACAAAAACTACTCCACAAATCAGAAATTAGATTCTCAAAATAGACGAATCATTTCTTACCTTTACTTCATTGAAAAAAAAAAATAAAATCTAAGTTGTTTATAAAAGATGATAATAATACCTAAAAGAATTGACATTCAAAAAAATATAATCTGCAAAACAGAATCTTATGGATAAATGCTGGAATCAAACATTCTAGAATAAATACTAGGCCAATTAGATTATAATAAACATTAATTGAAAAGCAAAAAGTGAAGAATATATTGTTTGTTTATCAGTAGACATAAACGAACTTCATCATAAATTTGGTGCCGTACATAGACGAGATAGACGAGATATGAAAATATATAAAGCCAACATTTTTTTCATATCATGTTTCTTCCCTTGCTCATCCCCTATATTTTATCATTATACATTATATACATAAATAAAAAAATCGAAGAACTTTATTATAATTTTGTATACTAAATCTACCTAATAAAATATTGAGAATGTTTACTATATATTCAATGACTACAGGCGCTCATTCTCAACAATCAGACTTATATTTCTTGCTACAAAATATTACATAATCTCAGAGATATAAACTGTATTTAGATTTGAAATGGTAAAATAATTTAAAGCTTCTATACTAAAATTAATAAAACTTATTGTAAATTTAAAATAATAAAAACAAAAATTGACAAAATAAAAAGTTAATATACAAAAAAATGTGTTTTATATATTTTATTCCTTACTCCTTTGTCCATAATGTTTCCTAGTACATTAGCTTTTCAAATACATCATACACAAGATCTATATTTCGTATAACATGATACTGTATATCAAAAGTAAACAAAAAAGAACTGCGCAAGCCCGGAATCGAACCGGGGGCCCAACGATGGCAACGTTGGATTTTACCACTAAACCACTTGCGCCTCAGCTGTTGCCTGTTGTTGTAGTATGGTGTGGTGAAGTTCTTTGTGTATTCCAGGGAAGCGCAAATAATATTAATAGTAATTCAAATAATCGAGACAGTAATCAACTATAGTCGATAGTATAATTACTAAAACGGTCTTATATATTAAGCGGCTTATATCGAGCTAATGTACTTATTCGAAGTTACTTGACTTGTTACTTGCTTGTTCTATTTTGTTTATACATAATATATAAATTATTTACAAGAAACGATTATGGAAGATGATCTTTTATCTCCTGAAAACGTTGTCCTTTTATATGTTTTCTGGAGCTCGATCGATTATTCAGATTACTACATTAATGACTTGACTGATTCAAACCCTAAAATTTATTATATTAATTTAGGTGCACTACTGGATTAGAACTGCATCCCAATTCTCTAATCATGGTGATTAGTAATACACGTGGGACTTAATAAAACAATAGGTAAATTCTAGATTTGCCAAGATCTTATGTAATCCAATCTTTTTATTATGCAGCTGTTGGAATTTGGAGCCTTCTGCGTCCATGGTAATGATAGACATCATTAAGTTATAGATACTTGTTATGTTTTTGTATTAAATACCTGTACATATTTATTATATAGTATATTCAGTATACATTCTTATATTTACTTCAGGGCTTATTTTAAGTTTTTCATTTCTTTTCAAATCTTTGAAAGACATATTTGGTGACAATTAAAATGTTTTCCTGATATTATGTACATCCGTACACCACATAATATATAGAAAAACTAATTAAAAATAATTCTTATGAAAATGACAGTAATAAACTCTCATTTTCCAACATGCCCCTTTAATTGGTTTTTCTTATAACTTCCTCCTGTTCACTATAACTTAATGATTTCCATTACCAGCATTCCAGAGGACAGTGATTGGAAGCAACTCTTTGGGTGTTAATTCATGTTGTACAATCATTCTTAATTTATTTATATCTTTATTAGTAGTGGATTTTGTTAATGGATCTGCAGGATTTTCTTTTCCACTGATTTTTCTTAGACTTAAGTCTGAATCTAATATTCTTTCTTTTAATCTTTCAATTCTAAGTCCCAAAAATTTGGTTCTTGCTTTAAAATAATCTTGTTTCAACCAGTCCAATGCTGGTTTGGAATCAGTAATTACACATATTCTTATGTTTTTAAAATCCATCATCTTTTCTAATTTCAATTTTAATAGCAATGCAATTTTCTCAGCCTGATTTATGGCATCTAATTCAGCTTCTGCTGATGATGTACATAAAATTGATGATTTTTTTGAAAATCCATGGAAAAAATTGTTTCCTAACCATATTAATGCACCACATCTTGAT